ACCCCCTTTTTTGCAGGAGAAATAATTTTTATACATTTTAAATTGAAAACATCAATTTTTTGGTAAGCTTATTTCCACAATTTTGCGATCAGTCACAAATAAGTGTTCCCCTTTCCCAAATTTTTAAATTTTAACAAACATTTGTTCAATGTTACCCTAATTTGGGGGTTACTTTAAGTTTTTTATTTCCTGTTTTTTTCCATTTTTGTAAAATGGGAATCTCCCCCTCATTTCATTTTTAATTTAAAAGTAGATTGATTTAAATTTATTTAAATCAAAATTTCAGTTAAAGGTGCAGCACAAAACCCGGTTTCTATAAGGCTGATATATTGTTTTTTTGTTCAGTTTCAGTATACAGTAAAAATGGGGGGGAAACACAAAAAAAAATTTAAAAAAGGGGGGAAACAAAACATGGGGGGCTTTTTTTGGCCATTTTGGCATCAAAAAGTAATTTAAAAAATAAAAGAAATTTTTACTTGTTTAAAAAAATAAACCGGACCCAATTAAATAAAAAACCCCCTATTTTTTATGAAACCAATTGTACAGGCAGAATTTGGGGAAAAATTAAAATTTAAAATCCAAAACTTGCGGGAAATTTAGGAAAAAATTTTAAACGGGACAGAGGGACGATGAATGGCAAAATACTTACCATAAGGTCAAACCCTTAAATCATTAAATGAATAATTGGGGGGTTAATTTTTAATTTTAAAATTTTGGTATTCAAAGTTATTTTAACGGAGATAAGTGTTTTTCTTTTTTTGGGAATTTTCCTTGTTTTTTTTTTTGGGGGAAAAATTTCGCCTTTGAGATTTTAACCCGGAAAAAACGGGTTATAATTTATTGAATTTTAAAAGAAAGACGTAAACAATAATTTTGCGGTCAAGCCTTGATCTGTAAAAAATGGGAAAGGCCCTAAAGATCATTAAAGAATTGAAAGTTTTTGTAAAAATGAAAAGGGCAAAAAACTTAACGAAAAATTTCCCCCTTAAACCATGAATGCCCTTTGCAGACTAAACCTGAGGTTGAAACCCCTTTAAACCATGCTTAATATTCCCCTTAATCCATTTTTAAAAAAAAAATTCAACACTTTAAGAAAATTTTCCCAAATATGTACTGACTGAAAAGCAAAATGTGCAAAACTATGATCAGACCTAATCAGAATATATTATGTAGGATGTTAAATTTTTGACATTTTGCTACATGTATGTATATTGAAATCACATCTTCATCTATGGTTCTGAATTCACATCCGGATCGAACAATTCATTGTAAAACATTTAGCAAGGCAAGAGTTAATATCAAGTTTTACTTATTTGGTGTGAAGTTTTCTGCACCAGAAATATGTAAATGTTCATAATTTTTCAGTGTTATCAGTTATGATGTATAAAATTTTACATATTTCACATTCTTTATATTACCATATTATAAATTATTTTCTTCAAAATTTAGGTGAGTATGAAACATATATAATACTGGTAATATGATTTAAGATTGATGATGTTATCCTGACCTATTTTTGAATAAATGTAAAATTAAAATTTTTCTTGATGAAGAAAGAGTGAACTCTTACCCTAAAAAAGAACAGAATAAAGTTAAACACCTGTTAATATTAGGAGAAATATTTTTATTTCCTTATAAAGATAAAGAATGTTAAACATCACTGAAGTTTTCATAAAATTAGATAAAAAGAATTTAAACTTTTTATGTTCCGTATACATTCATGTAATTCAGAATAGATTTTTCAGAGCTGTAATGGACCATTAAAAGTAATTTCAGTTTTGTAAAAAAAAATTTGAAAGATAGCAATACTAATCTTTGAAACCAGGCTTAATAAAAGCGTTTGATCTTTTTTGTTTTTTAAAGGGACCGCCTTGGAAAAATTTCCTTTTTGGTAAGAGAACCAAAAAAAAGTTTATTTTTAAAAATTTTGAAATTTTTAAAAACTTAATTTAAAAACTTACATCTTTGAAAACCTTTCCAAAAAAGTTTTTAGAAAAAAAAAAATACCAAATTTTTTGCCTTTTTAAAAATTTAGAAAGGGGGTTTAATTTCGGTAAATTAATTTTCACGCTAATTTAAAATTAAACCAAAATTAAAAAATTTTTTATTTTTTAGGAAAAAGAAAGCGTTTAAATTTCTGTTTTTTTTTGAAAAAAAGGGGGCAGGAAAAAACAAATAAAAATTACACCCCTTAAAATTTTGGTGTAAATTTCCCCCTTTTAACCTGATGTGCGGAGACCTTTGCCAGCTGATCCGACAGATAACATTGACCGTAAAAGCAATTTTGTCACTTAACACCCGCATCTTCTATCGGGCTACCATGTAGGTTGTTTTGGTGTTACATTAAGTTCAATGTTAGCAGTTGAATAGTTAAGTATTGATGACATTGTCACACATTTTGCTGATTGTTAGCAAGTTTACTTTTGTTCGACTTGGGTTTCAGGTCGCTACAATAGCTGAGGTCAGATTGGGTTAGATTAGGTGTAGTAATTTTGAAAAGTGGCACGCAGGAAGAAGGAAAAATCAAGTTACTGGTGCTAGTCTATCTTGTTTGTTCTTGGCATCTTTGTGTAAAATTTCATTTCTTATGTATAGTATATTGAATTAACATACTGTTTTGTTGTTATGTTAATTGCCAAGTGGTGAAATTCACAACTTCGCTTGCTTCGAGCCATCTTAACTGTGCCCCTTATTGAAAAATATTTGCCTTATTTCAAGTTGCTTTGGGTTTTTTTCAAGTCAGAAATCTATCGAACTTGCTCAGGGAAGGTTTAATTGTATCAATCTTATTCTGGTAATTCTTGTTGACCTTCATCTACCAATTTTTAAACAAATAAAGACACCTCAATCTTTTCGAATCTTTTTGATATTATAGGTTGTGCCCCTCAAGTTTAGAGCCTAAAACCCATGAAACAAAATATGTTTATTTTACAAACTGTCACAGATGTATCCAGTATATATATGTGAGAAAGCTTTCATTCAGTTCATGTAAAATATTTTATCAAGAGAAAGATACTGTTCATAGTAAACTTGTTATATAAATGTATAGGCCTTCATTGATTTAATATGCATGTTGATATGAATAATTTTATAACTCAAAATTCAAGCTGTGCACACTTTAGCTTGTAAATGATTATTATGAAAATGATCTAACTAAAGAACATCAAGGTACACTATCTGTATCCTTAGCTGAATTGGTGAGCAGAATGCCCATCAGTATGGGGAGCTAACTTTATACAAAATGTATTTTAACATGGCTTGTTTTTCATTTACAAGTATCTAGTGTAAAGTTATGGCATTTCAGTATCAAAATTGGGCATTCTCATTAGAGCCTTGCTTGTTTTATTAATTTAAAGTCTTATCAATACTGTAAAGGTCATAAAATTGTGGTGGCATTCAATCGGAAGACCCTGGGTACCCCTTTATAGTACATTATTTCAGTCACAAGCAGACACCGGAGTAGAAACCCTGAATTTCTAAATACTATATGGATGGCTTCTCAGCACCAGATGAAAGAATTGAATTCCTACCTAAGTGGGTTTCTAACCCACATTATTGAAGGGCAATAACCCTCCCTTCCCATACCAATGCTTTCTGAACCATTTTCCTGATGAATTTCTAAAATAGAATTGTCCAGCTTCCAGTTTTGAAAGTGTGTATGAGTTGTTAGATGTCCATTATATCAATAATTAAGTTCCAACCAGTATTGATCCTGGTCAGACTTATATACAGCTTCAGCTGACCAAAGGTTAATTGCTAATTTGGTTCCAGCAGTTTATGGGTAAAGTTTTCTTATATGTACTGTTTGACCTGTCTATATACTGAAAGCATTTAGGCTTGGCATTACTATGACTTGTGGTCAAAGGATTAATTTCATTTTAACTGTCCCTTACCTTACCTAGCAACACCACAAATGCCTCTTTTAAAATGCAGCCAGGAACATTGTGACATCTGCCTAAATAGAAACTGTCATAAGTAATCAGAAATTGAAACATTTATATCTAGGGATACAAGGTTTAAATGGTATTTTCCCTTGCTAATGAATCAGATAAAGGAATTGGGGGCTTTGCAGTAAATAAAGAAGCAATTAAGTTATCTATGTCCAGCTTGGGTTATCTCTACTTCCACTTCTGTGAACATACTGAAAACAGCTTCACTGTAATACCGTCAGCAAATTTGGTGAAAATAGATTCCTTTTATAATTTGAAAGGTTTTGTCAAATCCCAGCTTTATTTATTTATGGATTTATTGTTGATTTGCATGATCCATAGGTATGTTTTTGTTTTAAAGATTTCAGGTTAAATTATTATTTATCTAGGAATCTTCTTATTTATGTTTATTAAATGTATTTAAAAAGCTCTAAAAGTGTTAAATAAAGATTTGGGTAATATGAAAAAAACAATTTTAAAAAAAATTTGGGTTTTTAATTTAAAATTATTTTATCCCCAAATTTGTGTAGAAAACTTGTTTTTTGTAATTTTCAGCCATACCCGTTTTTACTGTATTTTTGTTTTTTTTACAGCTTTTAATACAAATTTTTATTGTGAATTTACAGCCCGCGGAAAAATGCAGTGCTAAATTTGGGTTTTTTTAAAGTTTTACATGTACAGGGGAAAATATTCTGATTTCCAGCAGCAGATAAAAACATGAATATGTTATTCTATTTTTTATTTAATTCCAGGTTAAAAATAGGCCTTAAATTAAAAAATGCAAATTTTTTTTCAGGCTGTTTATATTTATTCAATGATCATAATCTTCCTAAGCGACTTCCCCTTTAAATTTAACGGGTTTCTATCATTTTTTTGATTCTTTATGATATTTACAGCTTGTACATAAAAATTTTAAAATTAAATTAAAATTTTTTTTTAACAGGCTTTTTTTGTTTTCATTTAAAAAAATGTTAAATTTTTTATTTTTTACACTGTACATGAAAAAATTTTATTTAATTTTTTTTATATTTAACCCGCTGTCATGGGGAAAAAATTTTTTTATATTTTCAGCTGTACATGATAACCATGGTGTTGTGTGGACAGATGGACAGGGAATATATCTGACACCAATATCTTTGTTTCAAGGTCAAGTGGAGAACCAGGAGCACAGTAAACTTGGTGAATTTGAGTACGTATATGAAGTATCTGATATAAATGAAAAAAATTATCTTACTAGTAGGCAATGCAGAATTTTTAAAGGAAGATTCAAGGAGAACGTATCGTAAAGAGTAAATAAGCAAGATTTCAGCAATAAATTACTGCAGGATAAATTGCAAAATTTAATGACTGATAATTGATTTTTACAAAGCAAGTGGATGCTGTTGCTGCCATGTATGTGAATTTGAAAGAATTTAAAGTCTGTGTCAGGATTCAACCATACTGCACTCAGAGGGGCTAGAAATTTTAAGTCTGTAATTTTAACAAATTGGCCTCCTTGACCCATGATTTTATTTTATAACACAACCATTGTGGCTTATTGATTTGTAGTTTTCTGTCTCAAGTATTTAAATTGCATGCCAGAGGAGATGGTAGTTGTGTGCACATCATTTGTTAATTCAGGGCAAATGCAAGAACATAATTGTATAGAAATAAATTGAAATTGATTGGTAAAAGTTAATGCCTCTCTTTATTTATTTTGAAAATAAGTCTTTATTGTTATTTCAGTGTTTTCCATTATCAGCTAAACTGTATTGCACTTTTGCACCCAACAAAACAAACAAACTCTCATTTTTTTTCTAAAAAACAAACAATTCTGTCCTATTTATATTATTGAAGATGAATTAAACTGCAAATTAGCAAATTACAAAATTTGCCGGCCTATTTATGTCATAACAGATGAATTAACTAAATCAATGAAAATCTTGCAGCGATATGGTTTGTGCTTTCCGCAATTTCCTATATATTAAATGTATGGCTTTGATAGCGACCATATTAATTTTGTCACTGTTACGTAAAATTGGAATAAGCAATTTTCTAAGTGATTTGAACTGTTTTATTGGCATGGCATTGGTAGAATCAATATTTGTTATTGATATACTGTTATGTGAAATGTAAAAATGATCATAGTTGAAAACATTTTTATGTAGATTGTTTCAGGTTGAATAAGTCAAGTCGTTTTCTTTGTTTTCAGGTTGAATAAGTCATCGTGTTTCTCGGTCAATTAAAAAAGATCATAGTCTTAAATTTAACGAGGGATTAATAGATTTTCCCTCTTTTTGTTTTTAGACATCTTTAAGAATAATCAAACTATCTAGTTTCATTTTTCCCGGGCCCTTTGTAAGGGTTTCTTCCCAAATTTTTTTTATTTTCCTTTTTTTACATTTTTAAAAAATTTTTTTTATTTCACCCCTTTATTTTTTTGGTCAAAGGGGTTTAACTTTTTAAATTTTTGAAATGTTCTTTGGGAAAAAAATTTACATTTAAATCTTTTAAGTAATTTGGGGTTTAAACATATTTTCCCAAATTTTAAATTTAAAATTTTATCAATTAAAATTTTGGGAAAAAAAAAAAAAAAAAAAATAAAAAAACAAAACAAAAATTCTTTTTGGAAAATATTTTTTTTATGTTTATTTATTAATTTTAGGAAAAAAAAAAAATTAAAAAGAAAAAAAAAAAGCTTAAATTTTTTAAATTTTTTAAAAACCTAGATTTTAAATGAAAACGACAAAATTTAAGGACAAATATTTAGTTTTTACGTTTATATGAGAAAATGATTTACATTAAGTTTATTTTCAAATTGTTGAAATTCTTTGTTCATTTAAGCCGAACAAATTCCATCTTAGGGCTGTTACAACAAGAGGCTTTATTGCATTGTAAAGGACGGGTTTGTAGGGATAAAAGAATAACAAGGGATTAATTTATAGATTTTTCCCTACTTCTTGTTTTCTTGACCTTTTTAAGGAATAATCGGCTATCTATCACAGGTTTCCCGCCTTAAAGTTGAAACTGTCACAACTTTGGGTAAATTTATTGCGTCTGCTAATCAGTTTTTTCCCTTAGGCTGGCTAAAATAGTCATTAATTCAACTTTTCGAAAATGATGTATTACAGAAGATTTTTCTTATTGTTTCTTTATATACAATAAATTTCTTACTTATGTCACAATAGATCTGTGTTAATCACCCTAAGCCTTTGACACAGATGTGACCAAACATTTATTCAGTATATTGTTAAAAAAAGGCATTATTTTTGGTAATGTCAACTTTATTTCTACACGTCTTAGGTTGAAGACATTTATATGCATTATTTTGTACCATATATATAATTGTGATAATCTATATTTGGATCCAGTCTGATAGACTCTCTGTGCTGTCATATAGATGGTTTCCTGTGACAAATTTAAATTTACTTAAATCCCAAAAATTTTTTTTTTGGCCAAACCCCCCGCAGGGATATAATAATTTGTTTCCCCTTGTGGGCCTTTTTTTTTTCTTGGGGAATGCGGTAAATTTGGACCTTGGTCATTTATTCATTGGGACCCCTTTTTTTGGGGATTTGGGGCTTTAAAAATATTTTAAATCATAATTAAAAAACTTATATTTTTTAAAAGGCTGAAAAACCCGACATTTTTTTTAGGGGGATAAGTTGCCCATAAGGCCCAGACTTTTTTTGTCTCCATAAAATGAATATTTTGGTGAAGAATGTATGAATTAATAGTTTTTGTGTTGTTATTTTATAGCATAGACAGTCCATTAGAAAGGTAAAAAAGGAATGGAGACATTTTCTCCATTGTGATGAATGGTAACTTTGTTGTTTATGTGTGTGCAGGGTCAGATCTTAATGAAATTAATAACGATGGCAACATTAAAGTCATATTTGTGTGAGAAGTGTTGTCATGTTAAGTTAATAAGGAAAAGTGAAATAAACATAACTGATAGTTTTTGCAAACCTATTACAAGAATATTAAAGTGCAGCCTCAGTTTAAGGTTAAAGGCCTGACACAAGGGGTATAACTTATAGAAGGTAGGCTGGCTGCGTGAACGATGGTTTAACCGCACTGGACTTTTTACAGCTAACTGGGGAGGGGGGGCTAAAACCCATCAAAAAGGGTTTAAATTGTTTAAAAAGCCAAAAAAAATTTACACTTTATTGCGAAATTTTTCCCAGTTGGTTTTCCGGTAAAAAATTTTTAGAGTGTGTCTTTTTGGTGGTTTTTCACTTAAAATTTTTTCCCCCCCAAAAAGGGGAAAAAAAATCCCCTAAATTTTTCCGGAATTTTTAAAAAAAGGGAAAAGAAAAAAGGGAAAAAAGAAAAAATTTTTTTTTTGGGGTTTGGGGTAAAAAACTTTTCCCCGTTTTAATACGTAATTCCCCAAAAAATTAAAAACCCAAAAATTGGCTTTTCCCGGATTTTTTTCCAAAAGCCCATAAAGGGCTTGCTTGCCGGTTTTTTTGGTGTTTCCCGGGGTTTAAAAAGAGCCCTTTTTCCCAAGGCAAAATTGAATCCAGGGAGATTTCCCGGGAACCCAAAATTTTTTGCAACCAGGAAACCCCCGGTAAAACCCCGGGGGGGAATTTTTTAAAAAAAACCCCCCAAAATTGGGATTTAAAAATTTTTAAAATTTAATTTTTTTTTTATTTTTATTTAATAATTTTTTTTTCCTTAAATTAAGGGGAAATTTTCGTGATTGAAATTTTTGGAAAAATTCCTTTTATTCCATATTTTTGGGGAAAAGAATTTTGAAGCGAACCAAAAAAAAGGGGAAAAAGGGGGTTTTAAATTAACCAAACAATTTGAATTTTAAAAAACCCAACTGGTTTGTTTTTTTTTGGAAAATGATTGGGGGTTTTCCCCTCTACCAAAAAAAACCGGTTTGCTTCCCACCAAAAACCCTGGGGCTCCTTTTTGGGAGTTTTTTCCGGGGGTTGGGGCCTTTTAAACCCGGGGCCTAATAGCTTTTAAAGGAAAAACAACCAAAATTAATCCCCGGGGTTTTTTGGGCCAAAAGGTTTTTGGGCTTTTCCTCCACAACCAAAGTCGTTTGGAAAAGAAATTAAAAGGAATTATAAAATGAGCATTTTTGCATATTTTGTTGACTTATATGAACCAGCAGATGTCTTTGCACACACATACAATATATTTTTGTAAACTTTTTACTTAGATATTTTTACCCTTTAATCCATGGTAATTTGCTTACAGTTTGGTGGATGTTTTTTTTCAATTTTTGTAAAAAACTATTTCTGTACAATATTGACAGGTTTAGTTTTAAAGATTTTGTGAAAGATTGTAATGTTTTTGTTCATGGTATTTATCATGTGTCTCCATTATAAGTTTGAGGATTAATGGCAGCTTGATGTATATGTAGGAAATGTTGTGACAGTGTTAGCTCCCCTGAATCCTCAAATTGTTTGAATAATCTACTAATCCATATTTTTGGGGTAATATGAATCTTAGTTATTGTTGTATGTCTTTAAGAGACAAAAAATACAGGGGACATTAAATTCTATTGGTGGGATTTTAATTCACACCTAACAAATTTCCAGATTTCTGGAATAAAACCCAAGCTGGCCCTTGCATTTTAGTACATGACTTGTATCGTAACTACACACCGTAATAGAATCAGGTTTACTTCCTCATTCGAAATTATTAAAGTCCCTGGCAGGATTTGAACTCACTCTTAGGAGTATTGTATTTCATTACCTGCCTATAAGGTTGATAGCTTATAAGACGGGGTCCTAATATTGCTTTTAAAGTTAAAATCAACAGACATTATGTATTAACCCTTGTACAAGATGGTTGAAATTTTTGGGAAAATTACCAAGTCAGTTTTTGTAGGAGCAAATGATTTGACGTCTGCAAATTAATCAGCTGTTAAAAAAGAAATAAGTTGTAGAAAATTGAATATAAAGATGTATATGTTGAAAGACTAGGTTACGTTGGCGGGAATGGCGGCAATGTTACATTGACGGAAAGAAAAAAATCAGATGCCATTTTCATTTAATTTTAAAATTTTTAATGTTCCTCGTTAATAAACATTACCATTTTAGACACAACACAAAGAAGTTCTTTACTCACTGATCATTTGACAATTCTTGAATGATTTTACAGAAACTGTTGTAAACTTGAGCCATACATGCTGATATATAAAGCTGTTATACTAGTAGTTATATTTGAAGAACAAGTAATTACAGGTTCAAGTACGCTGGAAAATTGGAAACATTATTATATTAAAATGGTTTATCAAAAAATTTGTTTTAAACACTAATAAAAATTATGTAATCTAAGTGTGAAATGTTTGTTGTTATCACAATAGAGTATAATATTTAGATTATTAAATTTTGTTATTAATGCAAAGTTTGAAAACCTCAACAATTAATTACAAATGCATAAATTTTCTTGGTGTAATAAATGTACAATGTATTTTCAAGTTTGAATATAGTTTTAAACCCTGCAGATGGTTAATGTCTGAAGATTTTTTTGTCCATATTTATCTTGATCTAATTGTGATATAAATATCAATATTGCCAAATAATTCTATGGACAATGTGCAGAAATTATGAAATATGATATTAGATTATAATTGTGGTTTATTATTGTGTTTTAATTTAATCATTTGTATAATGTAATTAATGCAGGGTGTATGATGTAGGTGTAATTATTTGTAGATTAGAACTTTTTTGATTGATTAACTTATATCATGCATAAAATAAACCTAGAATCCTACTATAGTTCTTAAGTTATATCAACTTAAAATGTATGATCAATTTTACAAAGTCTGGGACAAGTTTTAAATTAATCTTGAAAATTGACAACAAGGGTAAAATTCTTTTAATCATATGATTTTATAAAGCTTTAAAAAATGCAGGAAAATTCAAAATAATCTTATAACATGTTTTAATTCAAATGACCTATTGAGCTTACATAGCATTGATGATGTCATGATAATTTATGTTGCATGTGTGGAATTTAGAAAATGCAAACATAATTTATCATTACTTTTTACTGAAGATGTATGTCATATAATAAAATTTATAATGATATGATCTAGAATTTAGAAAAAAAAAAATAGAATTCAGTTTGCCCTTAACAATTTATTACAACAAACTTATGATAATAGCTCAAGAAGATTACACAAGCAATTAAAGAATTCTTAGACAATCTGTCATAACATTAAAGCAGCATGCCTCCATATGCATGCTTTATTTTATGAAAATTTCAGTGTTGTTTTAATAAGGAAAACTCTTGTCATATGATCAATTACAGTGATTTAAGCAAGCCTTATGCTCATTTGTTATTTACAGGAATCAGTTCTTATAAATATGTCCAAAAAAGCAAAATGATCGATTGAGCCCATTAGCTTGTAAGTAATAAGAAAATTTATGTTATTAGAAATTGTTAATACTCTCACATTTTATATAAAACATGCAAATTATCACTTTGAATGTGAATATTATGTATTATATTATTAGGATAGGTTAAAGTCATTTGACCTTCTTTGACCTTGTCACTGACAACAAGTCGCCATTTTGGGAATGTCTAACGCATGTATTTTTTCTATGTTTATCTTCAGTCGTGGTGTGAAGTCCATCCATTGGAGTGACAATATAAGTGCAGGACTATGTTATATGTGTGTTGTACATGACAGAAATATCTCCATATGGAAAGTTGAAGGTCGCCAACCAAAACTGTCATTCAAACAAGTTAGAAAGATCAATATTCAGCCTATACCACAAGGTAATTAACAGGAGTGATTTGTCTCCTCCAACTTTGAAGAGTATCAGCGCTGTTTCAGTTTGACCTAAGAAATGTAGTTTGGCCTAGGAAATGTGGTTTGGCCTAAGAACTGTAGTTTGGCCTATGAAATGTAGTTCAGCCTAGGAAAAGACTAGATTTTTATGTACATTAAATAGATATGAGATATGTTCATCAACCATTTACATTTTGAAGCTGTTTGTTTTAGCCCATACAATACTAAAGCCAGCTATGCTCTGGCTTTGCCAGTCATATAATGTAGTCAAACAATTCGGCACATACAATCTTCATGACCAGACTTTATATTGTTGTCACCTCCCAAGATTTCATCTTGATAACCATGTAACTGATAATGGAATGTTCCAATTTTAAAGTTGGGAAAGTCCATTATTCAAAGTAAACTGATTAAAGTAGAAACATTATTTTTTAGGGTAAAGGTCATAGTGACTAAAGGTACATACAAATGTATACTGAGCAACTTTCTGTGTGAAACTAAGTGGCAGCTTCACCTTAAGCTTTGTAAGCTTTAAAAACAATTAAAATTGAATTTTTTCATTAAATTTCAAATGAAATTACAATTATACTACCTGCAATGCACAAAGAAAGTTTTCGGTTACCTTTCAGAATAAACAAACAGAGGGAGTGTTATAAAATGAAAAGAATACTTGATGATTATAGAAACAATTTAAACATCTGTGTCATGATTATCTGTTAAATGTAAAATAAATATGAAGAATTTAAATTCTTTAGTATGGCCTATCTATTTCAGCCATTTATAAACAGGTGTTTGCTTCTTTTGGTGTAATTTATAAAGAGATTAATTGTGTCACATTCCTGAAATTTGTTGAAATTTCAAATTTTAGAAATGCTTTTCTCACTTTGCATTTAGATATATCATGTCAGTGTTTTTTGTGTGTGTCATTTATTAAAACATGCTGCATATTGATTTAGTATGGCAAATTATACATTTAATACACTTTGATATTGTTAATCTTGATGTTGTCTGCAATGATGTCATTTCCTGTTTACCTGGTGAAGACTGTAGCCATTGCTATTAAATAGCATAATATAGTTATAATTTTAATTAGAGTTGACTTCTTTATTCCTGTTTACATTACATGATTGTCATAAGCAGGCAGTTGTCGACCAAAATTTCTGTCACAAATCCTTTTTTGGCTTCCTCAAAATTAAAAAACACAGACCATTAACTTTTGTTGTGTATGATGAATCCCTCAAATTCAAAACAGACTGTCTCAGAAAAATTATAATGACAACCCTGCATGAAGACTTCTGAGTAAAAAAACGAAGCGTTGTACTTATGAATGAAATAATACAGTTATAACTTTATTTCAAGTTGACTTCTATTTTACTGTTTACATTACAGAAGCATTTTAAAATCATTTATCTAAACAGGCTAAGTTTCACTCAGTGTATAAGCATAAATTATTATTCTGACGTGAATACTTAATCAGTTACAAATCTAAAAACAGATATACATAGATGAATAGGCATTTAAAGAAATACAATACGCCACTCTGTGTTTTAAAATATCGGCGAATCTGTTTTTGTTTTATCTCCGAACATTTTTTTTTGTTAACTTGGATGAGATAGCATGATTTTACAACTGTGAGCACTTAAAAAATACAATTTAAGATTTATTGTTTGAAATGTCAGTGAAAACATGATTGTTTTCTCTCCCTGCTTTCAGTTTTTTGAAGTGTACGCACTTATCAACAGTGATCAATTTTTTTTTTATTTATATAAAGGATACCTTTCGGTTTTTAATGACAGAGATTTCAAAAATGGGTTATTAAAAGTAATCATTTATGCTTCACTCTCTATTAAACGATAGTGTACTGTTCAAAATTATAATTTATAAGTGTTTGAAATGTATTATTTATAAAGATATTTAAACTGCACATTCAAATTATGTTCAAATTATTTTTTCAAGGATTGGTACAAAACTAATTTATCAGTATATAAATTAAGATGGCAATAATTAAGTTTTACAGTTAACCACACATGATGAAATGAATTGTTAACTGTTATTAAATTTACTCATTTAACTTACACTAAATTTTGTATGGGGGAAATTATTCCTGTTGTAAAAAAAAGAAATTGAAAGTTTTAAATATTACGTACAAATGAATATTTATTTTGTTATCTCAATGTGGGATTGTGTTGTAAAGAATATTTATCACATCTCTTTGTGTAAAATTGTTTGATGGGAATATTTTTTTATTTTACATTAATTTTGTTTCTTCGATATTTATAGGATGTTTATGGAATCCAAGTCGTGACATCTTGTGTGTGTTGTGTGCGCAACAGTCAAGTTTATACTTCAGTCATGTACATAACAAGGGAAGTCAAGTTTTACTTCAATTAGAGAGGTAGGTTTGTGTGGCGTTGGTGTTACTTTTATCATACATAATTATTGCGATGTTATTCTTATCACCAAAGCATCAAGTTATTTTAGGCAGAAATGATACATAGAAGTTTCATGAAAATATCAGTCTCTGTGCATGTATGAATCAAACCACAGTTTCTAGATTGCTGCTCCAGTATGCAAACTAACCACTACGCCAATATTGTCACCCTAGTGCAGTAACGGGTTAATTGAATTTTAAATGGAGTAAACCCATTACTCCACTAAGGTGACAATAATATTATACATGTATATATATATCATTTAATGCCTTATTAGTAGGATTGTTAAGTGTCATTTTTTGCTCACCGCACGGCACTGTGGACCTGAATACCAACATGAACATTGAATTGTGTATATGTGAGAGAGATACCCAGATAGTTCAGTGGTGCCTGTTTGAGCTAGAAACTCGCTGATTTACTCTAATAAGTAATATATAAATAATAATATTTTGAAGAAAGAAACATTTTATAAAATGACTACCTATTCTTATAAATGTGCTACAAGTTAACCATTTCATGTTTCCTAATATTATGTCATGCTAACATCATAAACAATATGTATGTACATTACAGAGAGAAGATAAGATGTGGCTGCTGGTCAACTGATGGACAAAAACTTATTATTTGTATTGGAACTTCTTTAATGGTATGTATTAGTAATTTCAATGATAATTTAAGTGGAACTTCTTAAGTCATGTAAGTGGTATGTATTAGTAATTATAATGATAATTTAAGCGGAATTTCTTTTATGGTATGTATTAGTAATTTCAATGATAATTTAAGTGGAACTTCTTTAGTGGTATGTATTAGTAATTATAATGATAATTTAAGCGGAATTTCTTTTATGGTATGTCTTAGTAATTTCAATGATAATTTAAGTGGAACTTCTTTAATGGTATGTATTAGTAATTTCAATGATAATTTAGTGGAACTTCTTTAGTGGTATGTATTAGTAATTATAATGATAATTTAAGCGGAATTTCTTTTATGGTATGTATTAGTAATTACAATGATAATTCATGTGGAACTTCTTTAATGGTATGTATTGGAAATTTCCATGATAATTTAAGTGGAACTTCTTTTATGGTATGTATTGGAAATTTCCATGATAATTTAAGGGGAATTTCTATAATTGTATGTATTGGAAATTTCATTGATAACTTAAGTGGAACTTCTTTTATGGTATGTATTGGAAATTTCAGTGATAATTTAAGTGGAACTTCGTTTATGGCATGTATTGGAATTTTCAGTGATAATTTAAGTGAAATTTCTTTAATGGTATGTATTGGAAATTTCAATGATAATTGGATTGGAACTTCTGTAATGGTAGGTATAGAAAGTTTCAATGATAATATAAATGAAACTTCTTTGATAGTAGGTATAGAAAATTTCAATGATAATTTGATTGGAACTTCTTTTATGGTATGTATTGAAAATTTCAATGATAATTTGATTGGAACTTCTTTTATGGTATGTATTGAAAATTCCAATGATAATATAAATGAAACTTCTTTAATAGTAGGTATAGAAAGTTTCCAAGATGATTTAAGTAGATTTTCTGTAATGGTATATATTGAAGATGCCCATGATAGTATCAGTGGAACTTCTTCAATGGTATGAATTGAAAATTTCAATGATAGTTTCAGTTCAACTTTGATGATATTGCAAGGATTTAAAATTTCTATCACTTTTGTAGTGTTACAGCATTTTCGGTGGTTGCATGAATAGAAAAAACATGCTTTTATTTTCAAAATTTATGTGTAAAATAGTAAACAGGTACAGTGCTGATATCAAACATTGATAAATAAGTTATATTTTTGACAAATACTATTTTATTTCAGGTCTATCACTGGTCAGATATAGATAAATCTTTAACAGAATATAAGACAGTAACTTGGACAGTACCTGGGTAATTATTTCATACATTTTCTTAATAAGGTAAATCATATGGTTAATAAACTGTAAGGAAATGTTTTGTGAAAGGATTTTTTTTTTCATTTCAATTAACATTTCTTTTTTTCCATGCAAGAGTGAATAAAGTTTACATTTAAACCCTTTTTAGCTCGACTATTCGAAGAATATGAGAGCTAATGTAGTCGCCCCGGCGTCAGCGTCCGTGTCGGCGTTGGTTAAAGTTTTTTGTAAAGTCAAATATCTCAATTATTGCTTGAGATATTCAATTGAAACTTACAATATTTATTTATAGTAACAAAATACATCAGATTGACAAGTTGGATAATTTTGCCTACAATATTGACAGAATTATGCCCCTTTTTAACTTAGAAATTTTGGTTAAAGTTTTTTGTAAAGTCAAATATCACAATAATTATTATTGCTTGAGATATTCAATTGAAACTTACAATACTTATTTATAGTAACAATGTACATAAGATTGACAAGTTGGATAACTCTGCCTACAATATTTACAGAATTATGCTCCTTTTTAACTTAGAAATTTTGGTTAAAGTTTTTTTGTAAAGTCAAATATCTCAATTATTGCTTGAGATATTCAATTGAAATTTACAATACTTTTTTATAGTTACAATGTACATCAGTTTGCAAAATTGCACAACTCTGCCTGCAATATTTGCAGAATTATTTGCCCCTTTGAAACTTAGAAATTTTGGTTAAATGTTAAAGGTCTTCAAAGATATTTACTTGAAACTTTACATATGTACTTAGGGTCATAATTGGAGGGTCATAATTGTATGTCACTGACCAAGTTCCATAACTCTATCTTGCATTTAGGCTGATTCATCTCCCCTATTCTACTTAGTCTCTTGGTTAATGTTTACATGCAAGTTTTACATATCTCAATAACTATTAAAGATATTTATTTAAAACTTCACATATGCATTTAGGGTCATAATTGTATGTCACTGACCAAGATCCATAATTCTATCTTGCATTTAGGCTGATTTTTCTCGCCTTTTTCAACTTTAAAATTCATGGTAAAATTTTGCTTGTAAGCTGTTATCTCCATAACTACTGAAGGGTTTGTGCCTTTTTTGGGACAATTTTATGCATTCATAATAATAAAGCAGTGATTTACTTGATAAAACATCTTAATAACAAGCCTTTGTACCTTTTCTGTCAATTTTATGTATTCATAGATAATTAGCATTATTACACTCTATAAAACACCCTTGTGACAACCTTCCGAATAGTCGAGCCAATACTGTCCTCCAACAGTTCTTGTTAACAAATGCGACCTCTCTAAAGCAGACACAGCTCTGATTGGTTAATAACATAGCACAACCTCCCCAAAGCAGTCACAGTATCAATTACTTCTAAAAGTAATATTTTGTAATGCATTTAACCCACGTAGAGCAACACCTCTCATTAACAACCAAAATCTTTGTCACCCAAAGAGTGCTGTCCTGTAAGGGTTGATTTGTATTTGTTTTAGGACAGATTTTTCTCAATAGAGTGGACTCCTTTTAAAATGGAACTGTGGACTTTTATCTGTTTTATTTTCCTGGTTAACCCTTTCCCACATGAGCATATTGTGAAAAATGGCCGTTTTCAGTGAAAAGCCTCCTGTTACAAGTTCAAACTGCTATGAAACTATGAAAAATGCTTCAATACTAATCAAACTTGGCACAAATGTTGACTGGACCATTGCCTTTGTAAGGACATGCTCAGTCTAAAATTTCCTGTTACCATGGCAACGAGGGGTCATCTCAAAATTGCCAAAAATCACTATTTTGCCTCGATTTTTTCCATCAAAATTTATTTCAAAGTGCTGCAACTTCTCAAGGGATTGAGATAGAGTCAAAGGCTTTTCAGTATGGTTACACGTTACCTTATGATCGACCTGGGGTCATTTTCAGCCTCTCACAAGTCCAAAATTTTCTTGGCGATGAGGGGGACTCCGCCCCCCTTCAAACCCCCGAACAGAAGGGGGCACATCCCCCTGATGTATCTTTTGGTGTGGGAGGGGGGGAGCGGCGCCGAAAAAGTGCTCACTTTTTTTAGCAACATTTCTCAAACGAAAACATGTGTTTGGGGCCAAAATAGGACATTTTTTCACTTATTTCAGGCCTCAAAAAGGGGGGGGGGTCGAAAGTGCGTTGTTACGCGTATATATGAGGTAAAGGGTTAAATTTTTAGCAAAACATTGTAATTTTAATTTAAATATAGGAATTTGTCACTTTTTAAAATACTGTTGTAATATTACATGTTAACACAGTGAAGTATTTATTTAACTGTTGCCCTCTATAGTAACATCAATACAATAGTATCAGTAGACAGATGTTTTATAAAACAAAAGATGTTAGAAGATGGGTCAAATGACAAAAAAACGTTTCCTATTGAATTACATGTAAATGTTACACTGATAGAGATAACAAAAAACTTGACATTTTAAAGAAATTGATAGTGTTAATATGTTAGAATTCACAATAGTATCACATCAAGGGATATTTCTATTGAGAAAAAAACTGTTCCCCCCACTGTTTTGACTTTTAAAATGCTCTTTTTTGGTGCAAGGTTTATATGATGTGCTTGCTCTGCTTTGAAATGGGAATTTTAAAGTTAATTTACCCTGTTAAATTTCTTAAATTGACTTGTCCAGCTTCCAATTTTAGAATTGTCCATTATTGATTTTAGGGATAACAGAATGAAAATATGAAGCCAATAATATAGAGGCTGGTAAGACTGCATAGATATGCAGGCTGGTCTTGCTCTATACTGGTGGCAAGGGCTAATTATTTTTAGTTCCAGCAGGTTAAGGTTTATAAGGATTGTAATAATAATTTGAATAGAATTCATGTATAATTTGTGTCTGACAGAAAAAAAGAAGAATTTACCTACCTTTCAATTCAACATGAAAATTGTAGGCAAACTATTTTTAGTGACCTAACGTTTAATGATTTTTGCAGCAAACTTTTTTTTTGTTCTGTTAATTGATAAAATTGATTCTTCAATATTGTTTTGTTTAACAGTCTGTTGTTATTTTGTGGCTAACTTTTGTTATAATTAATTGATTGTACAAAACATTGAAACTTGTTTTCTCTAAAAATATTTCATAAATTGATCTGAAGTTAATTAAAAAAGCTTGTTTTGAATGTAACATTTCTATGTTTTTTATGTTACTTTACTAAATCAATTTTGAAATATTACTGGTAATTTATATTTACATGTTGTTTTTTTCTAGCCTAAATGGTTTTGGATGATTTAAATAGATAATTGATAGATCAGTCAGACATAGATCATAAATTTGTTTGTTGGATCAGTAAATAATGTTATCCATGATTGAATAATGTAACAGCCTCGGGGTCGACATGTTCACCTTTACCCACCTTTTATATAAAATTATTTTGATAGTTTATCAACAAATAGGTATTTGATCAGTATTGATATATTGAAACATGTCTACAATTATTGGTTTAAGGTTTTTGATAACTCATCCCATTTGTTTGTTTGTGTAAAAAATTTGTTGGAAGAGTTGATGTTGTTGTGAAACATGATGTCAGTATGTGGTTTGAATAACGTAATAAGTTTAGTACAGTACTTAAATATTTATTTGATTGCATTTCTCCAATTATATAGCAAAGGCCTGTAGAATGGTGGCCAGACTGTTGGGATATGACCAGAAATGTGTTGAAATTGGTGTAAAAACCAGACAAACAAACAAGATATTCTGTGAGATGCTTAACAGTGGCCCCACTATTTATTATTCAGATCCGTAGACAGATCCCCTCTTTAAGCAAATTTTGTGAGCTGAATATCAAATAAAATTGCTTTTAACTTTGCTTATTTGTAAATTTTTTTTTCAGAGTTGCATTAAGGGTTGCCGGTTCCAATATTATATTTATGTTTTGACAATAATAATTGGCCTTGTTTGAATCATTCTTTTACATTTTTGATAAAATCATTTTACTTATTTTGCATAAGCATATGGATGGTAATAATTGAACATTTAAATCTATTAGCTTGGAATGCTGACACAAAATACCTGACATTGATAAATTTTAACCTATAACCTAGGTCACACATAAATTTTCATAAGTATGCAAATACATGTTTAGGGTTGATTGCAAAACTGTTGTATGTTTAGTGGTGCAACGATATACCGGTATACCGGTATATTGCAATACAGTCTCGGGTCGATACGTACCGCGGTGCAGCTGCCCTGTATTGCGGTTTTTTCTTTAATATTTATGCCGAAATAACATGAATGTAGAAACTTCAATTTTGAATCAGTAAGCAACGATTTACGACATCAAAAACAAAACATCAATGAAACATGAAAAGATTGCCGACACTAGTCGATCCCTGTGATGTATAAAGAAACGCCGCCGCGAACTTTTCCTGACGAAGCTCTTTGATCTTACCGCGCGAGTAGCAGAATCGTGTGACGTCATTTTCAGAGTGCGGCTTTGATCACGCTTTATTAAATTACACACAGTTACGCAATTTAAGTTAGGACTGATTAAAATTGTTGATTAACTGAAATAAAAAAATGGAAAAAGAAGATTTTGAACTAATTGAAAATGAGAAAGCTAAAAGTAAAATATGGGTGGAATTCAACTTAAAAAAAAAGAAAATCTACAGGAAAAATTGAGGACGGCATAGCCGTTTGTAAAAAATGTAAGATGGATATTCGCTACAGCGGAGGGACCACAAATCTAAATATACATTTGACTCGACACCACAAAAGCAATCTGCAACAAGGTGCATGCAAGTCTGGTACAAGTTTGATTGCGGCAACAGCGTCAACCGTAAAGCAGCCGACAATTATGAGTTCTTTTGGGCAGACTTCCAAATACAAGCCTACAAGTCAGCGGTATAAGGACATAACGCAAGCCGTCGGGAAATTCATTGTTAATGATCTACGACCGTTTAGTGTTGTCTCAAATGATGGATTTAAGGATATGATTCGTGTTTTAGACCCTAGATACGACCTACCGTCACGTACGTACTTTTCTGAAACTGTTATACCGAACATGTACAATGAACGCGTGGGATATGTTAAGTCATGCTTGAAAGAATCTACAGTCGCACTAACGACGGACGGCTGGACTAGTGACACGTTGATATTTCTTAAGAAAAACATTTAAAAAGCCTCAAGGACACAGGGTACTTATTCATTCTATAGATACATGTATGTGTTCTAAAAGAATAATAAGAAGAGTTGAAATATAGCTTACGTTTTACTGTTTTCTTTAATTATTTTAGTATACACTGTACCACAATACGTATCGCAATACAGGCTGTCTATATCGCAATATATTGCAATACGGGTTTGGCTGTATCGTTGCACCCCTATGTATGTTCTTCTTTATTTCATTTAAGTTACTGCAGTTTTGCAGTCAACCTCAGAATGAATATATGAAAGACTCCTATAATAAAATGATAAAATCTGAACAGTGAATTTTTTCACAAGTTTTTTTTCTCTCCATTTTTTGTTTATTCAAATATTAGATACTGTAGCACCAGACATGGTAATAAATTGAGAAGCAGCATTGTTTAAAGCTACTTTAAGTTTGAATTTTATTTTTAATTTACAACATCAGGCTTGAGCAGAAATCTAGAAAACTTGTCTACAGATAAGAACAAGCTATAAACATTTTTTACTACAAATAAATTATGTTTTAATAATGCTGACTTGAAGATAAAACAAAAAATTGAATTCATTGATAAGTGAAAGCAATGACTGTTCAAGATATACCAGTCATGTCGTCAAAATTAGACCTTTGATTAATTTATAATAGATCATGAAATATGTGTGAAATGTACGATGTAAAAAATGGTTGTTTGTAATTGATATTGACAGATTTGTAACTGATAACCAGTAACTGTGCCACCCATAAAGTGAAGAACATGTATTCTCGTCGAGGATCGTGAGATATTAGACCCTTCAAACTGACATTTTTGTGACCACTCTATGTAGCTCGAAGCCCCGAGGCATCGCTACTTAATTAGGATCATTAGTTAATGAATTATATATGTGATTTATGTACATATTATATGTTATAAATACATTACATTACATTACTACGTCTTATTCAACCAGGAAATGCTTTGGGAAAATATTTGTTAAATGTTTTAATCTTGGTCCGCCACTCATAGTCTGACTATGAAAAAGTGTGTTAGGCAATATTACGTTTCGAGGATTTAGTTAAGATTTGTTAATTTAGTAATATTTGGATATTACTCATCCATTGCAAGGTATTGTTTTAATATATACAATGTAAAATATTATTTAATGTAATTGTTCACATAAATTGTTATAAATTAACATGTAACTTTCTTTTTTTTCTTCAAAATAATTGTTTCTTTCGAGAAATAATATTTTTATTCTTTTTTGGGTTTATATACATATAATTAATATTACCTTTCATAGTAATTAATTGTAAAAGTTCAATATTTTTACATTCTCTTAAATGATTTATTGATAAACTTGAAAAAGACTTTCTGATTTGACTTCAAGTGATATTGATATCTATCACTCAGCAACTTCAATGTTGCTTTAAAAAGCGTTTTTTTTTTTTTTTTTTTTTGGGGGGGGGGGGGGGTTTTTTTCTATTGAAGCATGAAATAAAGTTGTAGGTTTTCATGATTATGAAAGAAATTTGGAAGTTTTCATCTCTTTTGAGATACGCCAACAATCTTTCATTCCTGAATAGTAGAATCTACATCAAAGTTCTTTTTTACCAATGGAACCACATGGTGTCACATTATGAGTTAGGCAAACAATCTTATTGTTTCAAAGTGTGTCTCCAGTAAGAGGTTTACATGTATTATCATAATACAGTACAACCTGTGCAGAGAAACACATTTTGATTATGTCTGAGAGGTTTTGCGCTACAGAGGTTCAACCTATTGTCAAGTCTTGGGAAAATTACTGTTGTTGTTGTAAAGAGGTGATTGCTCCACAGAGGGTCGGTTGTCTCTACAGAGGTTTACTGTGATGTTGTATTCTTTATTGTAGATTAACTGGTCACATATCCAGTGTTGTAGCCATCTCGTCAGATAGAATACTCACTGCAGCAGAACTACCTCTAGAATCCCTGTGTAAACAGCAAGATACCTTCCTCATCCCTGATTTGTTGAACGGACCAATCAGAGATAAGCTTAGTGATGAAGATATAATAAGACCAAATGGACAGCAGATTTCTGCTAAAGATTCATTGTTAAATCTCCAAAGAAATCCAGATGTAAGTAGAAAGACAACCAATTTTATAATTAAACCCTTTAAGGTCACTTAATAATAGCACCTCAAAAACATGCAAATGTTAGTCATTTTTTAAAAAGAATCATTAACATAACTTGGCATATTAAAGCTGCTTGGCTACTGACAAACCGAAATATTCCAAGACAATCTAACTTGAGAAAATTTTTTAAAGAAAAAGAAAGATTTAAAGAACGGTTAAAAAATTCAAGATTTAAGTAATGATTTACATGTTATGTGCAATTATTGACTGATCTTGCAGTTATTATCACCTGCGTGACTATTACAGTGAGGACTATTTTTACATATTTTTACCTCTTAATGGTAATTTACGTGGATTGAAAGTGTAAATTACTTTTTGTTCACGTCACATATGTTTTTTTTAAAAATTAAACTTAATATTAATTGTTGTTTTTTTTCACATCAACAATATGTCTCTATATTTACAGACAGTAGTAGAGGATTGTTCAAGGTTAGTTTGTGTAGACCTATCTACGGAGAAGAAACCTGTTAAAGTGACCAGTGTTGATGTAAAAGGTGTTCTTACCCCTGACCTACTACATTACCAGGTATAACTTTGTAGCGAGTGACATATTTAAATCTGAATAATTATATAAAATAATAACTTAACCTTTAACCTGCTGAATTTCTGAAATGGACTTTTCCAATATCCATTTTGGAACAGTCCATTATCAAGTTAAGGTATATCAAGATGAGAATTTGAAGTTGGCCAGCCAACAGTATAGAGCCTGGTCAGACTGCTTGGATGTGCAGGCTGGCCTGGCTCTATACTGGTGGCAAAGACTAATCACTTTCACCTTCAGCAGGGAAAATGTTACACAAAGAAAAAAAACCTTTGAAGAAAACTATAAAGCTTCAAAAAGAAGAGATTGTCACATTTAGAATCACGCAATTCAGCATTCATATTCAGGTTGTTCCCATTTATAATAAATTATAATGCACCATTAAGTTGTAATCAACACATTTCCTACCCAGAGAATAGCAGAGACTTTGACTTTTTGTCTATCTAATCTTCAGTAAAAGCCTTGAGGACATTAAGATTATAAAGTCGCCCAAAATGCTTGTTTTGAAATTATTCCCCTCCCAATATTATAGCTTCAAAACAAATCCATCAAATTGGTAAAAAAAATAAAATTGGTGGGGACAAACAGAGGGTAACGCCTTGCCTCTTTTCACCAATTATCCCCTATACTCCCCAAGTTAGAGAAGGATAGGGTGCATAAATACATTTGGAAAAACATTTTGGTACATGCATCAAGCTGGTGTCAATAGTGTTTGATTGTAATTTCAAACCTAGAGAAAAGATGTGTTTGTCAACACCAATTGAGAAAATTACAATAGCCTCATCTTATAAAGTGGACCTAATTACAAAGAAAAATATTAGATATATTACACTTGTCAAAAATACATTTACTATGTCAGAGAAATAGCTTAAATTCAAATATTGAAATTTAATACTAAAATCAAACAAAATTAAACTCTGTCAAAAACAAATACATGACAATGCTACAAAATATCACTGTAATTTCTATCATGATTATTAGCTATGATTAACTAGCTATTGTTATCACTGTTTATACATTTAATCATAGTTGTATGCTATTTTTATCCGGCTATTTTTATAATCCAAGTATGAACATTTCTGATATACAAATATATTTGTATATTATTTCAGGCAAACTTGAACCTGGTACTTGTTGGAAGTAATACTCAAACATTGTTACAGGTGTATTCATATGACCGGAAACAGATCACAAAAACTCTTGAAATTGTAAGTTTTTTTTTATTTTCAAAATTCCATATCTAACTCTTAACCTGCTGAAAACAACTGCTGAATGTTTTAAATGGACTAGTCCAGCTTCCATTTTTGGAACTGTTTATTATCAAGTTTGGGGGTATCAGCATGAAACTAAAAGTTTGTCAACAGTATAAAGTCTGATCACATTGCTAGCCTGGCTGTATACTAGTAGCAAAGGCTAATCATATTGTTTAACTTTCTGTTAATTCTATTAGTAGATGGAAATGTATTGTTATCTTTATGATAAATATTGGTGATATAAAGATTTGATAATTTAACAAAGAATGTGTAAATGGTCGGAAATATAAAATCTCTGCTCACCAAAATTGCAGTAAAGCTCTTCTTGTGAGAGAATGTACAGATTGTGAAGGAACAAAAAAAGAATCATAATTATTGTGTCTGTCATATCTAAATCAATATACTTTATAGAATTTATAAAAAAAATTGTTTGGCCATATTAAGCTTCCTGTATAATTTAATATGACAATAATTGCCAACTTGAGGGTTTTTATTTTAGATATTAGATATTATATTAGGCCTATTTTAGCTAAATTAGTGTCTGTAACCTTACACTGAAAGCACTCAATGAATTATTATCAGAGATATCAGTCCTGTCACATTAAAGAAAACTTGCCAATATTTATTGTTTCATGAAGGGTTTGACATTTTGTGTTGCATGTTGAGGAAAAATGACTTTGACCTTCGACTTTGACAGGACTTCAATGTGGGAGTGATTAAGATATCTTTGCCATGTATGCTCATTTCAATAATTGATTACCTTTCCATGTTTGTTCATGTGAAAAATTTGCTTTTGTGCTTGGAAGAGTTTTATTTATGCAGCAAAGTTTATGTACCAGTAAGTTGTCAGCTGTTAGTTGTTTGAAATTGGTGCAAAATGCTACATAGGCACATTGTTAAACAACAAAATGAATATGTTATACACATGTATGTCAAATAGATGAATTTAAAGTCATTATCTGTGATATGTTACGTTTTATTTTTTAATACCAGGCACTAGACAAAGAGGAGAGGCCCAGAGGGTTAGCTAGTTTACCGAAATCTTGTTGCCATAGTAATGAAGATGGTATATTAGTAATCTGTGGTAAAAGAGGTTCTGCTGATGTTGCTTTCCCTTCATCATCATCTACTGTAACAATGAAGTCCGTACTGAAATTCTTCAATCTTAAACATGGTAAGATTTTAGTGGAGAATCTTGTTTTTTTTCGATATTGGCTAAAATTATACTACCACTCAGTTAAGTCTGTTGTAAACCTTTAAACATTTTGTTTAAGTTAGCCATGTTTTATACCATTTTGGAATTTGGATGAATTCAGTAAAATAATCTGTAAAATTTGATGACATAGATAAATATGCCACACTGTTAAAAGTTAAGGATATCTTCATGTTTATAACTGATGTATGTATTAACACAGACACTGCTGCACAATTTTTTTACATACATTACTTCAGGTCATTATGAAAAGACACCTTTAACTCATACGCAGAGTGTTCCTTCCATACCCGTATCAGTGTCAACAAACGGTCTCCAAGACGACCGGGATTATGATAGCATCTATGACAGTGTGATCAATTTCGATACAAATCTGAAAAATAGAGCCGCTGAGGTGAGAGTGGTGGAGAACAAAGAAAATAACAATACATTCAAACAAATACCCAAAGAAAAATCAGATAGTTTTACTGACAGTGTTCTTTCTGAAGTTTCAAAAACAAACGGTGACAGTAAGTACACGAATGGTGATGCAAAAATTCAATTTGAGGTTCCCGACCCTCCAAAACGACCTGTTCGGAAGAAGAAATCTATGCGAAAAAACCGAGATGACTTGTCACGGCAGTCTTCCGGTTCAAGTCAAGGGAATACAGAAAATGTCACAACTAAAATGCCCATGGAGTATCTCTCTGATTCACCAGAAATGTCCCCCAGGGATAATCTCCATTATGCTGAAAGTACCTGTTCATCAGAAAAATCTCCAGAGTTACACATGAAAAACACAGAGAAAGAAAATGCTGTAGTGCAGCAGCATGTGACTGATGAAAATGTGTCTGGAGTCAAGTCTGAACCTGTGTCTGTAACTGAAATACCAGTTGAATCTAATTTAGTGAAGATTGTAACAGAAGTTAGTGAACATTCTGTACCTCCAACTGAAGAACTCTCAAGGGAAATAACTTCTCTAAAAATTGGAATACAAGATGAGAATGCTAGTTCAGGAAGAATGAATAAAATAACTGAAATAGGGGGAGATGAAGAAATCTCAAAGACAGATCTTGAAGTTGAAAAAGTGGATTTTGATTCACAGAAGTGTAATTTTGGAACATTAAACTTTCAGACCTTGTGCAATGAGGAAACTGAAAGCCAGACAATCATGGAAAATTATTTAGAGGAGAAATTAAAATCAAAGTCAGTTGCCACTAATGTTGTGAAAGAATCATTTGGGGCTCAGAAATTGAGTACATCATTAGAATCTTTAGATGATATCGACAAACTTCTGAAGGAACAGGTAAATAACATCGTTTATTTCAATTTTTCTGACATAAATTACATTTTGTGTTGCATGCTTGCAGAAAAAGGAGAGATTATGTTTTATGTCTTAAAAACCAAAATGATCTAATAAATAGTTACCCCTTAACTTGCTTAACTTCCTAAATCGATTCATCCAATTTCATGATTAATTAATTACAGGGATATCACAATTTCATGATAGAAGTTAGTCAGCAATCAGTACATTTTCACCCAGCACAGCCGTGTAGGCTGAGCTGGCTATATACTAACATTGTTTTCATCAATGTAAGGGTTAGAATTGTAAAAATTCATATTGATTTTTTTTGTGATTTTTACTTTTTTTATTTCAGAATGAGAAAATTACCAAACTGCAAGAACAAATGAATAGATTAAGCAGGTTAGTTAACAATAACATATGGCATTGATAAGGGGTCCAGCTAGTGTATAAGATATGAGCCTGTCCAGGGATCTAGGGTTAAATCCTACAGGAGTCATAATTATGTTTCTCAATCTTTGGCATGCTGGTGCCAAGAAAGTTTACCCATGTGACCAGTGCAGACCACAATCATCCTTGAAACATGTCCCGCCTGACCATGGTCTGCACTGACCGCCATTCAATCATTATCAGTAAATATTTTGAAATTAAAATATAAATGGTGAATGGTTTTGTCCAGATTGAAAAAAGGACAAGTTCATTCAAGATATTTAGCGTGGAAAGGGTTTATACGACACCAGTACTGGTTAGTTCCAGGAAGCAAACTCGAGTATTGTTACAGTAATGTCCTTTCTTTCTCCACAATAGGACTGAAGTAAATATGTATAAACTAATATCTTTATTGTACAGTCAGTTTCGAGTATTTCAGAGATATTAGACCTGTGCAACCTGGACAATGTCTGGCCTGCTTGTTTATATGTTCAGTCTAACTAGGGTACTCATTTATTGTGGGTTTTTTTAATCTGCAAAAGAGGAAATTCTGTGTAAAAGCAAGACTGTTGCATAAAATAAGAACAAGTATATAAAGAAATATCTAGATTACAGGCTTTATTTTCATTCTTTGACGATGTTCACGTGTCTTCCTTAGTTAGGATTGTACATTATTTTATTATCCAACACATACATTATTTACATATATTCTAGTGCTGAAGTGTCTTAGGTCTATAGAAATAAATCAAGTTACTTAAACTTTCCTAATGAACTTACAACCAATGTAAGTAAGATGGAAGTACATGCAAATGGTTTTAAACATAGTTCAACATTTATTACAGGCGTGTAGATGAATCAAGCTGTGTTCTGCCGACCAGGTACCAGTCAGCCAACAAACCAGGTGAATTTTTTTTGTGCCCCCACTTTAGTGGCGGGCATTTAGATTTACCCTTGTCCGTCCGTCCGTTCTCTTTTGTGTCGCATGTAACTCAAAAAGTATTTGACCTAGAGTCATGAAACTTAACAGGAATGTTGATCAGCATGTGCAGTTGTGCACCTGGGTATTTTCGTGTGGATTTATTCAGTATTTTTAGAGTTATTGCCCTTGACTTAGTAAAAATTTGCAATTTTCAACTTGTGTCGCACGTAACTCAAAAAGTATTTGACCTAGAGTCATGAAACTTTACAGGAATGTTGATCAGCATGTGCAGTTGTGCACCTGGGTATTTTCGTGTGGATTTATTCAGTATTTTTAGAGTTATTGCCCTTGACTTAGTAAAAATTTGCAATTTTCAACTTGTGTCGCACGTAACTCAAAAAGTATTTGACCTAGAGTCATGAAACTTTACAGGAATGTTGATCAGCATGTGTAGTTGTGCACCTGGGTATTTTCGTGTGGATTTATATAGTATTTTTAGAGTTATTTCCCTTGACTTAGTAAAAACCGTTTCATTATGTTGTGTTATTTGTTCCTTGAGTGCTTGAGTTAGAATCAACCAACTTTACAGGAATAATGATCAACATCACTAAATTACAGGAATAATGATCAACATCACTGTGAAGCTATGCACCTGGTTGTTGCTAAAAAAAAAGTACATTTGATGCTGAAAATTTGGCATTATACCAAGGTTATTTGAATTATTTAAATTGTCATTGAAGATGAATGAGCTGGATTTATTGGTTGATTGATTGTGTATGTTACATGTTTCAGACACTGTTCAAATATGCTTCTGGTGCAAAGATGGATTTAAAATAGAGAAGAAATTTCTGCTGGACAATGGGCGACTTCAGTTGGAACAGATCAAACAGTCTTTTAGTCTGGACACCGTTGAAATGTACATAGGTAAGAAACTAACCACTTATTCTTGCATATCAGACTGGTGTTTCCATTGGTTTTGCACATGCTGCAGATTTCATCTGGCATGGTGGTTGGGGTGCCAAATGAGTGACATGCTCGAAAATAATATCATTTCAGTGCATTTTATGAATGAACTGCATTCTTAGGGTGATCTAATTTTGCCATTATGAATGAAGTAGTAAATTTATACACTGCTATAAGAAAAGGGTAACAGAGGAAATAGTATTAATATCCATGACAAAAATATCCATGGCAAATAAATTGATGGATGTAAAGCATATAATTTATGGAAGAATCTGCAGAAAAATATCAGACATGTGTTTGTAGTTCAGACCAGAATATTTGTCCCTTGGTGCCTGCCCATGGGCAGTAGTACCCTGGCAAGCATAAGTTTGTCAAAAAGGCAGGTACTTGAAAGGCGAATATTTCGACATGAAACCCAGCATGCGACACAGAATTATATATGTTTTTGCAAGAAAATAAGTTCTGCTTTTTGCCATTGCGTTCTCATTTCGTAAGATTTTGAACGACATTGAAAACTTTTCACTAGATTTTTGTATTTTCATATTGAGTGTGCTGGTAATTTATTTAACACAATCATGTTTTTTTTTAACAGATAATGAAGCATGTGTGGTTGGTTGTAACATTGACGGATACATTCCCATCAGATTTGAACCCGGCTCTACAATCAAAATCAGCGGGAAACCAGCTCTTACTTGACAAGTTGAAAGGAACTACCTTCAATGAATTTGAAAATATGCAATTTTCATATTTTGAAACAAAAATATGGCAGAAAACTGGTTGTGATTTGTGGAATATCCTCTTCATCATTTAATTTAAGGCAGAGTGCAAATACAAACAGTAAGACGGACACAACATTATGATAACATCTATCTCAAAATGAAATAGTTCAATGGACTGATGATTTAATATTACACTGAGATTCAACCCATGAGATGAAGAAGTTTTTGACTGGTTTAAGATTGAAACTTTCTACTAGTATCTGGATTGAAGTAATACGGGGGTAGTCTCCAGAGTACAGTTCTTGATTTTGTCAAGACAATACTATGAAAGCATTGAGGAGTTGGATGAAAGCAGAGAATAATATTATCATATCAGAACTTCAATATTTGTGTAATACATAATCAGCATTACTTTATCTGCTGTTTTTATGATAGAAATTCAGAATTCCTTTCGACTTAATATGAAAGTAGCCCAAGTTATTATATTTATAGAACTATTCATGCTACATGTAAATTAACTGTAGAGGTTTGTCAAGCTGATTATATTTGATACCTTAAAGTGGATGTGTAGATATTGTAAATCTAGTGAAATTTAAGCTATAAGTCCAATCATTGATTAATATTTTTATATATAGGAATGATATTTGACAGATGTCCCTTAATTATTATATTTTTGCACTATGTCTTTTAACAGAAAAGTGGCCATAAAGATTCCTAATTATGATGTTTATTTAATTTAGCGCATTATCTGCTGAAATTATTGTATGGATTTGTCCAGTTTCCATTATTGGAACTGAGTATTATCAAATTTGAGGATATCAAGATGAAAATTGAAGCCTGGTGAGACTAGTGCAGGCTGGCCTGCCTCTATATACTGGTGGCAAAGGTTTAAATCACTTTCTGTTCAAGAAGGGTAAGGGTTAGACATAGTCTCCGACACAGTGTTTGATTGTATTTGATGTCTCATCAAAGAACTTGTTGATATTAACATTCATGCATAACCTTTATGGCAAATTTTACATTTGACCAATTACTGCTATTTTAGATCTGATTTATATATCAATTTTAAAAGCTTCAGAGGGTTGGATGATGACTTTTTACTTTGTTTAAAATCTTCTCGACATTTTAGAGATTTTCAAATCTTTTAGCAAATGTGTTATAGGAATAAGATATGCATGTTTTGAATCATTTTATATACTATCAATTTTAATCAACCATTATTACATATTTTATTCCTTCCTTCCTCTGATGCAGGTTTTAATAAGAGGCTTTTCTAAAGATCATTCGTTTCTTTTAAAAGATTTGTTTCATATAAAGTTAAAAGGTGTTTTTTTTTCCACATTACCTATGTAGTAACACTTCATTCAAATATATTTATGTGGTAACACTACACTGTAACATTATTATATGGTAACTAAACTATGTGATTAGTTAAAGGGACTCTCCCAGTGGTTTTTACATGGAGAAGTTGTGTACCATTTGTTAACTTGGTGTACAAAATTTCGAATCATAAAATACTTATTCTGTTTTTTCCCCAAAAAAATATTTTTATTATGCAAACTGATCAAAATTTCCATTTCAAGATCACCAGTTGATTTATAAGGATTTGAATGAAATTTTATGTTTATGTGTTTTTTGACCTCAGTGGAGCTGTGTTAATATACGAGGGAAAACTTTTTGATGGTGATATATCAACTTAGCGGTGCAAGAAATGATATTTTATGTTTGTAATTAAGCCAGGGTATATTTCATTCTTATACAAATAACGTCTCATTCTATGCAAGGATTATGATTGAGAATGTTCAACTGTATATTGTTAAACTATAAAAATTATATAAAGTTTATACATTATGTAATGCATTTGTAATTCATTAAAATGATTTACTTAATTGTTTCCTGTTGTTCTTCTCTGACCCTCTAAATCCTATTCATGTTAATTTTAATGCTTTTATTCATTTATCAATAAGTTAGTAAATCTATGGTGAACCAATGCATCAACAAATTAATATTATTACTAATTAATACTTACAGTATAATAATAATGACTTTATTTAGAGGCAACACAGGCAAGCCCAGTCTTCCCTATGAGCCTCTATATTATAAATAAATATGGTAAGCCAGTGATGAATATTCATTAAAAAGTTCATTTATTCATTAACAAGTTAACTTTAGTGATAAACCTGATCATTATCAGGTCCACTCATTAAGAATGAAAGTTGGAATTTATCAATTATAAAATTCCTGACACAATCATCCATGTAAACTTCAATGAAAAATTTATTCATTAACAAGTAAATTCAAATGATTAAATCTTTTCATTAATTACAATGACACATTATCAAAGTGGAAACAAACTACATTTATGAAAACTGGCTAATTTGCATGGAAAACAAGATCCAATTTATAACAATGTATAACTGTTTTACAAGGGTTTTGTTAATCAATTCTAAATACAGTGTAATTTAAGTTGAAAATTTAAAGTTATAGTGGATATTTGTTTAGTTCAGTGTAAGATCGGAATATATTTCACCGAGTGAGACAAAAAGTAATGCTTTTATCATGGCAACATAAGAGTAAATCCCTTTTGGTGAACCAAGGTGACAATAAAATTATTCAATTTAACTTTAAAATAAAAATAATGACTTTTTTTAGAGTGCAAAGGCAACGTTTTATAAAAAAATAAATTTTTAACCGATAATACTAATGAAAAGGTTCCAAATATTAAAAATTAACAGTGACGTCATTTACGAGTCACTCATTAAGTGACCAGTTGTGACTGGTTAATTATCAAACCCGAAACCCAACCGTACGGGGCTAAAAATTCAAACGAGTAAATTTCAAATGATTAATTTCATTATTACAAGTGAAATAACCATTTTAGGAAACTGATATATTTTTAAAACTCAACTAAAACAGGTCATTTGTAATTAAAGAAAACTTTTAGGAAAATGAAAGTATCTACATTTTCAAAAGATTCACTGGAAACAAAAATTTTTGTCATCGTGCTTCAAGTTAGTATGCATTTTATGCATATTTTTGCAATAAATTCAGAATCGCGAGTACTTATTACTTTAAAGCAATGAGCTATTAAAGTGGCTCATTTAGAAAAACTCTTAAGCAAAGAAGCTTTTAAAAGAGCAAAGAATGTTTCAAACATGCTGCTGTATATTTACAACAATTTGAAGTCATTATAAAATAAGGAGTTTAAATTTTTTTTTCTGTTGAATAGTGCATTAATGAATGTTGTATCCTCTAAAAACATTGCCTTAAATTGGTAAATGTACTTAAGAGATAATACTTCCAAGTTCAAGCCTATCAAATCTAATCTACTGTTGCTTTAAAAAAATATGTATTTACTTAATTTTATTGGAAATAATATTGTGTGGATGTAACCATTTCTTAGCATGTTAAATTGAAATATGTATTGTCCAAATTCATGACATTAAGGTAAAAAATTTAATATCCCTTTGAAAACTTGTACTATACAAGATATATAAGTGCAACAATCATTGTGTTATTGGATTGCTATATAGCCTAAAATATGGCACTACAGTAGTTCTGTGATTGATATTGTTACTGTGTGTATACCACTTTTGCAAAAAATTATAGTATATGTATATAATTATGCAAATAAATTTTTTTTCAAACATTGAAGAATATGTAAAATGTGTACTGCAAATATTTGTGCACATTATATTTAATCATTAAATTACATGCATTCATTTCTTATTGGAAAATTTGACTTAGAATTTTCTAATTATCTCCCTTTATTTACATGAAATGTTAAATTGGGTAGTATCTTTATAAATAATGCTTATTGGTACTTGCAATATTGACAAATCTTAATTTGAGCATCCTATTTATGAAATAAAACCATGAAAAAATTGTGTTACAGGTTCTTTGATAATATTTTTCTTTTTCTAGCTCCTGTGACCTAGTTTTTCATCAGATGTATCAACAAAAGAATAGGTCACGATTATTGCATTGGGCTTAGCTCAAAATCTATTTTTTTAGTGCACATTTTCATCTTCCTAAAAATACTGCCTTTTTGTTGGAATGTTGTTTGAATTTAATAACAAGAAATAAAATCTTTATTTGGACTAAAATACAATACTTTACATAAAACCATTACATTTTCAATAAAGACAGTGGTCATTCCAAGTGTATATCAATTTATCCCCTAATTAAATGAACAAATTAAGTTTTCAATATTTTTGCATTTATCTCTTGACTAAAGACGTTACTGGTACAACTTAATCAGGTTATTTTTTCTATGGTTAAAACATAGTGCTCTCCCTGCAATCCTTTACTTTTTAAGTGTCAAAGCTCAGCCAGACAAAGTTCAACCATATATAACTGTACAAAACTTTTATTTCGATCTATATAATGAATACACTAATATATAAACTAAACTAAATCATATATACAATTTGTCAATGTTCACATACCTCACTGCAAAACACACTTCTCAAAAGTCAATGTCATTTTCCTCATATTATCCCCGAATTTCTGTCCAATTTTTCCTGTAGAATCCTCCAGCGTTGAAATATATACATAATATAACCTACCTTATAACATCATTCTTCCCTTAACAATACAATATACAAAAGCAATATACATAAATAACATTTGAAAGGGACTTGAAATATAAACATTTTTAAGGATAAGGAAAATCCAAAAAATTTTCATCTTTACAAATTGGACAAACTACACAAGCACATAAAACAATTCTTAACCAAAACTACACTTAACTCAGAATAAAACATCATTTTGTTCCTTAACAGCAACTTCAACCAATTTTACCATGTGAAATTTTATGTATTCAAAATCACTCAAAAACTGTAAATTTGTAGTTTCAACAAAAAGGATCCAAGTCATCAAATGGAAAAGGAAATAAATTTTCAAATTTTATTCAAAGTTAAATGTAGCATGAATGAAACACAACAGAAAATGTCAGCAAACTTTCAATATCTACACTTATTTTCCTACCTTGACTTGATCAACTGGCAAAAAGGTACATCATGGGGTGGTCGACCGTTGGGAGCATCTTAAGGTTAATGACTGGATTCCTCTATGTCAAAGGTTCGATGACCACTTAAGTCTTTTCTTTTATGGATATACTTTTTATGGCAAAGGAGTGACCATTATCGATATATTTTTCGTGACATAAACATAGACTAGGATGTTTAACCTTGTTGTAAATGTAATAAAGACTGGCCTACATTATGGCTAACAAGACCAGGGGCAGCTTTACTTGTCAAAAACTTTGGAAACTGACATCATTATTTTTCGACTGATCGGATTAAAAAAATCCATGATCATTCCAACAATATCAGACACACATATTGCCACAGAATAATCATATATGCTTTTGAATTATAATGTACAAAGAAACAATTATTTTGTTTTATTTATTTTTTTCTAGGTTTTTTTCCATACTTTTTCTTCCCCATAGAGGAGATCACAATTCATTATACGCATTTGCATAATAATGCATGCAAAGATAAATTTTAAATCAATTATTTTATAAAATATAAAATTGCGGAAATTTACAAATAAAATACACTATGTTTTCACCATCACATCTGCTTATAGAATTACAACGTTTGCACCAGTAATGACATTTTTACAGTTACATGAAAAGATGAGGCTGAATGCACAAAATAATGAGAATGAAATCTTGTATAAAAATCTGGCATGTCGCTTTGCCAATGCCAAATTGAAATGAAAATGACCAACATGCAAGGTTCAAGATTAGTCTTGATTTTCTGGTTTGTAGCACCAAACCCAAAGAATTAAAGATAACTAGTAAAAAGCCGATTAAGGTAATTTGTAAAATTAGTAGATATCCGAATGAACTGTTACTGGTAATAAAATTTATGTTGAATAATAATAAAAAATTTCTAGTCCCAACCTATCAATAGCATATGTATTCAATTCTAATTTCATCAATATTGGCACTTAAGTATAGTAATCCATTCCAGGTCTTTGTAGATAATGAATTAAAAAGAAAATGAAAGTTTATGTCTTATTTCCCCATTAATATGATAGATTGGCCATTATTCCCACAAATATCAAAATACAAAAAGAACATTGTGTGCTGAAGAATGTCAAAGAGAATCAACAAATATCTCAATGTGTAAAACTTACACACCTTACTTGTAACATGATAGCTATTAAACAAAGGAACATTTTCTTAAAACTTTAAAAAAACAATCCATTTGAGAAAAAAAAAACAATTTAACAATTTTAAACTCATGACTTTGGTTAACAAATGATTTCATCAAATGTAAAAAATAAAAATCATCAAATGTTATAACAGAAAAGAAAAAAAAAGCTATGAAAAATACATGTTGTATTTTTCCATTAATGAACCACTGAATTAACAATTCTTCAATTTCTTTCTGAACCCAAAATAATTATTACTTAGATATTTTCAGCACCAGTACTGCTCAAAACAAGCATTTTTTTCTTCATTTTTTTTTCAATCATCTTAAATGTTTATGATATGACAACTGGTCACATTCTTGCATAAGCATGAAAAGGAAACATTTTTGCATCCATACATGAGTGAAAAATGCTGACATTAGAACATTCTGAAAGACGTTATTTATTCATTCCAAGTAATGTAATGAACACACTCCATGAGAAAACTATAACACTGATTAACCCTAGCTCGATATTTCACCTTCTTCCAAGTCCATGTCAACATTTTGTTGCACATTTTCTGTACATTCACCTGAAACTTTTTCAGGTTCTACATTTTTATTTTCTGACACTGTTTCTATTTTATCCTCACTAATTGGGCCATTATTTTGACTGGATTCATTTCCATTTTCCATCTGCTTTATGTCTTCTGAGACTTCAGTTTTCTCTATATTGGCATTTTGCTCGATGTTTTCATCCTGTTCTATATTTTCTTTGTTATTATTGGTGTTGTTATCTAAATCTTCATTTTTAGTTTCGTTAACACTTTCATTTAAAACTTCACTATTTTTATTATCAGTTGCTTCTTGTGTAACATTACTATTTTCATTATCATTACTAACTTTTTCAATAACTTTTTCACTGGGCTCAGCTGGTGGCACAATTTCTGGTATACTTCCTGAATTTTCAACATTAGTTTCTTCTCCAGCATCTGTTACTTTCTTTTCTCCTTGAGCTAATGTTGCATCGTCTGATTTTTCCTCTGTATTTTGTTTCTCAATATCATTATCACTCCATCTACTTTTTCGTGACCGGTCTCTATCACTACGATCACGGTCTCTGTCACGTCTGTCATCACGCCGGTCATCTCTTCGCTTCCAATCACGGTCTCTGTCACCACGATCACGTTCTCTCTCCCGACTGCGATCTCTTTCACGTGATCTTCCATGATCACGTGATCTATGTCTATCTCTATCCCTTGAGTCACGCCTGTCGTGATCCCTGTCGTCATCATCCCTATCTCGTTCACGATCACGTCCTCTGTTTGACCTATCATACCCACCAGACCTGTCTCTATTTCTGTCACCATTGTTATTTCTATTCACCGATGTCCAGTTATTAAACGGATAACAATCATTTGACCCTTCTTCAGGTTCGTCCTGTTCATTTTCATTATAATTTTCCTCTTGAATATTAGTATCTTCCTCTTCAACCATATCTTCTTCAGGAATTGACCCTTCCTCATTTTTGAATGATTCGCCAACAAAAGTGTCTTTTGGTTTTAAATCAAGATCCAGCAGCGACACTGGACCTCTAATGTTTCCAGGACCCCTTGGGCCACCAAAACGTTGAAAACCTGGTCCTCCTGGCATATTTCCCATAAAAGGCGGCCCTCTAGGCCCTGGACCGCCCATCATTTGATTCATAGGTCCACCAAATCTGTCTTGATTTCCCATTGGGCCCATATTAGGGCCCCCCATTGGGGGCCTCATTCCTCTTGGCCCTCCCATTCTCGGGGGCATGTTCCATGGTTGATTAGTTGGACCAGGAGGCCCACCTGGTGGAAACCCTCCAGGAGGTGGAGGTCCCATCATTCTCATAGGAGACTGATCCATACCTCTAGGTGGCATATTTGCAGCTCTTCCAAACTGACCGCCAGGGGGCAACGAGGTATTGTTTTGAATTATTTCTGATCTGTCTTCATTTATATCATCGTCTTCTTCCATGTCATCATCTTTATCATTGCTGTCTGGTGGCCACGCCATCTCTGGCTGTTTAGTTCCTTGACCAGCCAGCATTGATAAGCGCTCACCTAGCTGACTAGACTCTGATTGTTTGGTAACTGGTGGCATACTAGCCGGAGGACCACCTAAAAGTGGTCTCATCGGACTCCCAAAACCTGGTGGTGGAAGTCTGAACCCAGGTGGTGGCATGTTAGGATTGAAGCCAAATCTGGGACCACCAGGGCTCATTCCAGGTAAAAGCCCAGTAGGCCGTGGTGGCACTGATGGAGAGCTTGGTATAACACCTGAAAATACATAAATCTCTCATGTTTACCTTTGATCTTTTTATCACTTCATCAATTTAACTTTGGTAAATTGACATTTTTTTTATCAAAATTACATCTCATTAAAGTTTCAAGAAATACTTAACACAATTTACTGTCATGATAAAATTTTGTAGAATAAGGTTTCTGGTTCAATCACCATTTCAGGGTGCAATCAAGTTTATGGGTAAAAAAAAAGCCAGTGCAAAGCAATGCAGGCAATACTATGATGAACTTAAATAGGAGCTTATTATAGTCGGAAAATGCCTAACAAGATGTTACAAACAAGAAATTACCAGCTGTTGTAGACATGATATTTTGTATGGTTTGTGCTAGGGAGTTGGCAGCTGCTGTACTGGGTATACTCATGGCTGGCATTTGAGGTATTACTCCTGCACCAGGCTGTAAAAGAAGAAATAGTCAAGGATTCCTAACTTGAAAGATTTAAGACATTTGTTAAGGAAATATTCAAACATACAGTATTATTATCATTCTTTTCAAAAAAAAAATCAAACAATACTTATAAACTATAGGCAGCAGATAATATAGTTTTATACATTTTATATGTGATTCTAAAACTTTCCTTCGTTTTTTTCCCCCATAAGTTTTTTCCCAATCCTTGAAATGACTTAATTACATTGGTATTATGCTTTTTCAAGCACTCATACATGTCCTAAATTTTTATCTTCTTACAATTCCATTTCTTGAAAGATTTTTGAATTATAAAAAATAATGAATGTCAAAAACATTAAATCTTACAGGTCGGACTCCTGGCATGGTTGGGACTTGAGATCCTGGCATCATTTGGGGTGGTGCTCCTGGGGTCATGGTCATGGGTTGAGGTGGCATGCCTGGCACTACTGGCCTCTGCATTGGCATCATCATTCCAGGCATCATACCTGGCATAGGTGGCATGTTCCCTGGCATCATACCTGTAATAACATATCAGCCTTCTTAGTCATAAATATACTTGTGTCAAAACAAAACGTACAATGTTAACATTTCTGAAATAGGTAAAAATATCCAAAATTTCTCATGTCTTTAAGTAGTTTATTTTGGTCACATATCTCATAACTATGAGAAACAACTTTACAGCCATAGTTGTTGCTATGCAGTTTGCTATATCAGAGTTTTCTGATAACTAATATGCCAAACAATAATAACTATCAATGTAGTTAATCACATGACTCGCAAAATATCTTCAACTAGTAACTTACCCATCATTGGTGGTTGACCTGGCATCTGGGGTAACTGTGGTTGGCCTGGCATGCTAATCATTCCAGCCGAATTGGATACCTGACCAGCAGTGGTGGTAGTCTGTTCTGATTGTTCTATTTTAACTTTTTCTGTTGGGATATCTGAAATACATCCACTATGTTAATACACATATTTATTCAACTCAAAAGCAAGAACATGAAGCAAAAATTGTCAGTGACTTTGTGCCTAAGGTACACATTTTAGTTCATATATCGTCAGTTGGTCCACTTTACCGTCTGTCCTGGATAACTAACCAGTACTTGCCAATTTCACTGTACTGACCAACTATTAATCCCTCATGATCAGCAGTGAGAGATAAATAACTATGAATCAATGTCCGGGATCGTGACAAAAAATTATTATTTCCATGCCTGATGGAAGGCACCAATGACTCTGATTACAAAATAGTTTCCTATCAGTGTACCAACTCACTTCAAAATCTGATGTAAAAATTACAAAATATTCTTATATGCTATCTCACTCCAGGTCAAGATTTGGTGCCTTGTATAATAACACTAATTTTAATGTCCAATTATAGCAAGATTTCATCCTAGTGGGATCTCTTCATGCAAATTTCACATACTGAAGTCTAAAGAGCATTAAATACATGGAAGCATTATACACTCATGTGAGTGAATTACCTTTGAGGTGTTCAGGTAGTGAGGCTCCATCTATGATGGCACCATCAAGAAAGTGTGTTAAGTCTTTTGGTAGATTGTCCCACGGTAAATACATTGACCCTTCATCTAAATCCCAGCTGTCCTTGAACTCTGACTCACGTATACCAGTACTCTGTGCCCAGGCAGTCTGTAAAATATAATAAATATCAACTATCTCCACATTGTAAGATAGAAAGTAACTCCTAAGTTGTTGAATATGAGTAACTGATTTCCCCTTTTTGAAATGGGAATAGTCCATTCATTAAAGAACTTAAAAAAAATCTAATTAATTAAATCAAAAATTAGATTTAAAGCAGCACGCCTCCAGATTCATGTTAATTTTCATGAAAATTTTGGAAATGTATTCAAAAGTAAAATATTTTGAGGTGAACATATAAAGTAATTCACATATTCCAAATGACACTTGCAATCCAAGAAAATTACCAAAAAATTGTCAACATATGCAAAAATAGTCTTTACTGCGATAATAATGCAGTAGAAATATGTTAATAAAATACTGCAAAATCAGTCTTAAACCGCACATAACATGAAAAATATAACTTAGATCTTGAATGTTTTTACCTTTCTTAAAATTTTAGTACATTTTTCTCAATATTGATTTTCTTGAAATATTTTGGCTCATCGGAAGGCGTGCAGCTTTAAAATTCATATATTCTAATGTATGTCAATTTTTGTGACCATGGCAGTCTGAACTGCAGTCACCTATAAGATGGCTGTGCATGGGTTAAAACAAAGCAATATATTGTTAATCAGATAGGATTATCTACTATTCACACTGGTGCCAGAAAAAACCTGTCTTACACCCATGTGTTAGACAATCTTGTACTTTAAATTATATCATTCCAGCACACCTTTTATTGATGAAGTGGGACCTACGGATGACATTAATTTGCCATCATGAATGAAGTTGTAAATTTATACCCTACTCCAAGAAATATGCTAAATGAAAAAATAAATTGTTATATTTTCTTTAATATATGTCATATGTTATATGCAAGAAAAAGAATCTTGGATTGGCTGTTGTCACAGATGAGAATATCTAGCTCTCATGTAACTGAAAAGCGGAAACTTGACAGCTTTGTAACTGCCGTAAAGTTACCCTCAAGCTAGATATTCTGATCTTTAACAGCAGCCGGTGTAAGATTCTTTTAGTCTAGTTTTTCTACAGTTTCCATCTGTTTACCTTCAAAGCACTGCCATTCAATTTATGCCCTTTAAGTCTGTCGATTGCCTTGAAGGCGTCCTTACGGTTTGTCATTACTACATAAGCACAACCTCTTGGAGGAACCATCTGTGAAGATAAAAAAGATATTCTATGTTATTTTAACTTCTTTTTACTCATTCTATGTTTAAAATCTACTTTTAACAAACAAAATTTCTTGACTTTCTATATTCTGACATTTACAGAACAGTTTCAAACATCCCCCACCCCCCAATTGGATACATTCTTATCTTCAACTGAAATTCACTTTTCAACAAGTTCTATCAATAATAAAGATCTTGAGTTCTAACATTGATTAATCCTCTTCATTTTTCTAAATTGCCCACAATTTAATTCTACTTTGCCTAGTATTACAAAACAATTTTAACCCAGAAACAACATTGCTGCTCTATAATCATATTTTCACAGCTCTATTCCATTGTTTTTAAACTTGTCTTTTTTTTACATTTTACTGTTCCCTTCCTACCGAACCCAAAAATGTCAGCACAATAATCAAAATAACCATTACACCAAGCTGTTTTATTAACTTACATTGATATTTTCTACAGGGCCATATCTCTCTAGTTCTGTTTTAAGCTCCTCTTCTGATGTAAACTTATTTAAATGACCTATCCATATAGTAGTTGTGCAAACTGAAAATAATGAATATTAACCATGCTTAATTTAACAGTTCAATAAAATTGCATATATTTACAATCTGGACAGATATTTGTTTTATCAAACTCTAGAAAGATAAAAAGTTTATTTTGCAAAAATATAATATTTTTAAATATTTTAATCTGGAATGAAATTTAGGTCATAGAAAGAAACAGCTAAAATCCCACTTCTGGCAAATAAATTGAAATTTAAGAAGAATTACATCTTTACATAGAAAATGAAAATCTACACTCAAGAACCAGGCATTTAACTGTTTACATTTCAAATAAAAACCCCAACAACTTACTGGTAACAAAATTAGCTCTAACCAGAGGAAGGCCCTTTTTCTTCCTATCTCGTTCCCTTTCTTTCTTTTCTCTATCTTTTGACCTACAAAAAATCCTCAATTATGATCCACATATACAATGTCATTACATAGTGGGATTACCATAGCAGTAAAGTAATTTTTAAAGTCTGGAAAGTGGGACATAAGTATGTAATGCCAATTTCATATGAACAACAAGTATTTGTAGTTGTGTTAAGTTATTTCTTATTTATATCCAAAATTTAAGTGGCTAATTTCATAGTTCCGAGTTGGGAGTCATAAATCCAACAAAAGAAAATAGTGATGTTTTTATTTATTTCATCCAATTTTAATAAATATATCAAAAAGTCAACATTCTTACCTTGACCTCCTATGGCGATCTCTAGATCTGGATCTTCGTCTACGATCTCTTGACCGAGATCTTCTACGTCTTTTGGGTGTTCTGCAAATAAACAAAATCATTTACAGTTTATAAATTAACTACAACAGAAAGTAACATATACAGTGAAACTAGATAATAGTCCAAAAACATTACGAGTACTGGCTTTAAATCTGCAAATGTTTGTGTCTGAAAAATGTTGAAATTAGGAATCATCATGTGTTTCTTATATACTTGTATACTTTAAGTGAGGACCACTAAATCGAATTCTCTTAAAATCATTTATTTTCTTTCTGCAGGATATCGTATATATGACTATATCTTTCAAGGGAAAGATTCTATAAGAATCATATTTCATGACAGTAAAAAAGATATTTTTCTGAACATAAAAAATTTCATTTTTAAATGACTTTCCTTCACATCTATTATGAGATTTTATTTCTTCATTTGTATGGGTATTTAACTACTAATCTTGTGACTTGACATAACAATTTCTCATTATTTCTGTCACAAATGAAAACTACATTCAATAGCACTTTACAAATCTTTCTTAAATGAAATAACCTAATGTTCCTGGTCTTGTATGTAATAATTAACCATTTTTTCATAGACTAATTTAAAACAATACCTTGACCTAGATCTATCCCTTGACTTGCGGCGTCGGTCACGTCTATCTCGGTCATCTCTGTCTCGGAATTGCTGGTGCTCGCGGAAATCTTCATCTTGAACTTCTTCCATATACTCCCCTTCCTCTGCATATTCAGCATCCGGGGCTGGTGGCTGGGAACCAAAAGGTAGAGGTGGTTGCTCAACACCCTTTCATATTGCCAATATGGTGTTAGTATAAATACACAACTAATCTATGTTAAGTGCACATGCGTGAAACCATTTCTTTGAAATTACTGTTTGCATTTAGGGTTTGTAAACTGGTATACAATATTTGTTTAAAAAATTTACCACAATATCAAAACTGTTGTATAAATAACAAGTACAGTTCTTCTGAAATGATTTCACTGTAAAAAAACTCATGCAACAAGACACTGACAACAAATAAAATAAAAAACTGTTTTACTACATACCTAATACTAAATGATTTTTTACCAAGTAAATCATTTCAAGAAATTATTATTATTTCACTTTCTTAAACTAAAGTGAAGTGGTGGCCTAGTGATTAAGTTATTTGTACTATCAACACAGGAATCATAGGTTTGAGTCGTAAGATGGTCACAGCCATGCCTTCTCATATACACACATTGTCAATTACTGGTAAGCTCTTAAAAGTCATCTATAAAACTTGCAAAACCCTGTTTCCCAAATAAACTTAATAGTACAGTATGTATAAACTAACATAAAAGTTACAGTAATTTCCTATTTCTAATCTAAACTAAAAAGTAGAAGTAGATTCACCCCTATTTATACGACAATTCATTATATAAGGATATTTTCAAGACTATATATGAAGAAAAACAATAGAAAGTCTTAAATGGTAAGCCATGGGCTTGTATGCCACCACTAAATTTGCACACTGATACTATTTAAGTATATACCTGTGCTATTTGGTGATCAAATTCCGCCTGTTGCTGCTCGAGTATTCTACGTCTCTTCTCTTGTTCTGTAAGCTCCGTTGTATACTCATTATTTTTCTGTATGGTCTGTGAAACCTGATGTATCTGCTGCATCAGACCAGAGTCATTCAGGATTGTCTGTACATCTCTGTAATTAATTATGTTTAAAATCGAGAATCAGTAACTGATTATTCTAGTGATTTACTCATTGTTACTATGGTACGTCTTTATCAAAATGTACATCCAGAATACCATGAAAATCTCTATATTAAATAGAGTGGTCAACTTCCTTATAAACACCTGCAAAGATTATTGTGCTAATTTAAAAACGAGAAATTTCATGTATCTATCCTTTCCTCTGGTTCCTATCATAACAGAATACATATCTACAAAATGCAGGCTTAATCATCTGGGTGTCCGTTTGACCCTTAAAATGACTCTTTGACCCTTCAAATTTCCAAAAGGCCTGATTTGACCCTCAGGATATTAACTGGAGGGCCAAAGTTTGTAGTCGATAAAACTTAGTCAAAATGACCCTCAGGATTTCATGGCTAGTGAACACGCTGAATTCATAAAACTGCATGCCCGAAATCTGTTTTTAACCCATTACCTGCTGTTCATTATCAATTTCAGGGATATCAAGATAAAATTTCAAGACAGTAAGCAGAGTAGAGTCCAATCAGACTGCACGGATATGCAGACTTGCTTGGCTTGATACTGGTACCTAATCACTGTCCATTTCAGTACCGTAAAAGTTAAACTTAAAAGAACATGTATTGTGTTTCTTTTTTTCTTCCTCTAAAACATAGATACTTCACATTAACTGTGTTAAACCTTTTCCTTGATTTCCACATTTTTCTATATGCATTTCACCACCTAATACAAAATTTAATCATAAAATAAGAAGTTTTGTCTGAGAATTCAATGATGAATTCTGCAGTAGCTGGTAATATCCTGCCTGCGTAAGTTTATGGAGTGGGCAGCCACTAATTCAATCTAATGCAAATTTATGTCATTGTTTTATGTAACTATAATATTATTTATCATTTTTGTTCATATGAAAAGGATAATTTGAAATAATAGACAAACCCAGTAAGGTTCTGCTGTGGCGGTCTTCTATCTTCTTCATCATCACTCTCTCCATAGTCAAAGTCAAGAAGTTTCTGTAATTGCACAAACATATCCAGGTAACAGATAGAAGATTTTAGCAAATAATAATAACAATAATAATTAAAGAATTGAAAGTATTAAAAATTAAATCCATTTTTGTAAAAAAAAACAAAACAAAAAAAAACACATACCTAAAACTACTCTGTACTTAACATGTAACTATCTGAATCTGCTGGAACCAAGAAAGAAATTAACCTTTACATCAAATAAAGAGCAAGTCCATCCTGCTTGTTGTTTTTTTTGTCCCTGATGTGATTCAAACCAGTAGTAAGAGATGTTGTGACCATTACCACTCAGCTAGGAGGTCTCTTCAGTCTGAGGTATATACTGTTATCATATTAAAAGCAGAGCAAATCCATTACACAAATCCAAGCATATTAAAGATGTATAAAATACCTTATTAAATCCGCCATCATCTGGCTTAGCTTCAGTTTTTTGAAGCAGCTGATTTGTCAACGCTTGTATCTGGGCCAACAGGTTAGCGTCTATTAGAGGGGCACCCCCCGATGGTTGTTGCATGAGTGCCGTTTGCTGTATCAACTGCTGCTGAAGGAGCTGCAACTGCTGAAGGGACTGTTGCTGAGCGCTTAAACTTGTACTACCCTGGAAAAAAATGGGAGGTTCAATTAGTGAAATGTTGTGCACTTTATGCGAGGCAATGAATAATAATCCACAATGCACTTACAAAAAGTTTAAAAGATTACTCTAAATTTAACAGTTTCTAAAAGAAGCCGATGTCTTTCATTAATTACTATGTTTTTTATGCAACTTACTAACAATGGGTCATAATTTTTAAAACCACTAAAACAGACACAAGAAGTATAGTATTTGGCTTAGCATTAACAAACTGCTGTAGCTGTTAAATAGCTAGACTTAAGTCTTTAATTGTAGACAGACCAAGTTTTAAATGAGAGATCTTCTATAAACTTTAATACCGAGTTTGTTTGTTGCAGCAGTTGAGTAACAGTGTTCAACATATCATTCTGTGTTGCCAGCATACTCTCCGCAGCAGCTTGGTTCATACCGTCATCTCCAGTATCTCCGCCCCCTGCTGGTGCAGCATGATGGGACTGCTGATGATGATGATGGTGTTGTTGCTGTTGTTGTTGTGAACTACTACTTGGTTTTCCACTTGCTGCTAAAACTCCATCTACAGCTGCTTGAGCTAAATACAAAAACAAACAAGATATGTTTGTAAAACATGTATGCCCCCTATCAGCAGCCAATTAGTCATGTGATAAGGTTATTATGCATGACTTCTGACCCAGTGATCAAACAATTAATAAGGGTTATCAAGTATCTACTGGTCATGATCTTAACCTTTGACCCCTTGACCCAAAACTCAATAGGGGTCATCTGCTGGTCACAACCAATCATCATACAAAGTTTGAAGTTCCTAGGCCTAAGCGTTTTTAGTTAATTGATCAGAAACCGTTTTTAACATACAAGGTCAATGTGACCTTGACCTTTGACCCCAAAATCAATAGGGGTCATCTGCTGCTCATGACCAATCACCATGCCAAGTTTGAAGTTCCTAGGCCGAATGGTTCTTTAGTTATTGATCTGAAACCGTTTTTACTTACAATGTCAATGTGACCTTGACCTTGGACCCCTTGATCCCAAAATCAATAGGGGTAATCTGTTGGTCATGACAAATCACCATACCAAGTTTGAAGTTCCTAGGCCTAAGCGTTCTTAAGTTATTGATCAAAAAACCGTTTTTACTTACAAGGTCAATGTGACCTTGATCTTTGATCCCTTGACCCAAAACTCAATAGGGGTCATCTGCTGGTCACGACCAATCATCATACAAAGTTTGAAGTTCCTAGGCCTAAGCGTTTTTAGTTAATTGATCGGAAAATGTTTTTACCTACAAGGTCAATGTGACCTTGACCTTTGACCCCTTGACCCCAAAATCAATAGGTCATCTGCTGGTCATGACCAATCACCATACCAAGTTTGAAGTTCGTAGGCTTAAGGGTTCTTAAGTTATTGATTGGAAAGCATTTTTACCTACAAGGTCAATGTGACCTTGCCCTTTGACCCCTTAACCCCAATATCAATAGGGGTAATCTGCTGGTCATGACCAATCACCATACCAGGTTTGAAGTTCGTAGGCCTAAGGGTTCTTTAGTTATTGATCAGAAACCGTTTTTACCTAAGAGGTCAATGTGACCTTGACCTTTGACCCCTTGACCCCAAAATCAATAGGGGTCATCTACTGATCATGACCAATCACCATACCAAGTTTGAAGTTCCTAGGCCTTCAAGTTCTTTAGTTATTGATCGGAAACCGTTTTTGCTTACAAGGTCAATGTGACCTTGACCTTTGACCCCTTGACCCCAAAATCAATAGGGGTCATCTACTGATCATGACCAATCACCATACCAAGTTTGAAGTTCCTAGGCCTTAAGGTTCTTTAGTTATTGATCGGAAACCGTTTTTGCTTACAAGGTCAATGTGACCTTGACCTTTAACCCCTTGACCCCAAAATCAATAGGGGTCATCTACTGGTCATGACCAATCACCATACCAAGTTTGAAGTTCCTAGGCCTAAGGGTTCTTTAGTTATCACTCGGAAACCATTTGGTCTACGGACCGACGGACCGACAGACCGACGGACCGACAAGTGCAAAGCAATATACCCCCTTTTCTTCGAAATGGGGGCATAATAATTGTAAACACGACATTTCATTTACCGTAAGTCTATATATCTAAATTTTAAACCAAACTGAATAACTACCAAAGAAATTGTTCAAGATTTTCAATGTCAGTAAAGTTTATCTTGGAATGCCAAGTAAATATCAAGACTATTTCACAGCACAAGAAAGCCTAGATTATATTATACAGGAATCACTTTGGTACAAGTTATTTCAAGATTATCTTTATAAGCAAGTGCCAGTGTTGGTAAAATATAAACAGAATCTACTCTAGAAGTTAGAACATCCCATTTGTGTAATTTTCCTTGGAATTAATTAACAGGTTGACTGAAAGTCATTACCAGCAGCAATGAGGGATGGTTTCGTTGGATCAGCAGCCAGATCTAGTAGTGGTTGTACAATCTCACTGGGGAAAACATCATTCTTCTGCCACAGATTAAGCACTCTCACAATCTTACTCTGTAAACAATAACAAAAAATATAACATTGTCTAAAGCTAACAATATAAAACTTAGTTGTTGAAAAACCAAAAAAAAGTAGCAGACAAAATACTTAATAATTTAAAACAAAATGCCATGAAAATGATGAATTAATATTATCATTTTTTTTTAAACTATGCATTTTAGTTGTGCTTCAACCACAATGCAAAGAAAGGACAACACAACAAGAAATAACATTCTGACATCATTTACTATGTGAAAATACTCAATTAAAATTCCATTCACAATCTATTAGTTAAGCTACAATTCCTTACCCTTTCTTCACCGGGACACTTGAACAGGTTCTGGAATGTTGTTATGATATTTTTCGTGAATCTCGGTGCAAACACATCTTTCTGTGACCCAAACTGATGTCGTGACTGCCTAACAACAGAGTCTATCACGTATAAGCCTGGTACTTTATATTCTGGCTTGCACTACAAAGAGAGATTCATTACATATAAAGTCAAAAATGGCATTTTAAACACTTAATGGTAATCATCATTCATTGAAAATGAAATACTGCACATTGGAAAAGCCTGACAAATTATCATTTTATATAATTGGTATTTTCATATTGAGGATAATGTTGATTATTTATCATTTAATATTTATCTGATTATTAATAATGGATGTTTAATCATATTACTATTTCAACACAAGATTGACATCAAATATGTATTTTTCTATTCATATTGTAGCAAAAGCATAATTTATTTACCTTTTGGATAAATTTTTCCACACTTTGGACAACATGTTTGTAGAACTTGATGGCTTTTATTGCACCTTTGGTCACATTGGCCATTTTGGCTCGAGAGACTGGTGGTTTCGTCTCATACAAGCCAGACAGCTGCAAAAACAAGAAAACATTGCTCATAAGTTATTGGAAGTGTAACAGAACTTCTACATTTTATATTTCACATGTTTGGACCAGTCTTATTCATAGAATCATACATCGGCTCATACATCACATATATTTTGATACAAATTTATTTTGTGTAAATCTCTACAATTTCTTTACACACACCAATTTCGCATATAACGAATGCAGTAACAAGTACGTATATCTTCTTACACTTACAGTGAACCATTAGGATTAAATATTCAATAAAAGAAAGTTCCATTTCTTATCAAAATAAAGTGGGTGGGGTATCCAGACATAATTTTCACTAATAATTTATATTAACCCGTTTTATTAAAACGTGAATGATTACCGTAGATTAATGATACAAGATTTATTAAAATGATTGCATACATGTAACAATATGTTTGAGGATAAAAATCGTGAAAAATTTCGGACTCGGAGGACAAACGATAAAAAATCATGTTTCATAAATGCATACAATAGAATCCATAAGACTTTTTACTAACCTCATTATTAAAAGCTCTGACTGCCTCCATAGTCAACCTTTGTGGAAAAAATTGTTCAAATTGGTAAATTATTATGATCTTTTCATAAAATTATAGCCACATTCTCCGGCGTGGGAGAAAATGGCGGATATCTCGATAGATCTCACGTTCAGATACAGATGATCTGATTGGTTTAAAAAAGTAGTGTTAAAGTACACGACCAATAAAAATGTGTTTAACAATACCCAACTTGTTCCTGGCTTCCTTGAGGTGTAAGTTAGACTGTAAGCAATTTCTCGCAGCTGTTATGTGAGGAAGAGTAATATTGGTAAATTGTATATTTAATTATTTTGTAATCCTTAAACAATTAGTTGCAACTTTTTTATTTATGCTTTTTATACATAGGCGTAGGCTGTAGGCGCCTATTACTTGTTAGTGGTAGGTGTGCATAAGGTTGTAAAAAAGTGAAACTGAAAGTAGATATATGTTGCAGTTTACAATTGTAGATATAATTATTTCTTGAAATTTTATGTATAGCTGATAGTCTTTAATTAATTTCAGTCAAAGGAATTTGAAAACTTCATTTTTATGCTTTTACATAATTATGATTCTGAATATTGTATTATTGAATTTGAATCTTTGCTTATATTCTGTAATAAATGTTTCTGCTTTGCTATACATCACCTCTGTTAACTGTCAAGTTTGCATTATAAAACCACTTTTGTAATAATTTCATAAATACCATTGAAACGAAAAAAAAAAATTGTTTGAGATATCATGGAGTTTATGTATATCCGTGGAGATATGTATGGAAATAAAAGCAGGACAGGACTCTCCCTCTGCTTAAAATGGGCATTGCCTGTAAGAGGCAGTGGCATAGCTACAATTAGGACATGTAGGCCCAGGCCTAAAAGTTGGTCAAGAAATTGACATTTTCAAAAGTCCCAAAGATACAATAAAAACAAGCGGGGGTTGGGTTGGTAGTGGGTTCAAGCTGTATGGTCGAATCAAGTGTGTTTTGGGCTTATTATGCATGATTTACCGTCCTGAGTAAATTTTGCATCTAATCAAAATAATAGTTTAAAATTATTGTTTTGACATACATGTGAACTCTTCCACTTTCAGCGGGAGACTTCCACTTTCTGCAGCCCTATTTTCAAAGATTTTTCTTAAAGATCCTGTATGTTGTGATTAAAGTGGTTTACGTGTGTGTGTTTAAGTTTGTTTATACTCGGCGTTGGAAAAACCATATGTCCGAGATTATAGCATCCTTGCCGGTCCACTACGGTAGTCACATCGGGGACGTCTTTTTCAAGCAGAATCTTCTGGTAGCCCATTCTTTTTTTGTTGGTGGTAAAGGAGACAATAATACTGTCAAGGCATCAGCTTTCTGACCAACCATATCAAAAACAGCCTTCGTTAGCGCCAACCCTCCAGAGTTAGTCATGACAGTTCAACCAATCACCTCTGGTACTTCAACTTGAGATGACTTGACCTTGACCTGCCGTGTGCCTTCTCCGCGACGTGCACGCCTCTGTAGGGATTTGGAGAAGAAGTGGTTTTCTTTATACTTTTCAATGCACAATTTTGCTCTTTTTTATCTTATCTTGTTTTTGGGCCTTTAAGGGTAAGCCCCCAAACCCCCTATTTTGGACATACAAGTTGAATAGAGCTGGCTACATGATGGAGGAATATCTGAAGCTGCAAGATAGCCCAGTTGATAGAGCTGCGGAATGGTATTGATAAGGGTTCTAGATTTGAGCAGGCTGAACATTTTTCTCAGCCTGTGACAGTTATGATGTCAAATATAATATTACATGGGAACGGTGACCTTGTGGTTGAGGTGTCTGCCTCTCATCCCAGGAATCATGGGTTCTAGTCCTAATCGGGTCAGGTCACACCCATGATTCTTCACATGACACCAGTACTGGTTGGTTCCTGGAAGCGGACTCATAAGTGATAAATATAAGTTGCAAGTTGCTAAAAAAAAAATAGGGGAAAACACATCCTTTTTTGGGGGATGGAAAATCATGAATTGAGGGGCCTCAGAAAAAAATTTGGAAAAGAATACTTTTTTTTTGGAGAAAAATTTGTGTGAACTGAGGGGCCTGGCATCACACTGTATTTATCAACTTTTATGATCTTGCCTTATTTTATTAGGTGTATGGCATTGTTGAAAGAGGGAAAACACTTATTTTCTCAACAACAACAAAATTAGTGGTATTAATTACAAAATTTTATGATTATCATCTCAAACAAAATTTTATTTTAAATGTTATAAAGCCTCATAAATCTAGTCATTCTGATTCTTGCTCAGTGGGTATTGATTATATCTGGAACATACAACAATTGCTAATATTGCTTTTATTTACACAATTTATAAAAATATTTTATTTCAGACAAAAAGATTCCCCCCACCCCCCATTCACAATGATCAGCAAGACAAAATGGCAGCATGTGCATTTGACTGGGTAAGAAGATAATGCTGTACTTATCTAAAGTTCCTTGTCTTGTTGTATTATGTTGTGCAGTCTTAGATGATATTTATCTTTCTGCAAACAAAAAGTATTGACATTCAGGCGTGAACTATTTAAAATGCTCAATGAAAATGATACAGAACATACAATAATTTCATGTAATTTTTCATTCTAAGGAAAAGATAACTATCAATACTTTCCTTGTATATAACAGTAAATTGAATGAAATGACTAGGCATCATAATACATTTTGAAGTGATATGTTAGAAGAACCAATTACCGGTAATAATAGGATAAATTATGTATGTCGTATATATTCAATTGGTGGAGCAATAGCAACTTAGTTAAGCCATGGTTATATAACTTACTGACATTTTGTTCAACCAAAGTCATTAAATGGACAGTCATGCAAGATGTGTTGTGCAAAATAACCAAAAACCCATTTAACATGTGACCATCTAAAACACTCATTGTAGGCTTTAAAAAAGTTAATGTAAACTACAAAGGCAGTTGGTCAGTTTGGGATAAATTACTAATTACTGGTTAGTTATCAAGTGAAGTTGGTTACATGGACTCATCACCATGATATGACCAAAAATATGTTTAAACCACTTTTAAAACCGAACAAACAAATCAATCTTAGACAGTTTGTGCATCTTAATTGTATTTCTGTTTGACCACTTTTTACCCCTAAACTCTTCAGTTGATTTTGGAAAAAAATGTTTGTATTCATAAAATTGTCCAAGCAAGGTGTGCTGAGCACTGGATCCCGCACTGTGTCTCTACTTATTAACTTGTTATGTCATAATCAATGAAGCATTTATTATCCCCCGCCGAAAATTTTCGGCGGAGGATATAGAAATAGTCTCCGTCCGTCCGACCTCCCGTCCGTCCTTCCGTCCAACATTTTTGTCCGGAGCATATCTCTAAAAGTATTTGAGTTATCAACTTGAAACTTCATAGGTGGATAGACCTCATTGAGGAGGAGTGCAGTGCACAAGAATGATAACTATACCTTGCATGATTTTTGAGTTATTGCCCTTTGTTATTTTTCAAAATTGATTTTTGTCCAGAGCATAACTCCAAAAGCCTATGAGATATTAACATGAAACTTCATAGGTGCATAGATCTCACTCAGGAGGTGTGCAGTGCACAAGAATGATAACTCTACCTTTTATAATTTTTGAGTTATTGCCCTTTGTTATTTTTCATACCTAATTTTTCACCTGAGTGGAGCATAACTCAAAAAGTGTTTGAGATATCAACATGAAATGTCTTAGGTGGATAGATCTTATTGAGGAGGAATGTTGTGCGCAAGAATGATAACTCTTCCCTATACAATTTTTGAGTTATTGCCCTTTGTTTTTTTTCATGCTATTTTGTCCAGAGCTTATCTCAAAAAGTATTTGAGGTATCAACTTGAAACTTCAAAGGTGGATGGATCTCATTGAGGAGGAGTGCAGTGCTTAAGAATGATAACTCTACCCTGCATTATTTTTGAGTTATTGCCCTTTGTTATTTTTCAAAATTAATTTTTGTCCAGAGCATAACTCAAAAAGCCTTTGAGATATCGAAATGAAACTTCATAGGTGCATAGATCTCACTCAGGAGGTGTGCACTGCACAAGAATGATAACTCTACCTTTTATAATTTTTGAGTTATTGCCCTTTGTTCTTTTTCATACTTAATTTTTCAATTCATTGTTTTTCTCAAAAAGTATTTGAGGTATCAACTTGAAACTTCATAGGTGGATAGATTTTACTGAGGAGGGATGCAGCACACAAGAATGATAACCTACCCTGCATTATTATTCAGTAATTGCCCTTTGTTATTTTCAGCCATCAGTATTCACATAGGTTTCAAATCTGTTATCACTATAGCCATCAGTTTTCATTACCAAAAGACCTCTTAAAATGGAATTATTCCGCTCTACTACATATACATTCTTCCAATGAGCAAACACATTCGGCGGGGGATGGCCATGTTGACATGGCTCTTGTCATTTTGTTACTTTAAGATGTTTTTGTTGTCATTGTCAAAAATTTATATTGGTTAACAGAGATTTCTTTATATTTTCAGGTTACAGAATGAAAAAAACAGACATGATTACAGTGTATAAATTTTTTGCATTAATATTTTCTTTACCACGATAACTGTTAGACATAAAAAATTAATTTATTAAAACTTTGATGATTGAGACATTTGTTTACTGAGTAGTAATAGCATGGAATCATATTATAATAAAGGATATTGAAATTAGTGATGCTGGTAGCAGATATTTGTGGGTATTGGAAAGATATCGTAGATGAATTCATAAGTTGAATACTTGTAAAGTTACCATTTTATTAGCAGAAAGAGTAAATAGTGCTTGCTTAAAATTAACTAGTTTTTGAAGAATATTTGTAACTATGAAGTTATCAAAAAGAAGTGCCAAATTTTTAAAACTATGCTTATTTATATGCTTATGTGGAAGTATTTTTTATGGATTCATTTTGATGAACAAAGCTCAAGATTTGCAAGACTTGACAGGCTATAGAAGAAGTTACATTCAATACCCTGGAAAACTTCAACTTGAAATCCTCCCTCGCAACATTGTACCTGCATTTGTTCAGCGTTTAAAACAAGTCAACACTGTGTCTACAAAATCTATCTTAAACCAGTCTAAAACAGTGTCAGAGACTGAGGTAAAAAATGAGATGCCAATTATAAGAAAACCTGAGCATAGAAATTCACTGAAAACAAATTTTTCTGTGGAGTTATTGCAACTACAAACAGAAACAGGACCTCCAAATTATAATGTACATGCTTTTTACTACCCATGGTACGGTTCCCCTGAACATGATGGACAGTACCTACACTGGAATCATCCATATATACGTCATTGGAACAAGAAAGAAGCGCAGAAATGGCCAAATTACACACACATGCCTCCAGATGATGTTGGGTCCAACTTTTATCCTTTGTTAGGAGCGTATAGTTCTAGAGATGCTGAGATTATAGATTATCATATGCAGATGATGAAATATGCTAGGATTGGTAAGAATTATATTTTTTCATTATACATTAACATGATTCTTTTCTACAATTTCTAGGTTTGTTATGCCTGACATTCATTGTCAGATTGGCTGACATTCATTGTCAAATATTCTTGTTTGACCATCTTTAACCACAATTTCTTTAAGCTACATCTCCCAAATCATTAGGTAAGTTTTGATTAAAGTGAAGAGAAATGATAATTCAGGTGATCTTCTACAACTGGGTAAACTAATGTTTGCAGTGTGTTACTACTTGTAATTTATGCATATTGTAGGAAAAAAACAGGCTACTCAAGGTGTTTCTGGTTTCAGGTGTAGATATTGTACTCAAGGTGTTTCTGGCTTCAGGTGTAGATATTGTACTCAAGGTGTTTCTGGCTTCAGGTGTAGATATTGTACTCAAGGTGTTTCTGGCTTCAGGTGTAGATATTGTACTCAAGGTGTTTCTGATTTCAGGTGTAGATATTGTACTCAAGGTGTTTCTGATTTCAGGTGTAGATATTGTACTCAAGGTGTTTCTGATTTCAGGTGTAGATATTGTACTCAAGGTATTTCTGGCTTCAGGTGTAGATATTGTACTCAAGGTGTTTCTGGCTTCAGGTGTAGATATTGTACTCAAGGTGTTTCTGATTTCAGGTGTAGATATTGTACTCAAGGTGTTTCTGGCTTCAGGTGTAGATATTGTACTCTAGGTGTTTCTGATTTCAGGTGTAGATATTGTACTCAAGGTGTTTCTGATTTCAGGTGTAGATATTGTACTCAAGGTATTTCTGGCTTCAGGTGTAGATATTGTACTCAAGGTGTTTGTGGCTTCAGGTGTAGATATTGTACTCAAGGTGTTTGTGGCTTAAGGTGTAGATATTGTACTCAATGTGTTTCTGGCTTCAGGTGTAGATATTGTACTCAAGGTTTTTCTGGCTTCAGGTGTAGATATTGTACTCAAGGTGTTTCTGGCTTCAGGTGTAGATATTGTACTCAAGGTGTTTCTGGTTTCAGGTGTAGATATTGTACTCAAGGTGTTTCTGGCTTCAGGTGTAGATATTGTACTCAAGGTGTTTCTGGCTTCAGGTGTAGATATTGTACTCAAGGTGTTTCTGGCTTCAGGTGTAGATATTGTACTCAAGGTGTTTCTGGCTTCAGGTGTAGATATTGTACTCAAGGTGTTTCTGGCTTCAAGTGTAGGAATTGTACTCAAGGTGTTTCTGGCTTCAGGTGTAGATATTGTACTCAAGGTATTTCTGGCTTCAGGTGTAGATATTGTACTCAAGGTGTTTCTGGCTTCAGGTGTAGATATTGTACTCAAGGTGTTTCTGATTTCAGGTGTAGATATTGTACTCAAGGTGTTTCTGGTTTCAGGTGTAGATATTGTACTCAAGGCGTTTCTGGCTTCAGGTGTTGATATTGTACTCAAGGTGTTTCTGGCTTCAGGTGTAGATAATGTACTCAAGGTGTTTCTGGCTTCAGGTGTAGATATTGTACTCAAGGTGTTTCTGGTTTCAGTTGTAGATATTGTACTCAAGGTGTTTCTGATTTCAGGTGTAGATATTGTACTCAAGGTATTTCTGATTTCAGGTGTAGATATTGTACTCAAGGTATTTCTGATTTCAGGTGTAGATATTGTACTCAAGGTGTTTCTGGCTTCAGGTGTAGATATTGTACTCAAGGTGTTTCTGGCTTCAGGTGTAGATAATGTACTCAAGGTGTTTCTGGCTTCAGGTGTAGATATTGTACTCAAGGTGTTTCTGGTTTCAGTTGTAGATATTGTACTCAAGGTGTTTCTGATTTCAGGTGTAGATATTGTACTCAAGGTATTTCTGATTTCAGGTGTAGTTGTAGTTTCCTGGTACCCTCCAGGTGACTCGGATAATAAAGGCTCTGCCACAGGACCAGATTCATTGATGCTGACACTGTTAGATGCAGCTGAAAAGTATCAGTTAAAGGTATTGTATAAGTGTTAAAGCTGTGAAATGCATTGTATATGTTTTAGATGCAACCAAACTTGTACATGTTTTTGTAGTTTAAGACAGACCTAAAATAAAAGTTTATTTTAACACAAATTTTGTTTTAATCATTAACAGCCTGGAACCAGAAATGATAAGCAGCAGCCTACAACATGTACAATAAACAGCCAGGTCTGCTTGCACTTCTTTTGAGACTGACCAGACTACTTGCTGCTTGTAGCTAGATTTTTGTATTTTGATATTTAAATCCCTTAAAATAAGAATGGATTGTTCCAAATTCAAAGCAAGGCAAATCCATTACAAAAATTTAGCAGATAATGTTGAAATTCAAGATCAGACATTGTTTTAAAAAGCTGAGACTGATTATTTTATTTCCCGTTCATGATAAGTTTTTATACAAGTTTTGCTGTATCGAAAATAATTATTCAATGTTATTATGCTTCAGTTATACCTAGCTATGTTTTAGTTATACCCATCTGTATCTGCTTAAAAATGCTTTGGTTTCTGGTGTGGAATGCTTTAGTATAGATTGTTTAACTGAAACTGACTGCTTTGGTAGGGAGATGTTGTGCACATGGTAATAGAATGGGTTTATTAAGTTGTATATGGCTCATGTTATGTCTAAATTGTTTGTGTTGTGTACAGTTTTATTATACAGCTTTGTTTACTGGTTATGTATAGCGTTAGTTAAAGACTTATTATGGTAATAGAATAAGAAGCTTCAGTGAATAGTTCCCTTGCTTTTAGATAACATTATTTGAAAAGCTATAAAACACCATCCAAGCAGCTGCATTGTATTTTCAAAGCATCAAGTTGTATATGACATTATATGACATTATTCAAGAAGTTAATTACAGTATGCAAATTGCTAAATTGCAATATATATCAGCTAAATAGCAATTTTAAAGTAACTGTATCATTATATCATTATGATCACTGTTGAATCATATTACCAAATTAGCTATATAACATTATCCAAGCACCTATATAACATTGTCCAAGAACCTATATAACTTTATTCAAATCTAAACTGCAGTATGATATTATCCCAACCAAGCAGCTTTATAACATTATCCAAGCACCTATTTAACATTATCCAAGCAGCTATATAACATTATCCAATGAACTATATAATATTATCCAAGCAGCTATATAACATTCAAGCAGCTATATAACATTATCCTTGCAGCTATATAACATACAGGCAGCTATATAACATCACCCAAGCAGCTATATAACATTATTCAAGCAGCTATATAACATTATCCAAGCAGCTATATAACATTATCCAAGCACCTATATACTATTATCTAAGCAGCTATAAAACATTATCCAAGCAGCTATATATGACATTATCCAAGCACCTATATACTATTATCTAAGCAGCTATATAACATTATCCAAGCAGCTTTATAACATTATTCAAGCACCTATATATTATTATTCAAGCAGCTATATAACATTATTCAAGCAGCTATATAACATTATTCAAGCAGCTATATAACATTATTCAAGCACCTATATAACATTATTCAAGCAGCTATATAACATTATTCAAGCAGCTATATAACATTATCCAAGCAGCTTTATAACATTATTCAAGCAGCTATATAACATTATCCAAGCAGCTATATAACATTATCCAAGCAGCTATATACCGTATAAGTGGTTTTTTCTGCGGGCTCCAAATTCTGCGGTTTTTCAAAATTTTGGCATGCTTTTATTTCTGCGGACTTAATTTCTGCGGCACATTCTTTGGACAAAATGTGATTTAAATTCTAAGTCACATTACTTTACCTGTTTTATTTGCATGTACACATTCGCATTAAAATTGTGTTTACCGTCGTCACCGCAGAACTATATTATAAAGTAATTACAAACAATTATATTGTTTGCTTGCAAACAAATATAATGTGCATCAATAGACAGTTTGCATCTTTAAATCAGTGTGAAATGACGTGTGAAAAATATACCACGGTAGTATTTTATAAATAATATTTATAAATATATTTAATATTTATCAATTTTATAAAATTGATAGAAGTTTATCGTAAATCAGACAACAATTAATGTATACGACGATTTTTAGCAGTATAAGGGTTTAAATGGTTTTAATGATTTAGTGGTAAACAAACCCTTTAGCGTACAGGCAAACACTATGATGTTTGAATTTCTTTGTTCATAAATTGGCATAATTAACAACAATTAGATCCTTACATGCACATATTGCATATTTAGCCGAAATCAATTTTATATAACTCGATGACCCGCTAACCGTTATAATCCGTTAGTCTTTATTCCTTTAAAGGAAACAGGTCATAATGTAGGACTCATTTCTTTAAAAAAAAAAAACGTGGAGAAATATTCTGCGGTTTTTATTTCTGCGGTGCTGAAACTGACCGCAGAAAACGCAGAAATAAAGTCACCGCAGAAAAAACCACTTATACGGTAACATTGTCCAAGCAGCTATATAACATTATCCAAGCAGCTATATAACATTATCCAAGCAGCTATATAACATTATCCAAGCAGCTAAATAACATTATCCAAACAGCTATATAACATTATCCAAGCAGCTATATAACATTATCCAAACAGCTATATAACATTATCCCAAACAGCTATATGACATCATGCCAATTAGCTATATAATATTGACCTAGCAGCTACTATTTATTCAGGTGTAATTGTGGTGTCATGGTACCCACCTGGTGATGCTGATAATCAGGGTAGAGAACCAGACTCTGTCATGCCACTTTTACTTGCAGCAGCTTCAAGATATGAACTAAAGGTATCATACTTGAAATTTTGAAATGCTATAGATCTAGTGTAACAGAATTTTATCAAAAGTTCAATTACATGATTACAATTAAATTCAGGTGCAGGTCTAATTGTTAAAGTGACATTATGCTCATTTCTTTGCTGTCAAATTGAGTTAAGTTAGTTATATATTACAAGAGATTGACTATTATAATAGTGAATGACCAATTATTGAACTTGAAAAATGGTTATAAATATATATGATACAATTTAAAAACAACCTTTATTATAAAGAGAAAAATGTAAATAAATATATATGATACAATACAAAAGCAACCTTTATTATAAAGAGACAAATGTTTACAGATATATATGAAACAATATAAAAGGAACCTAAATTATAAAAATACTATTCCACTAACAATAGAACATTACTGATACATATAGATTAGAAATTTCTGTTGGTCACAGTCATAGTAAAATTTTGGCAAAATGTCAAGTCATTTTGAATTTTACCAGTTAAATCTTGGATGGGCATAATGTAACATTAAAAAGACTAGGGTTATGGGTATTTTAAAATGTTGTTGTATTTTGGTAAAGGTGTTCATTTGAAGAAATTGTTAAATTTTATTGAGATACTAATCTTACCTTAATGTATCCCAGTTGTTTATGAAATTCTGTCTTTATAAATGAGCCAGCCTACTATTTCAAACTCGCATCTTTATTACTTCCCTTTACTTGGGGTCTGGATATCTAAAAGTCATGGTTGATTTGATGTCTATGAATTGATAATGTATTATGTCAGTGTGCCTATTGAAAACTTTACTCTTGGCTAGGATATCTTCATTCTACCATCCAGAACATTTATGAGTGGAAACAACGTACTTCGATCATGATAAAAGCTTTATTTTCATGTAATAAAATATGACTTCGACCCCTAAAATAATTGACCTTGAAGATCAAATTTTTTTAAAAATTCACCAGAACTTTTATCATTTTCAATAGCTTTGAGATTTGTGTTTCTTACGCTAATTTGAAAATCAAGTGAATTTGTATTTTTGTACTTATTTGTGTCCAGGTAAACATTTTGTTATTTTGATGTTTTTGTTTATTTGTTCAGATTGCAATTCATGTAGAGCCGTACAGTGGAAGAAATCATGTGACAATGAAGAAAAACTTGGAATACATTATCAGGAAGTATGGCAATCATTCGGCATTCTATAGAACAAATTATCGGGACAAAAAGAATCTCCCTCTCATTTATATATATGATTCCTACCTTGTTGAGAGTTACGATTGGGCATCAATTTTAACCAAAAATGGCAAAGAAAGCATACGAAACACGGAACTTGATTGTATATTTATCGGACTTCTGGTAGAGCATATGCATAGAGATCATGTATTTGAATCTGGTTTTGATGGTTTTTACACATATTTTGCTACAAATATGTTTACATACGGAAGTACTTGGAAAAACTGGCCTCTATTGGCTCAGTTTGCCCAGTCAAAAGGTTTACTGTTTATTCCGAGTATTGGACCTGGGTACATTGATACAGAGGTCCGACCTTGGAATGGTGGTAATACACGCAAACGGCTTGAAGGGAAGTATTACAATGAGGCTTTTTCAAACGCCCTGAGCATCGGTCCACATATGATCTCAATTACATCATTTAATGAATGGCACGAGGGTACTCAGATAGAACCTGCTGTGAACAAAAAAATAAAGGTCAGGAGGTATGAGGACTATGGAACCAAAGGACCAAATTTTTATCTAGATTTAACAAAAACTTGGGTGAATAAGATGATGCAAAAGTAGTTGTAGATAATGCCATTAAAAATGGTTTGTAAAATATTGTAAAAGTAGATATCTTTTTAATGTTACAATTTGTATCTATTGGAAACGCTGATTTTTATGTAGGAATATTTGTTTATCTTTTTATATTTTTGGCTATTGCCAAAATTTTCTTTTTATATATAATATTATACCTGTAATGTAGCAGCGAATCTTGGGGAAATGCTTGCAGATTATTTTCAGAGGACAAAATCACTTTTAATCACAATTATTGTCACACTGAAGTAAATGAAAAATGGTGTTTGTGACATCAGATGAAAATAACTGAGTACCAAATTGTTATGAGGTTTTTAATATTATATTGAGTATCTGTTGATCCCTTTTAATGCATTAACATCTTATATCGGATGTCAAGGGAGGTAACAATTGAACCATGTAATTGCATTACAATAATATGAATGTTGAATTTCAAGGGAGATAACCAGTGATCATGCAATTTATATTAAATGTCGGGAAAGGTATCATTGCATAAGAATGCTTTATTGAATGTCAGGGGAGATAACTATTGACATTACACTGCATTGATTTAATAGATAAATTGAGATAAAAGGAGAGCTAACTAATTCTCATTTTCATTGAATTACATTGACAAAATTTGCCATTTGGTAGATTTTTTTTTTTTTCACACAGACTAGTGCTATGGTAGTGTTTGCAAGTCTCTTTTCAGGTCATTCAAAATGGCGATCCTGATACAATTTTCATTGTTGTATAAAACTTGATTGATCAATGATCATATTAGGCTTAAAATAAAATTGCATGATTACAATATGTAAAAAAAGTGCAAATTTTCAAAGTAAATGAAATTTAGTTTTGAATAAAATATACAAATTTATTAATAAATATGTACAGATGACAATAAAAATTGGACCCTCTAGTGAGGACCAAATCTATGATCAAGATTATTATATTGCCATTGACACAAATAACATGATAAAATCTGTTCAGAGTAAATTATCCAGTGGCACCAATGGTAATTAATGTTACCAGTGGTATTTTAGTAAAGGTACAACTGGAAAACTCCATATGCACCCATTGTATGTTGAATTTCAAGGGAGCTAACTATTTATCTCTAACTACATTGACATGACATATTGAATGTCAGGGGTGTGGAAAGTAACCATAGATAAGCATAGATAGAGTAACAATTTGTGATACACATTTATTAGTCTGTGATACAGTTATATTCATTATGTTAGACTTTGTCTTATTGTATGCACATGTATATTTTGTCAGATTATTTATTTTGGAAAATGATCTCTTATATACAATATAAGCATTAATTAACTAACTGGAACAGTCTTTAGCATTTGCCACCAGTATAGAGTCAGGCCAGCCTTTATGCTGTTGGTAGCTCAATTTTTATATTGAACTTTTGGACTGTTCTAAATACAAATCTTAGCAAATCCATTTGAGCATGGTAAAAGTTTATATTGATACTATATGCATTTTTTCCTGATAACATTTGTTATTCTTGTATAATTGAATATACTATTGTTATTTATTATATCCTGTAAAATATTGTAGGGAACACTAACTATATTTATACTTCCATATGTTTTAAAAACATAGTACTACTTAAAACAAATTTACAACTTAATTTTTAGCTTGCATTATGGTTTAGATCTGGGAACATCTATAGGTCCGTGTGGCTGAGCAGAAGTTGCCAACTTAAAATCACTTGCCCCTGATCTTACTGAGGATTTTGCATGTGAGGAAGTTATTCAGCTAGCTTACAGAAGGTTTATGGTTCTACTAGGTGCCAACTAATGCTGTAATGTGTACCTGAGGTATTCCTCCACCAGTAAAGCAGGGAAGTCACCATATGACCTTAATTAGCAGTCAGTTTACCTGGACACACAACACAACATTGTAACATCTGGGTCAACAGTTGGACCAGAAAGGTTTTTCAATATTTAAACTGAAAAAGATAAAACTAAAGTTTGTTTTTTTATATTAGGCTAATAAAATGTAAATATCAATTTATAAGATTCTGTGTTGCCAAGTTATGGCCCTTAAATTTTTTAACTTGTATAAGTCTATGAAATATATAGGTGAGGGTTGTTCTTTAAGCAACGTTTCTAAAGCTGTCGAGAATTATTGACTTCAAATACAATCATATTGTCAGAATTCTGTGATTCAGCCATAATTATTTTTTGTCTCAAAATTGAAAACTTGCTTTTATGACTTGTTGGACATTGTTATAAATTATTTAAAATTATTATTATTTTAAAGAGAGATATTAAATTATTTTTTTTATATTTTATGTGCCTTGAATTTTATTTCAATTAATGCATTGAATACCTTTTATGTACATGTAAATTTATTTCCAATAAATAATGTGAAACAATAGTACATGTATTAGTTTGTTAATCGATATGTAATTTTATTGTTAAGCACAAAGAAATGCCGAGTGCAGACATATTTTTTTAATTTTAAGATTTAATGCACAATTTAAGCAAATAAACCCTATTTTACTCTTTTTGGGAACTGGTATTTTGTTTTAAATTTTTATTTGTCTGCTGCTTATTACAAGAGTTTTTCATTTCAGACAGTCTATATTTTTGGTATGTGATAAAAAGAATATTTAAATTTGTGGAAGTTCATTACTGAATTTATTGAACTCGTCCAGGAAATTCAGTATTAAACTTACACTCATTCAATATCCTCTATGTATGAATCTTTCACAAGCTATAATTATATTGTTTTAATAATATATTGTTTGTTCAAGAATTCTCAATAGTTTTGGGGTTGCTTTTTACGATAAATCTAATGTTTTACCATCTTGTAAAGGATAATACATGATTTATGGAGAATAAAAAGGAAATAATATGGTAAAAGTGTGTTCATTTCCATTTAAACTTTGTTGAGACATACTTTACTTTCCAGTTCACCGTCAGTGCAATACCTATATTACTCAAGGGTTGTAATGTCATTTTTTATTGGACAACCATATAGTTTTATATACACCGCTCCTGTCAACTTTCAACTTTCATAGAAATCTCACTTTTTTCTCTGATAATTTGTTATGAAAATTCCTTACAGGAATTCAAGCGACCATGATGTCATTTTTGGCATCATTTCCAAGACAAATATCTCTCACTTTGAAAGAGGGAAAAGTATTTTACTTCTGCACAAAAATTTATTTAGGGTATGTGCCAGTGGTCGGTGAAAAATATTAAGATTTCCATGGAATATTGGATCTTCTTTAGTTAATGAGCTTTTCTTATCAAACACTTTGTAAAACCTTTCAAGTTGTTTGTATAAAAGCGAACTGCAGTTGCAGGCTACAATGTTTTCTTGCACAATTTGATCAATGCAATGATTAAAAGGCAGGTTTATATGGGGGGGGGGGACTATCGTAGGTAAGGTCTACCTAAATATTTCATATTGCTACAATTTATCACGTAAATCTTACCCTTTTCTTCAATTGTCATTTGTGGCTCAAGTTCCAAGCCCCCCCCCCCCCCCCCCCACACACACACAATGGACTACATTTTAAAGCAGTTTTCAAAGTTGGCTGCAAATACCAATCGCTCACATTTAAAATGAAAAAAAAAATGATGCGGTGTAAAATCAGTTTTTGCTTAACCATACATAAAAATAATATCTAAAGCTAACTGCCCATATGGTCGTTTTAATAAAAGAACGTTGCAACAAAGAGCTTTTTCTTATTTAAACCACATGGACACCATAAATACTCGTATGTAAAATAAAGAAATTGCATGTTAATGTAACCAATGCTCACTTTAATCATTTTGAGCAATATCCATTGACCTGCATAGAAACTGAAAGCATTTTTTCTTGCCGATCCTTTTGGTAGGTTTCCTGTCAAAATACGACAGTCTTTTATAAATTATATCTATTAATGTTAGACAAAAATTGTGTCCATGTAGATCTGAAACGGAGGCAAGGAGCGGACCGATCTAGAAACACGGTTATTTCTTTTCATATTTCTATGCACACTTTTTCATGATAATAAAAAGATAATAGTAAACAAAATAAAAATTTAATGATGCAAATAATGTTTGAAATAGATATAACAGTAATGCCACAAGTATACAAAACAATGGGTTTGGTGCGAAACGGTTGTAAATCATGTGATATTACAATAAACAAATACATAGTAACAAATCATGATTAACAACAGAATAGCTATAAACGTTCTTAAAACTTGAGCATCATAATTTGATCAGGAAATGAAGGATGATTTATGTCATCAAATGTACAGGAAATTTTGTCATAAAGTCAAGGTGAGGGGCGGCCTGGTGATTAAAGTGTCTGCCTCTCGCCCCAGATATCGTGGGATCGAGCCCTTCTCGGGTCACGATCAGGATTCCTCATGACATCAGTACTGGTTAGTTCCAGGAAGCGGACTCTAATATGTTTATATTAGTTGCAAGAACTTGTTTAGCAATCGAGCTAATATAGATAAATATGTTTAAACTGGTACAAGTAAAATAAAATATATGTTCTGTTCTAAATAAACATATTCAAGCGCTGTACTCTCAATTATACCACATATACAAGGATGAGATTTTAGTCTTTCTCGATCACTATAATTGTAAACTTGCTTTATTAAAGAAAATGACAACAATTTAATAAAATGTAAATTCATAATTATTCTCCAAAAGTTTGCTGGTGAATGGAAACGTTTGAAAGTTTTCATATTCAATATAATTGTTTTGTTTCTTTTTACACAATAAAGCCAGGGGCAAGCCCGCCTGGTCCATTGATGTTGACAGGGCCGCCTGTAGAAGTGTATACTGGTGATGCTACTAGTCCCGCTGATCTCGGGGTTCTCACTATGCTACCTGCGTTTGACGGCATGAATCTGCTCCGCCCTATATCTCTTCTGAAAATAAATAGAGGATATTGATTTAGAGTAGGTTTGATAATGAATTATATCATGAAATGTGTATACAATTTTATTATGCCCTGAATATTGTGCAAGCCTCTGGCAAGCTTTATGTGTTTTTTTCAACGAACTAAATACACATATAACTTCAATAATGAACCTACACACAAACAATATAAAGCTTTTAAGTGAAATAGAATCATTTTTCATTGTGTCTAAAACTAAACTAACTGCGCATTTTCATTGGACGAACTTATTCATTCCTACTTTACAAAAAATGTCCACATTCCTTTTCTTCCTTAATTCTGTGAGGGACAGAAATAAAGGTCTACATGTATATTTATCAGATGGATAGCATTGTTTGGATGAAGAAAATATTACGTGACGCAATGTGACGAGTCAAATTTCATTAAACAGACATGTACAGCGTGCTAATCTTTACTTCAGTTTTTTGATTTATTTGGCAATTAAATAAACCCAGTAATAATTTATGACATCATAAACGACATCATTTTTACCTTGCGTTTCTGATATCATCCTCGCTATCAGAGGACAAACTGCTGCTAGAGTCACTGTTTGATTCTTCTCGTGTGTCCTCCATTTTTCTGTTCATTTCCATTCGATTCATTTTCATTACATTTGTTGTTGTAACAGCAGAAAGTGAAGAAAATGCAGTTTTCTTTGACACTACTGAATTCTTCTTTCCCTCCGTATTTTTCATTGGCTTGAACCGTTGATTACATGACATTTCCGTAGCCTTTGGGAGACGTCTGCTCGAAATGATTAAGTTATAGAAATAAGAATTATTATATTCAAAGTAAATAAGAGCCTGGTCTTTTATAGAATGCTATTGCTAAATATAACTAAGTACTCAAGTGGAAGGGACGGTCGAAGGGTGAAAAGGGGTTTGGACGGCGGAAGTTCTCTAGAGTTTACTGATATTGAAATAGCAAAGTAGCATGGTCATTTTCAATCATTATAAAATAATGAGTGAAAGATACCAAAAGGCTCAGATATATGAAACTTTAACGACTTTTCAATATTTCAACCAGCACATCTTTTGTTGCTAAAAACACATAGGTGAGCTATTGGATTGTTTCGTTCGACTTGACAAAGTGAAGTTGTGTTCGCATGAGTTCGATTGTGAAAATAAATTAATGCAATGTATAATGAGATTCAAATAAAATGCACCACAACGACTCACTAATGACACACAAACGTATATTTAATATACGACAAAAATGTAAACAAAATCGGAAGATTTTTTCTTTACAAATATACGAATAAATATATAACCTCATTACACATTCGTGATGTAACAACGCAAACAATACAAAGAGAGAAATATACTAATAATAGATCCGGATACATGTATTTCTTCAGTTGGAAATATGACTGTATTAAAAAGATACATCATAATATATATGTTCTTAATTTTAGTCTTCAACTTACTTTGGCTTTTTCAATATAAAGCACTGGACAAAAACATGTATCAAGAAAAGCGCGATGACAACGCTTTCTACGATAATTACTGCCAAAATTGCCTTTCCGCTACTTGTACATCTTAGACATTTGGCCTCTTGTTTCGCTTTGTTTTCGTCGGGATCCCCTGCCGTGTAATTCATGGACACTGTTTCTCCGCCAAACAGTGGCAAAGTGTCACCGTCCGAAACCTTAAAAATTAAAAAAAACAACTATTTAGTTATCATCGACGAACAAAAAAAACCCACAACAATTTTCAGTCGACATAACAAGCACCATGAATGATAAAAAACAACATGATAATGCTAAAACAACGTTTAAAAACCTCGTAAGTATGATACTCCATAAAATTTCAATAAATTTCGTATTTTACGCAGACATAATCATTTCGACTGTGTCATTTCTATTATGTCCTCCATTAAGGTTCTTCATCTATCAAACACGTGGATTATACTCGCTAGCTTTATTAAAGAACTTCAATACCTTGGCTGTTTTATAAACTATAAGTATAGTTTTTTAATAGTAGAAATATAAATTATAAGTTGCGCAAAATTGTATACATGTACTTATTTATATTTTATTTACAAAAGCCTACAAATGCATCAGTATACACGTAATTTAAGAGAGATTCTGTCATACCTTGATAGTTATTGAAAATGTTTTATCATTTGTAAAGTCAGGCGCTTTCTTCAGTCTAAGTATTGCTGTTGAAGTACCAGATTTGACCATTCTAAAGTATTCAGCCCCAACACCTTCACCCATGATCTCAAATTCAAAATCGTTGTCGTCACTTCGGTCTAAATCGCTCGCGCTAAATGTCATAAGGTCAGCATACAAAGTTGTTGTGCGCGTTATCTGGAAAAAATAAACAAACTAATTAATATATCTTATAGTAAACGAAATAATATATTTTATAGTTAATAAAATTGTGACATAATGGAATTAGCGAATACGGAAATTAAGACGTTATTTTTAGCCGTCATTAAAAGATTTCCAGGAAAGTGTTTACTTTTCAAGGTCATTCATGAGAGTGACAATCTTAATTTGCTACCGTTTTGAGGGCGACTGTTGGGTTTCGTCGAGAAATAATTTGTACATTATGATGCCTATGACACTTTTTTCTTAAAGGAACATCATTGAGTTACAAAGGCCCACAACATAAAAAAATCTGTATTTCTTATATGAATTAGCTGGGGTACTTAAAACAGAAAAATATCAAAAAGATAATTAAGAAATATGCTCGGAAATGAATTGAAAATCATATTTTGTAATATTCCTAGCTCGATTTGAGTGAAAAGCGTTGCATTGCGTTTCAATTTCTGATAATTTTTCACAATTGGAATAATTATTCAGGGAAGACGGAGTGAGCGAATGATCTGAAATGTTGCGTCTAACCTTATATCAAAAGGAACATTAATCACTGTAAAAAAACAAAAACTGAGTGGTGTCCCTTTAAGATTTTTGGTGCGCTTTGTTCATTTGTCGAACTACCTTCCTCCTATACTAATGAAAAGAAGCAGCTAAATGTGATTCAGGTACTTTTGAAGTAACAGCGATTTCGTGAAGAATTACTTATCATAATTCGAGAGCAAGGACAACTAAAAATTTATTTGATTACCAAGGTGCATATAAGTGAAATGATCAATTACTAGTAATAAGCCAACTATTTTAGCAAATTATAATATTCGTACACTACATTTGTCACTTTTACGAACGAAAATGAATTACCGCTATTGGTTGACTGAAACCGGCATCAATTAATAGAACAGGTGCGTGGTCGTTGACGTCTTGTACGTTCACAGTTATCGCTGTTGTTGAACTAAGACCGCCAGGATCCGTACAACTTATTATCAGAGATGTCGATGAAGGTAAAGTTGTGCTCGAGTCTTCCAGGTCCCATACTTTTGCCAACGTGATATGACCATTGTTACTGTCAATACTTAAAAAAATAAACAAGGACAATTAACATCCAATTAACTTTTACAGTACAATTTCTGAAGAGATACAATATATTTAAAGAAATAACCCCTTTAACAACAATAGTATCAGTTCCTCCAAAAGTAGGGGGTTTGGCAATAAATTTAACCTCCCTAGAGTAACTCCTCTCAGCAACTCCAAAAGGGCGATGCTCTGTAGAGATTGCATGAATTGTATCTCGCATTTGTGCGTGACCAATATATACAGAACACTTCTATACTACTCAAGCTTGATTATTACAGAAAATTTAAAACTTCTTTTTGTTACGAAAAATATCTTGATTTTTTTAATAAATAATGTCTCAAGAAAAGAACTTGCCTGTTTTAGACAAGGCTCTCATAACTAAGACATAGAAACTTGAAGATTTTTGAACATTGATAGAATCGATCGCAAATGTTAACAATGTATATATAACTCTATTGAATCAGAATGTCACTTCCTTTAATATTGTCCAATTTAAACTGTTATAAGAACCAGCTATTTTAGAAAACATTTCATGGCCTTCTATACAAAATGTTTCGACTGCATTTCTTAAACACAGTTAGACTTGTTGTAAACAGAAATATGTTTTTGGCAACAAAAAGAAATTTAAAAAAATGAAATAATTCATATTATGGGTACAAAATAACGGAGTTTGACAATTCTATAAAACCAGAAAACTGTACACATTTTTTTAATTTTTGATGTTTTTTTTTTATTTATTTCAATAGAATAATCTATGTATTTTTCCCCTTTGAAATCAGGCACTAACCTTCTTTTGTCTACTAAATAAGCCTGTTAATTTCTTGCCGTTTTTACGGTTATTCATTGAAGATGTGAAAAGCCTTTCTAACAATACTGTTAGTGAATAAAATCACTATGACAAAAAGCTGAAATTATCATGTAACTTATTGCCGAATTACGCCCTAAAATATGCACTTTGAAGAAACTATTGTCAGGTCCACTTACCTAAAGAAGTCGTTATGAAGACCACTCTGTATGGCGTATTGTGTTGTGTCACCATCTATATCAGTGCAAGACAATCCAGGATCTGATAGTTCCGTGCCCGCAGCCTATGTTATAATTGTACAAATTACAAGCAGCTTAGGTTGCAGTTATAAGAAAGTCAACCCATCGCCTGGGTTGAAGTTATGAAAAATACCCACCGCTTAAGTTGATTAAGCCAAAAAGTAACCCAAAATATTAGTTGTTAAGTTTACCCATACTCTCGGTTTCTCATTATAAAAATGTTTCACGCAGTCTGGTATATAGTACCAGCAGTCTTGATTATAAGTTATAAAACTATCATCATGCACAGTATGGGTTATAGTTAAAAAAATTACCCGCATCCAAGGTTTTAGTTATGAAAATTACATGAATTGTGGGTTATAATAACTCAGAATACAATATAACACTTATATATTTTTGGAACTGTTTTTATTCAACGAAAAAAAAAAGAAATTTAGTGTATCTCCTTATACATATTTGCCATTTGAAACATTTAAATAATTAATGTGTACACAGTAATAATGATGTAATCAGAAACTTGGCGCATGTGATTTTGGCTAATTTTAAACGTTACCGTATCCTCTGTAAATGATATAGCAGTTGTTGAAGCACTGATGGAGTTGCCTTCATTGACGTTTGTCACGGCAACTTTCAGAGTTTTCTCCGCTAGTCCGTCAAGATAGTCATCTCTCACAGAGAACGTAAACATGTAGCTATTGACACGTTCATAGTCAAGAAATTGGCTAAGAGTCAAAATTCCATCTAGAAAATAAAATAACAATACAATGTACAATGATTCAATGCGTCATGAGATCGTAAGTATGGTTTTAAAGGTTTTAACGCTGTATCTAATAAAATATCTATATAAAATTTATTAATGGTAAAATTATTACAATGTATATTATTTTCAAAATTCAGGTAATCACTTTTTAACTTACTTATAGCAATTTAACAATATGCTATTAATTCATCGTCGGAACCCACGGGTACTTATTTCGCTGAACTACATTGATCACGTACGTTTAAAGTGTATACCTAACAAGTAAGGATGTATTAATTATGAATGACGCATAATAAAATTTATAATTGAAAATTAATACACATCTAGTGGATAGTTCTAAGATAAAGAAGCAATTATGCAAATTAGTAAATTACAAGTCCAAGAAATACATTTTACTTGATGTATCCAAACTAAACACAGATAGTTCTGAATTTGGGTCAACTCGGACGGTAACAGTATTGGTTTCTCCGACGTCTGGATTTGATATCGCCGCCGTGAATAAATTAGCGCCGACGGAGGTATCCTCGGGAAACGATTTTGAATCTGGTAAGTTGGTAATCTCTGGGTGAGTTTTAACTCCTATGAAATGATAAGATGGAAATGATATTATGGAAATATATATTACAATATATTACTTAACGAAAGAGCTTTTCAACTAAATAATTACGTTTTCCCCCTTCCTTTCATTCTAGTCGCCATGCAAAATCGAGGTTCTTGCGCTTATTCTTTTAAAAGATAGTTTCTTCATTGATATTGTATCATATGATTCAGATAGAAATAGTCCTAATAAAATTTAATCTTCCACTAATACATCAATCTCGTGTTTGTCCTGTGCAAAACATCGATGAATGAGCATTGGTAATATAAGGAGTCCGTCGGCAAGAAAATGTCCGCGGCATTGAAGGTAAACATCATGTGTTGATAGTTACTGGAATGTAGCACTAGTAAATGGCACAGTGTTAACAGTCATGTATATATAACGAGAACAACTAGGTAATGCAGCAGTCACTCGTTTATACTTAGAAGTTAATACTTGGTTGCTGCTCGCCATTATGCGATGATGGCCCGAACCTGAGAGCCGCAGGCCCGAAGGACATTATGAACTCGAGGTTCATAATGTCCTTCGGGCTTGCGGCTTTCAGGCCATTATGCACATCTTCGGGCCATTATGATAATATCGCATCATGGCGAGCAGCAACCAAGTAAACCGTGGCGAGCAGCAACCAAGTAAACCGTGGCGAGCAGCAACCAAGTAAACCGTGGCGAGCAGCAACCAAGTAAACCGATAAAGTTTTCATAATGAATTATACAGTGGGCTACATGTCGCTCTAAAACCAAATTCATAGATTTGCAGAAACGGTGTATGGAGATAATAGAATATACATCTTACTAATCCATTATTATTTCACTTACGTGTAAATGTGACATCTAGATCTCCACATTGGTCAGCATGTTTGGGATCTTTAAGACAAATCTGGACACTATATGTCTGACCATCATCATCAACTATTCTTAGTTCTCGATTTATCTTTAACTTCACTGATGTCGCCTCTAAAAATTCAATTTCATTTTAAATATATTTGTTTGTGTTGCAATTCATTTTTCCAACAATATGAATTTCAAAAAACGCCCGTTTATCTCAATAGGGAGAGGTTCGGATTTTAACTCCTGGGGTTGCTGGTTCAATCCTCAGAACAGGCGAAATTTTTCCGGGACAATTAATCTCATGTACTTAGTTTAATGAGCAATTGTGTCTTACAGCTGATATTTAGAAATCATTTGGACCTGCAAAGATTATGGTAGTTACTGATTAGTTACTAGTGTCTAAGAAGGCGGGTTCGGCGGACCAACCGCCGATATATCACCAAAAAGTATGTTAAAATCGGTGTAAAAACTAACAAACAACAAACAAAACATAAAATTTATTTTCGGCAATGATTACCTGTTTCACATTCATAAGGTACTTGCGAGTTGGCTATAGTACATGTGAAGGTGAGGTCATCTCCTTCATTGTCTGTAGCGGCCACTGTATGTAGTGTGTCACCAACTTTATAATTCATGGGATCTGCATTAAAGCTGTTTGGTGTCGCGGCTGTTCAAAGAGTAATATATTGGTAAAACATGGATCTTTGAAATCAAGTTGTCTTTGAGACTACGTCATACTAACATGGTGTAGACAACTGTAATCAAAGCACAGAAGGCGCTAAATTTGTTTGGGTCTCAGAATGTCAGAAAGGTGAAGGTTGTGAGATTATATTGTATAGTGCCACCAATGCTTTCCAGCGTTTTAATTGAAGTAGATTGGCTATAAGACTAATTGCAACAATGATATTCAATCCAATGTTTATTTGACTTAAACAAATTGAAAAAAAATGAGTTGCCTTAACTGGGATTCGAACTCTCGCTACCTAAGCGAGCGCGCAAACCCCTCATCCACGATGAGTGTATATGTTAATTTGCTGAAGAAAACCATATTATTCTAAGTAAGAGTTTGTAACGACGCTAACTGTTGTTTAACACTCGTGTAAATAATCATGGCGCTTACTATAAGCATGTATATCTATAAATAATTAAACAATATTAGAAATCATCGACCATTCGGGATCTTTTTTGCTTGAAAATTAATCCGCCTGTGACCATATTTACGCAGTGATCTCCCCTAAATTTTTGGGCCTAAGTGTTACATATAAACTTTTATAAAGGGAAGTAACCGCTTCAAAAAAGCGGACTACTTTCGGCATTTGCAATTAACAGCATTAGAGTCTGAAATTTTGCTAGCATTATTTGTTTGGTCTGACGACCCAAACAAATAATAAAACCCAGCTTACCTGGCCGAGAAAAAACCCAATTTACTGTACCATCACATATTTCAGATAATGTAAACGGATATATTCTGTTTTAAGACTGGACTGTTTCCTCAAATAAAAGATATTACTGAATGAATTTGAAGTCACACCGACACTATTAAAGGCGAGCTTCACCTAAACTTCCCTTCTGTGCATTATTTCAGACACAAACTGGCATCGGAGTAGAACTAACGACTTTTCGTAAGCTAGCTAGATAACCTTCCAACATGAAAGAATCAAAATTCTCTGATGAGATTATTCGAAGAGACAGCGATGAGATGGTTCCAAGTCAGAGACCTACATCACTCGACAATGGACAACCGTCATAACGTATAAAAGGATTATAAGCAACACAGGTGAGACGTACCAAAGAACATTCTTAATTATTGCTACAATTGTTAAGTGATCTAATATGCAATTATAAACGGCACAAGAAGTTGTCACTTCGGCACAATAGAGAAACATTTCTGATTTTTTGGAGCCAAAACAAAGACAGCTCATTGAAACTGCCTTTTACCAAAATACATGACCGTGAAATCCATCCTAAAGTTAAACAAGTAAAATAGCAAAAAATGTTATACTATTCTTTTATGAAAAAGTTCGAAATGCTTGAAAAAGAATAATATGATATTAAATCTTATTTATCACATACCCGTGCCGTTTCTGCGGCTCCGTAAATACGGTATTGCACGGCCGTGCATATATTTTGACGTTTCATACAAACATAGTGATAAGAACGCTAAATGTTAGAGTTATATTAAAAAAATCAATGAAAAATGGTTCTTTTTTTCACATTAAACGGCCTTCATTTTTGGTATATGGTAAGTAGAATATTTAATTCGTGTAAGTTCATTGCTGCATTGATTCAACTCGTTGAATAAATTAGAGGCTCGCATAATATAATTTTATTCAACTGGTTCAATAAATTCAGTATAAAACTTACACTCATTCAATATCCTTTATTTATTTCTAAGAGGTAACCAGTGAGCATACTTGAAAAACTTGTGAAAGTTGGAGCTTCGTTCAGTGTTACAGTAATTGTTAGGATGTCTGTATCACTTCCGCTATGACTGTCCGTACACTCGATTGACACGGAATAAGTTGTTGTAGCAGACGACAACCCTCCGTTCTCTCTGTTCAGTACTGCATACACTGTGATATAAATACAATGTTAGATTTCTGGAAATGATAACGTAACATAGTCGTCAGTGTGTATGTTTGGGGCATGCTGGGGTTTGGGTAGGAGATACGCATATCGACACAGTTAAATTAATGTCCAAATTGCACGTTTCAACTTCATTGATGGAGGAAGATCCCAGGTGCCTATCTGCGGGAAAAGAAGCAATAATCCTCCGTAAGCTTACTGGATCTCAACATATGAAATAAATTCGAACCCAAAGAGGCGAGGAGCAGGTGGTTCGAAGTCAGTGACATCAACTACGCGACCATTGAGGCCCCTAAATATGTCGACTGTAAAGTCACTCCAACAAAAACTTGAATACTTAAAAAGTGTGCCAGAAGTGTAAAAAATTATCACATACACCTTTTGTTGAAAATAAAGCAGTGTGAGAAATATAAAGTGAGACAAATATTTATGATATATTTCACTTGAAATTAGTGAAGTATGTGACCAACCATTGTATCATTCCTTTCCAAGGTGAAAGCATATCTCATGCAATTGTAAAAATCAATATTTCTCAAACAAGACAACAATCTGACCAAAACACGCATGAATTGTTTGCCTATACTTATTGCTTTAATTTTGTTAAATAATACTTCCAAAAATACCTACAAGAAAGAAATGGGTTGATAATTTCCTTTGGTGGTTTGACAACACAAACTATCATGACAGGATATATTGCTTCGGACCCCCCCCTCCCCCAACATCTTCATTTTTCCATCTCTATGTACGTAGGTAGTTTGTAGTAAATACCTTGTCTATTTGATAAATTATTTGAGAGTCTTACTCTTACAATATAAACATGAAAGATAATAAAAGACAAAAAACTTTGATGGTCACAAAAGCACTTCATCCAAGTTTGCGGCATAAACATATTTAAATTTGACATTGAAGGAGGGAGTATTTCTTGTATTTTATACTAGAAAGAAACACTCATACTTCCAGATATTGGTGGAATTCTATCAAGATAAAATGGTTCAACCGAGTTAGTGTTGACAATTTCACACGTGTACGTGTCAGCAGAATTAGCATCAGATGTTGACACTGTAAACAAAGTTCCTGACGTTGTAGTATCCTCGGATATAGCAACAGTCGCTGGCAAATTTGTTATCTCAACCGCCTATAAGAACAATATGTTTTTTATTATAAATCATTAATATAAGTATTGTTTTAACAACACAGAACTTGGTAACTTTCCATAAAGCTTTAATTCTGTACACTTTTTGACACCACACGGTTAGGTAAATAGGTAGAACTTTGGTTTGTGAATCGGGCGACCCGGGTTCGATTCCCGGACGGTGCAGATCACTTTCGTTATGATTAATATTGGAATTCCTTTAACGTTCATTCGCACCGTATGTACAGAATTAATAAACGGTTGTAGGATTTCGCGCATGTGCATACTGCATAGGGCAAAAAAGCAATAACGAAAGAATACATTTGATCAGTATTCAACAACTTGATCAATATAAGTCATCGTATACACAATGGTCTCTCAAATCGACCACACAGTGTAATCACCTTGAACGTTTCTGCATTTATGAAGTCAGGGTCTTTCATATTTAATGCATAATGTATTCGATTAGAACCTTCGTATACAAGCTATAGAATTAAACCATCTCTTTGCTTGAAATGAGTCACTTGGATATACTTTCCTTATAATCTACTCGGTAAAGGTGTAGTCATTATTAAAATACTGAAACCCTAAATTAGAGATTGTTTACAAATGTTTATTCTATAGGCTATATTCTTTTACCATTCTCAGACATAAAGGCTTTCATGTTATGTCACGCGAAAAACATAAATTTGGCATGACTTAAAGTGGTAAGTGTAATTATGCAAAATGTGATTTGATATATATAAATATAAGTTAACAGATATACGAAAATATGCGGGACATTTTTGAACCAACAATACAACGACCCAACACACGGATATGAATGCAACTTACATAATTAACAGCGCTAACTACAACAGTTAGTTGACACTGAGCATAATTACAAGATCCGTCATTGAAAACGTAAGCAACTATTGAATATGTAGCCGAGTCAAATACCTCCTCAAACTGTTCCGCCAGGGTAACTGATCCTAAATAATAAAACGGTAAAATGAAAATATGGTGAACACCTTTATCACAGATGTCTCTTTATCAAATCACGCTTAACAGTTATTCTGAAAAAAAATCTTTGCAAAATAAATTTCCAAAACATTTCCATAACAGTTATCCTAAAAGTACCATAACATAAAAAGATCCGTGTTTTTATGATAATTACCATTAAAAAATGTGCAAAATACTTATTGTGAAAATGTACCTTTCCATTAAAACAAACTGATTCATAAAATCAGCCTTTAAATAACGCTTTGCCTTAAGGACCTGTAAACATAAGAATTAAGATCTCAACTTTAGTCAGAAAAACAATATAGAATAAGAATCATCCTTAGAAAACTCTTATGCTAAACTATCATTCTGAAAAACTCCTTTGTGTTTCAGTGTAGCCTTAAATATTCCTATGTGTAAAACTTATTCTGAAAACTCCTTAATGCAACATTTATCCTAGATACACTTATGCATAACAGTAATCTAAACACTCCTTTATATTACATATATCCTAACTCCTAAGACACTCCCATGTGTTTAATATATCAAGGAATACTCCCTAGTGTAACATTTATCCTAAGTCACTCCCTTGTGCAGTGTAAAATTTGTCCTGAAAAATGCATTTGAGTAATATTACAAGCTACAATGTGTAACACATATTCTGAAGCAATAAATACCACAACTACCTTTACTTTTGACAAAAAATCTTTGTATGAACAAGCACCTTCGTTTAGATTAAGCGTCCAAACATTTTTGCTGCCAATGAATTCAAGTTATGATTTTGATAAAACTAAAATCGGAAGGAGAATACCTGTTGAAGAATCAACTGTGAATAATGAAGAGGGATCTGATTTTATAGAATAGCTGAGACCACTAAAGGTACCGCCATACACGAGAGATGATATGTCAAACATTTCGTCGCCTACACTAGCCTCGGTATTCGTTGAAAATGTGCCATCGTTACACTGAGGCGTGGCACTGCAATATTCTGAAAGAAATTACATATGAAAATACTTTACTATCATATTAATGTTCGAGACATCTGATCAAGTGCTGGAACATCCGGTCACGTGCTTGTGTCTCTTTTTAGGTGTTCACAGCACCAAGATCTAAATGCATAAGCTCATCTTTTAGTATTGTTTTAGAAAATGATTTAACTTAGAATGCCTTAACGTATACATTTTTCGTTGAATATGCAGACATTTCACAGTTTTAAATGACGACGCAATGTGAATTATGTTTGAAAAAATGTGTTTTTTTTTGTGAGTATAAATTAAGTGACTTGTAAAATATGACACCTTCTACGTCGATCGTGAGATCTTCACAGATCTCGTTCCTCCTCTCATGACCACAAACGTGAATCCTGTAAGTTTTGTTGACTTCCTTATCCCATAAATATGTTGTCATGGTAATGTTGCCTAGTTGATCTAGAAACAAATAAACAAAATACACAAAGTCGCGTTGCGATAGAATATTATCCATTATTCTATATCAAATCGCTGTTTTTTATCAGTTGTACCACGTAACCATAAATACATTTCCATATAGGACGCTGTAGCATCCAATATAGTTATCTTGCGTTGGGCAATATAGTACTTCTGACCTTTTTGATAAACCCTTTAACAACAAAATTTTCCGCATAATTTTTAAGAGCATCATACTTCTCAAACCATTATAACATAAGGTCTCATTTTGCGTTTCCTCGATATATAGTTTTGAAAGAAATAAACAGATTATCAAACATTTAACATGTAAGGAAATATATATGACCTCGTACACAGCTCAAGAAATCATATTACAATCGCCTGGCGCCTCGACCATGCAATATGGTGTCACCAACTATATTCTCGCATTTTACAATTGAATGATAAATAAACGATAACGTAAACGTCCTATATATGTTTTACAGCTGTCCAATAGAAATCAATATTGTAAAATAAAATTATAATACATGTATGTATAGACATGGATGTACGGTATATAGGTTTTACCGATTCTTGTTACTCATTTTACAAATCTACTTAACTGTAATAGTTTCCCCAAGTTGTTCCCAGAAAGTAGTTCGGATCAACATTGGTATCAACGTCTTGGTATGTATATTCATAAATCAAGTTTTCGTTTTCAGCGTCCGAGTACATTATCTCGAAAATGTTGTCTAGATATGACACTGTCTGTCGATTAAGATCAATGTGGGCTGAAAAATTAAAGATAATAAAGAACGTGTTCTGAAAGAAATGTTGACGTTCAGAAAGAAAACAAGAGGGCCATGATGACCCTAGATCGCTCACCTGACCCATCGAATTCATCCAAACAATTACCTAGACAAGCATTTTGACCAACTTAATGACAGGTGTGTCAAAAATGTGACCACTAGAGTGTTAACAAGGATTATCCATATTTGAGCAGCGTGACCTAGTTTTTGAACCCAAATGACCCATATTCGATCTTGACCTAGAAATCATAAAAAAAAAAAAAATCTTTCAGACCTATTTCCAGGGTATTTGGATCAAAACAGTAGCCACTAGAGTGGTAACAAGGTTTTTCTAGTTTTAGCTCCAGTGAACTAGTTTTTCATCCGCGATGACCCATGTTCGAACTCATCCGAGCAATTACCTAGACAAGCATCCTGATCAAGTTTGATAATTGAGTCACAAATGTAACCACTAGTGTCTACAAGGTTTTTCTATTTTTAGCTCCTGTGACCTAGTTTTTCATCCGATATGATTCATGTTCGAACTCATCAAAGCAATTACATAGACAAGCATCCTGACCAATTTTGATGATGATTGATTTAAAAATGTGACCACTAGAGTGTTAACAAGGTTTTTCTATTTTTAGCTCATGTGACCTAGTTTTTGCATCCTAGAGGATCCATGTTCGAACTCATTTAAGCTATTACCTAGACAAGCATCCTGACAAAGTTTGATGATGATTGAGTTAAAAATGGGATCGCTAGAGTGTTAACAAGGTTTTTCTATTTTTAGCTCATGTGACATAGTTTTTCATCCTAGATGACCCATGTTCGAACTCATGTAAGCTATTACCTAGACAAGCATCCTGACAAAGTTTGATAATGATTGAGGCAAAAATGTGACCGCTAGAGTGTTAACGAACAAGTGTGGACGGACGGCGGACAACAGACGACGGACCACGGACATTCAACGATCCTAAAAGCTCACCCTGAGCTGGCTCAGGTGAGCTAAAAAAAGGACATAATAAAAACATGTTCTGGTAGAAAATTTAGACAAAAAAAAACGTATTCTTGAAGAAATTCTTGTCAGAAAAAACCTGTTGAAAAAAAATGACAAAAAGGAGTTTGCTGGAAGAATATTAAAATTCTGCCTTTGATAAAATCTTCATAAACAACGGTTCGCTTTTAACCAGTAAACATATTATATAAGTCAAATAAGTGGTCAGTAATAGCTGCAACACAGCATATACATACAACACACAACATTTACACATAAATTAAATTAAAACAGAAGTTTTGTGTTAAAGGAAAATGAAGAGAACGTTTTAACAAGGTTATCACTCTTACTCGGTAAATGCCTATAGGCAGGCACTGCATTTTTAACAACACGAAACGTAAAGACCTCAACGTCGGTTGAGTTGTACCCGTCCCAACACTGTATTGTCACTGTATATTGTTGAGTCCGGTTGTGAGTTAAACAACCGATATCAGTATCACAGTAATAAGCCCGGGGTTGTTGGTATTTGTAACCACATCCTGGTGTCTGACATCTCAGCTTATAAAGGCTGTATGCTGAAGTTTTCATGTACAGCGAAATGAGAACTACATAAATACAATTTCATGAAGATATCTGAATATAATTGAAAATCTGACATCAATCACAAAAAGAAATAATTACAGTGGCACAGAGATGACAAATGTGTGCTTTTATTTATCTCGTGCGCACGAGATACTATATGGTGGCCACGAGTTACTAAGTCGTGCGAGCGAGATAATTAAGTGGTGCGCACGAGATACAATGTCGTGGCCACAAATTACTAAATCGTGGGAACGAGATAATTAAATGGTGCGCACGAGAGACTCATAAGTCTTGGGAAGAAGATAATTATGTGGTGTGCACGAGATACTATGTCGCGGACACGAGTAACTTAGTCGTGGGGACGAGATAATTATCTTATGCGCACGAGATAATATGTCGTGGCCACGAGTTGCTTGGTCGTGGGAACGTGATAATAGATATAGTGTCTCATACGCACCACTTCATTATCTCGTGCGCACGACTTAGTAACTCGTGGCCACGACATAGTATCTCGTGCGCACAACTAAATTATCTCGTTCCCCTATCGCAGTAACCCAGATAAATAAAAACGTACAAATATCACCTCTGTCCCACTGTAGGTAACGCATCAAATTATTTTTTCTCTTTGAAGTCAAATTAACATGATGTCGTGTTTAGCTGCCGAAAGGTGACGTTTATGATGCCCTTTAGTTCCACTTTACCGTTAATAAAGAAATTTGATGGGTATTTTTTTATATCTTGATTCGTAATTCTCATCAAACACGAATTATTAATCTTTAACAACCTTTATCAATTGCTTATCAATTCACCAATTATGTTTTGAGTAAATAAGGTACATCATTTTAAAGTGACATAAATAAATGGATTTCAAATGTAAAATAATATTTTTTTATCAACATAGCACTTTAAATAAAAGAAAAAAATATATAAAAAAACTTACAATTATAGGAATGGTTCCCGTCATGTCTAAGCTCAAACATATTAGCCTCACTAGGGGACCAGCTGATTATTTGGCACGTGACATTGTCTTCCCAGTAATAATTATAATCATATGTTATTAATGAATGAATGCGCCTCTCCCAATCATAATCCTCGTGAAGGTAATAGGTTGTGGGCAAACTGCGGATATCTATTGGCTGAGAAAAGAGAAAAAGGATGACGTCATTTATGACGCCATTAAGATATTCAATAATATATGATATCTTTATGTCTTTATTTCCCAATCATAATCCTCGTTAAGATAATAGGTTTAAGGCAGACGTCCGGTATCAGTTGGCTAAGATTAAAGTTATGAAAAAAATGATTTCATTTATGACGCCATATTACATTCAGTTTCTATATTTGCTTACAATTTTACAAACTTACCCAATTAGTGTAGTGGATTCGAACTTTAAAGTTACACGTTGTTGTGTAACAGGACTGTGAGTTGGCCACCCGTACCACCTGGTTGTAATCTTGTGTCGGCCATGACGGCCAAATGCTGATATTACGAGTGATGTATATTTCTCCTGAGAAAAAAAGAATTATGACTATAAGCATATTTTCACAACTGATAAATCAAAGTATTTAAGTACTGATGGATGACTCTACCTAAATGTATTACATTCAAACACTCCATAAAACTTTGAGCCTTCAATCTTACAAAGTAATTTTACAAAAAAAAAACTAGTCTTTTTATAATAAAAGTCATAAAACTATTAGACTGAATCTACATACTGACCATATCTGTTTCTAGCTTACTACGTCAGACCTAGGCTGCTGAATTGGAGGCAAAATGAACCTTGGCGGCCCTGGTCAATTAAATGTAAATGTCACATCAGAATAATTCAACATATCGGTTTTGTGATATGTGTTCTTTAGTCCACACATGAATTAAATCCGTACAAATAACAAAGTTATGTCAATTCAAAGGAATTTCAATAATTTGACCTTCATGCACAGACAAGGTCATTTCACACCAATTTAACATATCGGCTTCGTCCTTTTGTCGAGGTGTGAATCAAAACTGTAAGTAAATAATAAAGTTATGACATTTTAAGCAAATTTCAATAATTTGATCTTGACGGTCATGGTCAAATAAAGATTAAGGTCATATCAGAATAATTCAATATTTCGGTTTTCTAATCTATGTTCTTTTGTCCAAGTATGAATCAAATCCAAAAATAAATAACAAAGATATGGAAATTAAAGAAAAATTCAATAATTTGACCTTGGCCGTCAAGATCCATCAAAGGTCAGGCCATATTAGAATAATTCAACATGTCTGTTTTATCGTATGTGCTCTTTTGTCCAAGTATAAATCAAATCCATAAATAAATTACAAAGTAATGACCAACTGTAGCTAAATTCACTAATTTGACATTAAGTGTCAAGGTCAAATTAAGGTCAATGTCAACTTAAATTTTTATTTACTTTAATCTCTTGTCCCAATGATTGTTGTCCACAAGCATGAAGACAATGCATATATTAATTACAAAGTTTTAGCCAATTACAGCAAAAAACTGTGAATTTACAATAGTTTTACCTTCAAGGACAATGCTATTTATAGGTCAATGTCAAATTGAGTTATATATTTTTAGACATTATCCTTAAAGAAGCATGAAGACAGTCCATGCATAACTATCAAAGTTATAGCCAATTATTACAAAAATCAAGCAAAATATATTAATTTGACCTCAAAGGTTATGGCCATTCATGAGAGACGGTCATAATTAGATTGGTATACTTGAAGGTCTTGTCCAAAGGATTGTTGTGTACATGTATTACGGCAATCTATTTATAAATAACAAAACAAGTAAAATGGTTTCCTGCGGTGAACATTTTAATGATATAAAGATATTTCATTTAACTATTTTCAACATTTTTTTTTGGGGGGGGGGGGGGATAAATAAACGTACGTATCAAGAATATAGTTGACAATTGAATAAACGATCAATATAGAAGAAGCTAGGTCTTTGGAAACTGATGACCGTTGAAGACCGGAGAGGGTCGAACATAAAACAATTATTTCTTTTTAAGAAAATTATTAAATAGGCCTACCATTTTATGAATAATTCCGAGCAAAAAAATAAATAAAGTTAACACACAAGTTTACGCAGAAAATATCTCTATTTATTATGGCAGATGCCATTACGAATATTTTAACTTTGTAGATTTTCAGTATAAACAATTTATTGTTTGTAAAATTTGAGATAGATATTAAAGAAACATTGATAATTTTCAAACACATCATTCAAGTTTTCCACCTTAAACGGTAAAATAATTATAGAAAATTAGAAAAATCACGTAATAGTTTTTGTTCTTAATTAGGGGTAATTCGGACTAATTCCCTACAGGTAAATCCGTAACGTACCGGCAAACGGTATTTAGCTAGGATTTCGAAAAGGTCAATTAACCAATCATGTACGGTTTACAGATCACATGCTCCTCCATGTACCGAAAACGGGTCACGTGCTCCTCCATGCCTCAAAAGTTAAACGCGTACCAATACCCTGCGGTCTCCAGACCGCAGGGAATAATAGCAAAATATAGCAAATGGTCAATGCCATTTATGGGTCAAGGTCAAATTTAGTCTGGTCTTAATTGAAGGTCCTGTCCAAATAGCTGTTATGTCCGAGTATGAGGACAATACAGTTAAGAAATTGAAAAAAATAATGGCCAACATTAAAGTTTCTGGACGGCAACGGGAATGACAACCTGACTGTAGCAATAGCTCGAAAAAGTCGAATTGGTACACATTTACATTATTTTTTCATCCTAAATGTTATTTTCCTTCTGATTGACTTGAAAACTATCAAACTACTTTAATATGTGTATGAATGTAGAGTTGTTCTTAGATGCCGAAATAATGGACGATGACATAACACGGCTATTAGATCGCCTCCAAAACATTTAAGTGATACCTAGTGATACCTAGTTTTCGTCCAATGAGAAGGCCTAAATTTCTAAATTTCGGACAAACTGTATATTTTGCTGCTTTTCATTTCATTTCATTTCTGAAGATGCTAGTTTCAACATGTAACAAGCAAATTGAAGATAAACGTGACCATGTGACAATGGTGTCGGCCTATTCATATACCTGTATCAGAATTAATGGCTGCCTCTGGGAATTCGTTCAAATCAAAAGTCCACGTGAGGTCATGCCATACAGAACTGAATGCTGGGAAATGTTCCGTTGGTTGTGGATAGTTCATGTTGAAAATCGTGTCACTGCTTCCACTGTGACCAGTGCGTGTTCCATATGTATCAATAATATTATTATCTGATTGGTCATAACACGTTGGCGTCTGAAAACACGCCCCTGAATGAAAAAAGAAATTGATGAAATACGCCCACAAGCACGAAAATTATATTGTCACCTTATTATGTAAAAAACCCAACAAAACAATATGTATAATACTGACACTTTTAGAATGTAGTTTATTCATGTACATTTATTATAATGAGCCAATTTGTGTGTTTGTTTCTAAAAACGGAGTCGAGTACACCTGCAATAAAGTCCAATAACACCGACGGGTAAATGACACAAACGTGAATGGTGTTACAGTGTGACGGTATACCAAATCTATGAAAATATTGTTTTGTTTAAATCATTTAAATAAAATTTGCACATATATGTTTAAGAAACCTTATTTTGCCTGATTAACGCAAATATTCTATTTTGTATCTGTCATTCGTACGATCTGACCTCAGTCGAACATACGTGAACGATATTACCTTGGTTGAACACATGTGAACGATATGACCTCAGTCGAACACATGAGAACGGTATGACCTCGGTTGTACACATGTGATCGATCTGACCTCGGTCGAACACATGTGAACGATTTGACCTCGGTTGTACACATTTGGTCGATCTGACCTCGGTCGAACACATGTGAATGGTATGACCTCGGTTGTACACATGTGATCGATCTGACCTCGGTTGAACACATGTGAACGATTTGACCTCGCTCGAACACATGTGAACGAAGCTTTCAAAGACGCCCAAAAGGTCACCATGTTATGTTAAACTTGACCGATCTTTCATTTGGTATTGCTTTGTCTTTTTTCTGTTTATTTTAGCTGCACGCAACTTTAAACAATTCTTTAGAGCCAGTGTGAAACCAACACTAATTACGTATATACCGTGAATTTTATGTCTAAGCCTATTGCAGCACCGTATGTACAGACTAGGTAATACGTTTGTATACAAATGTATGCCATTTTGTTTCTTAATGGGATTGTCCCGTGCTAAACACTTACACAAGGTAATGTTGAGATCATGACAAACTTCCCTATGCCTTCTGTCATAAACGCATAAGTTCATATTGAAATAATAAGAAAATTCTAGAGTCAAATCTTTCCCAACTTTGACCTGTCCGTTAGCTGAAAAACAAAGAAAATGATTTCATGACACTTGTACATTTTTGTATGTTTTGATTTATCATAAAAAATAGTGTCGTCAGTATAAATAAGGTTAATTTAAATTTGTCATTTTAACTATCTAAACAACACCATATAAAATGAAATTTATGAAGTAATAACACTAATGTCGCTTTTCTATTGATTGCTAACATCAAATTATGCCTACATGTGTCCAAATAGAAGAGATTGGATGTCCCGTGTATATATGAATTCCCCGGCCCGCTGTTCTGACGATACCGTATGTAATCATAATCGTAACCGTTATCAATAAAGGACGGAACTAATGTGTTGATGACGGTTCCTATACCAGCCGTGTCGTGGGATACACTTATTGAGTTCCCAGCTTAAAAGATTATAAAAACACAACAATAACAACAGCTTATAAAATGCTTTTGTAGAATCAGACATTTCTTATCACTAAAGAAATAAATGAAAGCAAACTGCTACATACAAATACTGAAAAAGGCTAAAGATATTCTCCATAATTTGACCTACTGACCTAGAAATGGTGCTCATGTTACAAAGTCCATTCATTTTCTAAAAAAAATGTTCCACAGTAGCAATTCAATAAGGCGTTACTTAACAAAACTTACAACTGTAGTAAAATGTTGGCGGATTGGCTGCATATACGCTGACAGTGAACGATCCAGAAATGGCACCATTTGTTTCGTATCCAGTTCTATAAGCAGTAACACCAACAGTATGAGATTCACCACTGTTAAGACATCCGTCAGCGTTACACGTTGGACCACAGTAAAGTGATGTACATGTCTTCTTCTGAACGGTGGAACCTGTGTAAATAAAAAAGTTTGCCCCTATGCTTTGATTAATTCTAAAAACATACTGGTATGCCTCAAATATCTTTATATAACACGATTGATCTTTGTTTGTATATCATTTTTGAGTAATCTGGATCTAGTTGAGCCCAATGAACGATCATTAGAATTTATTGTTACCCTTTCATGTCAGCCAAATGTCTGTGTGTTTTTTTTCTTCTGTCATGTAAGCCACAACACCATATGACTCATTTTCCTGCTATGACGGATTTACATATAAAAATGATACAAAACAGTCAAAGAAAAAGAAAATGGTAAAGTAATTTCGTTCTTGAAACCAATGCCTTTTCAGAATCTTGTAGATGCAATTAAAGAATTTCAATTAAAGGTTTTCACTTCAAGCGGAATTCAATTACAGGTATTCAAATCTTGTTCTGGTTTGTTTCTGAGGACAACATTGCATAAATCCTTAAATCGGGGGTTAAAGCAAAAATAGTACAACAACATATAGAAATTCAAAACTTAAACTAACCAACATAGCTTGCACATTTATAAAGGATCGAATAATGCATAGTTAAAGAAACAAAATATTAAATTTGCATCGTGACCTAAACCAGAATCATATTGAAGTCTTTTATCTACTGCAGTTAACCTTAAATCACAGGGGGGGATTCGCATTTCCGTTTGACATTACTATACACTAAAAAATTATTACCGCTCATTTGAAAGTTTCCTGACGGGTCGGAATTGATGTAAAACTGGTTGCAAGCGACATTGGCGTAGGAATGTTGATAACACGTTTTTGTCACGTAGTAAGTACACGCACGCCATCCCCACCCGAATACGCCACAGTTTGTGTATCGCTTCGTATTACACTGGTATGATGTAGTGTATCGTACATAGCACGTGGCCGAGATGCTCCACATGTTGTGTGTTCCATCATAGTTTTCATGTATACTGACAGTTCCAGGATTGTTGTCGATGGAACTGGCATCTGTAGCAGAAATGTTTGTTTATAATGGATTTGTAAAAACAACAATTATTCATTCTGTATCATATACTACTCAACTTTTTGCTAAGCACCATAAGTTAATTTTTATATTATCACAAGTATAAAACAGATTTCTTTCCAATTTTGAAAATTCTGATTCAGCAATGTTTTGAGATAGTCCCCTGCAAATGAATCCGTTAAAACTCGTCTAGGTAGCATGGAAAGCATGCATCCCAATATTTTCATATTTTTATAGGGTGTACAATCACATGTCTTTTGTTACCAGCTTATTGAGTGACTTACATTTCTTACATCTATCACTTCGATATGGCGAATGCTAACATTGGGTGGCATGAGAAGCAGAGTTATGGAGGGCTGTAGAGATGGTGCAGCAGGGGGGTCCAAGAATTGGCAACCATACCAGTTAGAACGACAAGAAACCTAAAAGGAAGTATGAAAAGGTGCTGCCAAACTGTCATTGAAAGACACATGGCACACTCGGTACTAGGTCTATAAATGTAAACAAAAAACAAAACAAAACAACAACAAAAAAAAACAATTAACATAAGTATAGGGTTAATATCTTCGTCCTCTCAGCTGAATTGATGAATCAGTAAATCAACATTTAAAACCATTCGTCCGGCGTTTATAAAATTATCCCAAAAAAATTTCACACTCAATATTGTGCTTAGAAAAAGTTGAGTAGTATATTTCGAGAATTTGGTATTGAGTTTTTTTGCAAGCACAGGGAGTTGATGCGTTATCCACTGTGATTCAATTTGTATTTCAGCGTCCTTAACTTCCGGCCACTGAATCAAATAAGTAAAATATATAAATGAATAAATGAATGAATGAATGAATGAATGAATGAATGAATGAATGAATGAATGAATGAATGAAATATGAATGAATGAATGAATGAATGATGAATGAATGAATGAATGAATGAATGAATGAATGAATGAATGAATGAATGAATGAATGAATGAATGAATGAATGAATGAGAACCAAAATGCTATCTCATGAAAAATACAGTAACAAATGAATTTTTTTTTAAAAGACAAGAATAAAAGCATCGTCGTTAATTTAAAAAAAACAAAACAGTATGGTAAGGTTGATAAAAAAAGAAGAAAAAGAAAGGATTAAACATAAATTAAAAAAAAAAAAAAAAAAAAAAAAAAAAAAAACAATATAAAAAACATTTAACTAACCTGAAACTGACAAAATAGACGAAAGAAAAATCAAGCAAACAGCAAACATCACTGTGTTCACATAATATTATAATAATGAAATCTTATGACTTGTTTACGGATCAACACTATCAGACAAATAAAATCAATTGACTGAAAATATATACATATTACCTTTCAAAAAAAAAAAAAAAAAAAAAAAAAAAAAAGAAAGAAAAAAAAAACAATGAACTTGTTCACGATATTAGGTCAACTATTGTTCATAAAAATCAAGTACATGAACCGAAAACCAGTCATAGTTGACTATTTCTACTGCTGGCATGACATCATGGGTTTCCGAAGTATGTATTTTTAGCAAGGTATGTTTTACAGGTAAGTATATATATACTTTAATAAATTAATTTGAAAATTTACCAGCGTAAAAAGTTGACTCCTTTTATTAGCAGTGATGAGCTAGAGAGAGAAGAAGAGAGTGAGAGAGAGAGAGAGTGTGTGAGAGAGAGAGCTCGAAGATCGAAATTTAGAATATTCCGAATTAACAGCTTATTTATTTATTATCCTCCATAATACATGAAGATTTGAACGACAATTACATAACCAGTTTTTAAATAACTACAGACAAAACAAGTATACAAATGTGATATATACATTACAAGACATGAAACAACTGTATAATACAGTCAAAATCGATACACTTTTGCAATTATGAATACATACAGTAAATTTGCAATTAAATGAAAAAGATATGTGCGAATATAATTTTATAAGATCGATAATCATCACTATCGAGTTAACCTTGAATTTCGAGCTAGAGTTGAATAACGAGGTAGCCTGAAGATTGGAACTAACAATCATTTAAAACTGAATTTCGTATGGAGTTGAATTCGAGCTAGCTAGAAGATCGAACTTCTTAGTTTACATGAATTCGAAGATCAATATTCACAAGAGTCAGTTCGAAGATCAAAATGAAATTTAGTTGAATTTCGTGCTGGACCAGACTTTCGAAACTGTTTTTGCAAAACGAAATTCAAACAAGTTTTGTATGGTTGAACGGAAGACCACGTTATTTATACTGTATTGTTCATCCTCCTAAAAGGGGGGGGGGGTCATCATAGATATTGTCCAACAACATTGACCTGACACTCTTGCATTTGACCCTGTAGTCGGTATATTCCGTAAACGTTACGATTTACTTGTAAATCGATATGAATGTAAATATCCAATTATTAAAATGGTGAAAATGAAAATTCCTTCTTAGCGCAGTTGGTAAAGCGTTTTCACTTGTTGACGTAGACTGGTAGGTTCGAATCCTATTTCAGCGATTTATTTTTTTATTTTAATTTTGAAATTGTCATTTTCTTTAAACTACTGAAAACTTTTTTTATTGTGTGTACTATCTATGTAGAATTTTTAATAACTGCCATTTAAGCATATACGATTGCATAATGTCACTAAAAGAACCGTTGAAAGATAATGTAATGAAATAAAAGACAAAAATAAAAGACATAATTGTGCATAAAAACACCATTTAAAAGGTATTCTAAAACCAGGTGTAATAAAACGATTTCAAATTAATTCTTGTAATTAAATTTAAAAAAAATCATAATGTGGTGTTGGTTAGGTATCGAAACAGAGACCTTCAGATCGGTAGTTCGACATCTATACCAATACACCAAACTTTACTGACGAGTGAAGTTAGCAAAAATATCGATATATTCGATAGGTAATAGTCAATGTTTATTCATATGACCTTTCCGAAAATTAATGAAGTGCCAGGTCAATATTGTTGGACAATATACTCTTAGTCATAATACTTCCCGTTCCCGTTGCCGTCCGCAAACTTTAACCTTGATCATAACTTTTTAATTTCTTGCTAAATTGTTTTCATATACCAGACCTTCAAGTAGACCAGACTGAGCTTGATCTTATTCACGTATAGTAACAATATGACGGTAAATAATGCAATATCATTCACTTATTGCACGTAAAGTGAAAATATTTACTTGGATAATGCGTTTTTCTCAAGTTTGATTTTCTTCAGATATTTTGGTTCATCTGGACGCATCAAGCTTAAAAGGTATCAATATGAAACTTGGAATTCATGCTTATCATGACAAGGTGCAGTTGTTAGACAAGGGACATAATTCTAAACATTTTTGCAATAATGCCCCCTTTTATCTTAAAATGTTTGCTTTGACAGACGAGTGTTAACGCCACACGCGATGCTCTTTTCGTGTTTTCCATTTTTTTAATGAATCAATAGTTACGCAAAGTTGTGATTATCTTATGAATATGTAATCAGTTAGTTCGAATATCGAACTGGCATTCGTATTTTGATCTTCGAGCTGGCTTGAAATTCAGTCCAGCACGAAATGAAAATTCATATTTGAATGATTTTGAATTTCTATCTACGAGCTGATCCGAAATTCATCTTCAGCACGAAATTGAACTTGTTTCATATCTTTGTACACTAATTTGCGCTTTTAAGTGGAGTGTTTGATGCTTCATGTCTTCGTTCTCCAGTTTTTGCTTCAAGTCTCCTCTCTATATTTCAAGTGTCATGTCTTCGTTCAACAGTCTCTGCTTCAAGTATTTTCTTTTATACCAGTATACCATGCTTCATGTCTTCGTTCAACAGTCTTTGCTTCAAGTCTTTTCTTTTATACCGGTATTCCATGCTTCATGTCTTTGTTCTACAGTCTTTGCTTCAAGTCTTTTCTTTTATACTCCATGCTTCATGTCTTTGTTCTACAGTCTTTGCTTCAAGTCTTTTCTTTTATACTCCATGCTTCATGTCTTTGTTCTACAGTCTTTGCTTCAAGTCTTTTCTTTTATACCGGTATTCCATGCTTCATGTCTTTGTTCTACAGTCTTTGCTTCAAGTCTTTTCTTTTATATCGGTATTCCATGCTTCATGTCTTTGTTCTACAGTCTTTGCTTCAAGTCATTTCTTTTATACCGGAATTCCATGCTTCATGTCTTTGTTTTACAGTCTTTGCTTCAAGTATTTTCTTTTATACCGGTATTCCATGCTTCATGTTTCTGTTCTACATCTTTTCTTTTATACTCCATTCTTCATGTCTTTGTTCTACAGTCTTTGCTTCAAGTCTTTTCTTTTATACTCCATGCTTCAAGTCTTTGTTCTACAGTCTATGCTTCAAGTCTTCGTTTATACTCCATGCTTCATGTCTTCGTTCAACAGTCTTTGCTTCAAGTCTTCATTTATATTTTTGTTTTATTTGTATGCTACATTCGTTCTCATTTATGAGTTTCATGTCTTCGTTCTACATTTTTTTTTTGCTTTATGTCTTTATTTCACATTTAATGCTTTGTGTTTTCGTTCTACATTTTATGTTTCGTGTCTCCGTTCTTCATTCTAGGCTTCATTTCTTCGTTTAACATTCTAAGCTTCATGTCTTTGATGAACACTCGGTACTTCATGTTTTCGTTCTACATTCTGCCCTTCATGTCTTCGTTCAAATGTTTTGCTAAATGTCTTCGATTTACATTCTGAGCTTAATGTAGTGTTCAACATTCTGAGCTTCATGTCTTCGATCTTCCTTTCTGAGCTTCATGTCTTTGATTTACAGTCAGAGCTTCGTGTCTTCGTTCTAAGTCTGAGCTTTATGCCTTTGTTCTACAGTCTGAACGTTTTATCCTCGTTCAAATGTTTTGTTAAATGTCTTCGATTTATAAATTGAGCTTAATGTCTTCAATTAATATTCTGAGCTTCATGTCTTCTGTCTACATTATGGGCTTTATGTCTTCGTTCTAAATTATGTGCTTCATGTCTTCGTTCTACAGTCTGAGCTTTACGTCTTCGTTCTACAGTCTGAACTATTTATCCACATTCTGCACATCAGAGTCGAGTACAAACTCCTTACATATGTTTTTAAGGCGCTTCATGGACAGGCACTTACGTACATACGAAACATACTAGACATTTATATCCCACCCGGACAACTTAGGTCCCAGAATGATTGCTTAGCACTTGTTGTACCGTGTACCCTAAACTCTGGAATGCCCTACCAAGAACACTTAAAAGCTGTGAAACTCTAACAGTGTTTAAGAGAGCACTTAAAACTCACTTATTTAAGAGGTTTTATTTGGACTGATTATTTTTTAGGTTCTTACCTGTATTTTATTATTTATGTGGGTCTTTTTAACTTTTTTTAACTACATTTGATTTGAATTTGTGACTTGAGCAATATTGATGTTTTAATTTGTTTTTTTTTCTTTAAGATATTTAATCATTTATTTGGTTATACTGTACAGTACTTTTGAACGTGTCAATGTGCATGAAAAAAGTGCTTAAGAAGTTTGGTATATAATAATAATACATTCTCCGCCTAATGCCTTCATTCAACATTCTGAGCTTCATGTCTTTGTTCTACAGTCGGAGCTTAATGTCGTGTTACAAAAACACTTAAATGGTATAAGCTCGCAAGACAGGGTACAGTGATTTCCTTTACATACTGCAGATTCTTTCATGGCGATCATTCTACTGTCCAGGGATGATTATTTGGACTTAATGACACATGGAAAAGTCTAATACAGGGTATAGCTGCATTATCACCCGTTAATGGACGTGTCAACAACTATATCAATAGATGTATATATAATATTTGGCTCAGTCACAGTGATAAGACACTTTGATCTGATATTATCCCCTACCGCCTCCCCCTTCCCCTCTCTCTAGTCCCAGTTACAACCCCAAAAATATTAAGTAAACACAATTTCCACATTTAGTATTAATTAACAACAATAATATGACAATATTACACAATTTTCATTACACCTCTATTATATTAGTTATACAAGGGTAGCAACTCCTTCGCCCTTCCAGTGCTTGGATTCTACCCAAGTTTACATTAAATGTTATAACTCAGCTAAATATCTATATATTTAAAAAAACAACTTGTCCCGATCAATGGAGTTTAGATATATGTATCCATATTAAGCAGTGTTAAGTATTTAGTTTTATACGAACACCGAAACAGCCGGTAATTATGTAAAATATGACAAGATCTGATTCACGCAAACATTGAAATTTCCACGAGCAATGTTGCGTAAGAAATACCATTGCATATGTAAAAACTAAACGATCGATGACACCCACCAACGAAAATATATACCGTCTTATTCTACTAAACGAAGAAAAGCAAAACGGACATTTTCTTCTACTCTCATGCCTCCATAACAAATACCTTATATCGTTCAAAAGATCGTCGCTCTATGATAAAATAAGTGTATTCCGGGCAGTGACGAAAAAATGTCCGTTTTATATTTTTTCGTAGCTCCGGTATAAAATAGATTTGAACTGGATTTTCGTTGATTGTAACTTGGTCTTGAGGGAAGGGGAGGTGGTTAAGGGTAGAGAATAATGTCAGATCAAAGCGTCTTATCCCGGCTCATTTGGAAAACCATTCAGTAATTTTCACTCATAGGTTCGAGCCCTTCCTTTTTACCCTGTGGTTACGACGTTGTTGTTTTTTCGTTTTATGAGCTTTGTTTTTCTTTTATATGATATTTTGAATATATATTTTTTTTCTCCTAAATTTCAATTTTTTGTGTCGTTTTAATCTTATTAGTTATAAAAAATACACGCCAGTTGATGAAACAACTTTTTTAGATTTTACTTCACAGTAAAAAAGCATACTACGATTTCGAAATATTACACCTGTAATAATTTAAACAGAAGTACAAAACAAAACCGGTCAAACATGTGTCCAAAATGTGTGAAATAGAAACCGTAAACACACAAAAAAATGATAAAAATAATATCTAATCATGATTCGAACATGTAAATGCAAACATAAACTCTCTGCTTACTGCGCGATTACATGACTTTCTGCATTGTGTTTTATTTATGAGGCTTCAATCTGCCATACCTATTAGTTTACGCATTATTCTTCATTAAGTAAACAAAGCATAGTTGTCCTATTATAAAGGGAATGAGGGCGTTACATGTATAAGAAAATTGTTTCAACTTAATCACCGCATATAATACTGAAAAAAAAAAAAACAATTAGTAATATCAGTGAGAGCTAGGTCACTGCTATAATTAAATAGAAATTTAAGTCACGTCATCCGATACTCAAATTAAGGCACTAAAATAGCGCTAATCAGAAAATATGTCATACGCTTGGTCAACCATATTGGCAATGTCACCAAAAGTGTGTTTGCCCTCAATTTTTCACGTAGATACTGACCGAATTATGGATAATATAATCTTTAACTGCGTTTTAAAATTTGGTTCTACACAATTAGGTCACAATGACTTCTGTGTGTATAAGTATGGAGTGAGGTAGTCTTCCACACGTTTGAGTCTTGTTAATTTCTGATTACTTTTATTGTTTTCTTCTTTCTATCTTTTCATTTGTTTGCGCGTGCAAAATATACACCTCATAACGAATTTTCTATTGTTTAGATATAGATCTATCCGAAATACATACAATAGAGGATGTGTGTAAAACAATACTAACGCTGAATTACAAAGGCTGTTCCAAAACTAATATCAGTTGTGCTTTTTCAAAAATACCGTGACTTGGCGATTCCGCAGGAACTTTCATTGAAGGAAGTGATAGAAAGTCTTTCCTAAAAACGAAAATCTGTGAAAAGAGGAGGGGTCCTAGTGGTAAAGGTGTATGCCTCACGACCCAGGGATCATGTGTTCGAGCCCTTCTCGGGTCATATCATGATTCCTCATATGACATCACTAACTAATTTACTATAGTGGCCGATTTAGTACATTGCGCGTTGCGTCGTCAATAGCGATAACGCCACCTATATCGTGATCGCCTTTTCGACTTGTCGCTAGCGACAACACGACAAAGCACCAAACGGCGCATTGTCGTCCTGCTGGCTCTAGCAAAGCACGCCATACTGCGCGCTTTCGGGCGGCGCGTTGTCGCGATGTCGCTTGGTTTATAAGCAAATCCTTCGATTTGAACCGAGCGACAATGTGTCATCGCGACAACACGCTGCACGACAACGCGCCGTTTGGCGTACATCGTTAACGACAGGGCGACAAGACGAAAGTCCGACAACGCGCCGTTTGGTGCTTTTTCCTGTTGTCGCCAGCGCCAACACGACGCACAAAATTGTTCCAAAACAGCCACCATACAATTACATGTTTTGGGAAAGCTCGCACTTATTCATATTAGACAGGTTTTACGATGCGTGTCTCCAAAAAAACAAATTACATGATTTTATCTATAAGGTTCTAGTTTTTCGCGCTTTTTGTTTTACTTGAAAAACGATACATTTATGTGATCAAAATTTTTTTCATTTGCCAACTTTAAATTTATCTTTTCAACTGAATTTTAAACAGATAATAAACATCATGTTATAAACATCAAAAAATGGGATTTTTCGTCTGCTTGATTTTTGTATTAAATTGTCTTAAAGTGTCCGGTAAGTTGAATTTAATTAAAATGGTGATTATGATGATAATGGTGATAATGATGATGATGTTTCGCGACAATATTAACGGGCAGTTCGGCAAAAGTGTAATGATATTTTATGCTGCCTGCATAACAAACTGCTACATCCGAACTTCTAATTTATCTTTTCATTCCAATTTTAATATTTTATTACTAACGGGACATACGGGAGAATATAGCCTGAATGAGATAAATTTTGAACAGAGGCACAGCCGAGGGTTATAGTTTTACCAGTAAGGCTATATTCTCTCGTATATTCCTTCAGCATCATATATATAACCAATTAATGATAGCGCTAATTGTAATGGACAAGTTCATGAGAAAACCTATCACTTTTAATCTGTTTTCAAAGAAGCGCGGAAAAATAGGCGCAAGTGAATAAGTCGTTCAACGGATTTGCGAAGTTCAAGTATCAAGTCAAAAAAGGCTTAGGAAATTTTAACTTGTTTTGAAGAAATTACATTTGTGTCGAGAAAATTATAAAAGAACAAAACCCAAAAGCAACTTTTACGTCTACGATGTGGAAATATATTATGTGTGCATGCTTCGGTTTTTCGGTATATTTAAAGCGAAATTTAATTTGTTTGAATTTTTATGATTCATTTATGGTTTTATATAAATCCAGGCAAACATTGTAGGAGTCATCCATTAACAATATAGCATGTTTGCATTTCTTGAAGCTTTGAATTTTTTTTCTGAAGAATCATTTTTTTTTATAATTGTGTATATTCGCTGGTACGAAAGCCTACAAAAGCGTACGAAAGCCTAATTGTATCAATTAAAATAAAATTAAAAATGCAAAGACGTTATTATGCGAAAAAAGACGTTATAACCCTAATAACCCTAATCCGTAATAACGCGAAACAAAAGGCGTAATAACGCGAAACAAAAGGCGTAATAACGCGAAAAAGGCGTAGCAATGCGAATAAAGGTGAAGTAACGCGAAAAAAGGTGTTATAATGCAAATCAAAACGCGTAATTAGGCAAAACAAAAGGCGTACTAACGCGAATATGGCGTAGAGCCGTCCGGTTAGCTCTATAGGTAGAGCGTTGGGCTGTAAATCGGGCGACCCGGGTACGATTCTCGAACGGCGCAGGTCACTTTCGTTTTGAATGATCATGAAATCCTTTCTACGGTCATTCGCACTGTACTTCTGCTCTTGCACATACAGAAGTAATCAGTTTCTTGCTTTATTTATAAACAAAAACTCATGGCCCATAAGGGCATAAGAGTGAACAAACAAACAATATGTAGCAAATAATGATACAAACATGTCTTAGAAGTATATAAGTAAATAAAGAAGATGACTTAGTGAAATTTCAGCATTATATTGCTTAACAAATATGGCTGGATTAAATAAATTATTTCTGTTATCACTACACATTAGAGTCTGGAATTTAATTACTACGAAACCTTGAATAGTAAATACTGATATACTCGTGTATTTCGTGAGCAAAATAACTACATTTAAAGATATAGTGAAATTCATCACATCTTGCTAGTTACAAAGTGAGCAGGTTCTATTTTTTTCTTTCAATACCAAAAAGCGATTTTTCTCTATAGGAAGATCAGAATTGAGACATCCAAATTTACAAAGAGTAATTGCTAAATTACTTGTTCAACATAGTAAATAATGTTCTAATTTAAATTGAGTTTTATATATTCTATAATTTTAACACTTAGTAGTACATGTTTGGAAACATCACTATTCTATACTTGATACTCGTAATCGTGATTTTGTTACATATCTAAAGTTATTAAAATTTGTAACAATCTGAGTTATCCAAAACTCAGAACAACCAATATCATTCAAAGTAGATTTTACTTTCACAATCCACTGACAATGTAAAATACCTTTTTCATGAAAATTATACATAGTGCGATACAAAGAAGCACACATTATTATCATCAATTTTACCAGTTTAACTAGTTTACTCCAAAAATTTAACATTCTGCAAGTACATGTAATACATTTTCAATAGGAAATGCACCTAATTCTTCCAAGACCATCACCGAACGAGTTGACATCTTAAGTTTAAGTAAATATTTATAAAATTTCAATTGAAACTGAGAAAGAATAGAATTATTTTCAAATCCCTACACCTCCGACCCATACAATAATATTGCGAAAGTGAAGGCAACTAGTACTGGTAAACAACCTGTCCAGGAACGATGCGGGGGATGAACTGTGCTCTGGTAAATCCAATGTGGCTTACTGGCGTAATCCGGAGTGAAAACTATACCCACCACCAGCACCACATAATGTCATAGTATGGCGAAAAAAGACGTTATAACGCGAATCAAAAGGCGTAATTACGCGAAACAAAAGGCGGGCTAACGCGATTAAAAGCGTTATAACACGAATCAAAAGGCATCATTACGCGAAATGAAAGGCATAGTACCGCGAATAGAGGCATAGAAACGCAAATAAAGGCGTTTGTACGCGAATTAAAACGCCCAATTACCCAAAACAAAAGGCGTAATAAAACGAAAAATGCATTGAAACGCAAAAAGGCGAAATAAACCCGAATAAAGGCGTTATTACGCGAATCAAAAGACACAACTATGCAAAACCAAATCAAATGACGTTATAACGCCAATTTGATACCGTATTAACGTTTATTATATACTTATAAATGAAATATTGAGAAATATTGATGAAATAAAATGCTTATTTTCATTTTCCGTATTTTCACTGTAAAAATTTATTTTTCACTGCAGTGAAACATATTTTCCGTATTTTCACTGGTGTCTTGCCGGACTACTTTCTTTTAAATTCTGCCAGTACACAAAATTTAAGGGAAAGTCTTTCAAATTTTAATGTCAAAAAAGAGAAAAATGTATATAATAAACAGAAAATTCAAGTTTTTTCTATAAATACATGATTTATTTTCATCTTGTGGCATGAAAATTACCATATTTCACTCGTGGCTACCGCCACTCATGAAATATTTATTTTCACACCACTCGATGAAGATAAATCATGTATTTATAGAAAAAACTTGAATATCCTCTTTTTATCACATAAACCGCGGCGCAGGAGTGTAATAAAGCCATTCAATAAAAACGATATTACACTAGTGTAATAACACTTTGACGTGACGTCATTTGCGCTATATAGAAACATAGCGTTAAAGCGCGCTAATGTTAGCGTTACACTATAGGCGCGTCATTGAAAAATTACTCATTTTAACAGTTTACTATTCTTATTTTATATATGTGATAAATAGAATATTATATTCGTGTAGATTCAATACTAAATTTATTGATCTCGTTGAAAAAACAATATTATGCTCGCCAGAGGCTCGCATAATATGATTTTATTCAACTCGTTCAATAATTTTAGTATTGAAACTACACTCAATTAATATCCTCTATATGTATACTGATCAAATGACCTTGTAACGTGGGAAAGGAAGAACAATATTGATATGAATTAATTGCTTGAGATATAAATGAGTATATAATAATATAATATACATTACAATAACTGTCATTCCATTTGCAAAGTAAATATATAAACTATTTGTCATAAACTAATGAAGACTCTTTGACATTTGTCAATATACTTCATGATTCGCGTTATAATGCCTTTATTCGCGTAATATTTAACGCCTTTTGATTCGCGTTATTACGCTTTTTGGTTTGCGTTACTACGCCTTTTTCGCATTAATTACTACGCCTTTTGTGTCGCGTAATTAAGTCTTTTTCGCATTAATTACTACGCCTTTTGTGTTGCGTTATTACGCATTTTGTTTCGAGTTATAACGCCTTACAAGTAATATATTTCATTTCATTTGATACTATTAGGTTTTCTGAATTATTTGTAAAGAAGAAAAAATGATACGAATAACAACCCATCACTTTGTTCACATTTCATTTTCCAACACTGTTACAAAGCAGATTTTGCTCCCATTAAACTGTTTTTTAACAAATGCATTCTATTCAAAATTTCCGCTATAGATGCCAGTTCCATAGACAACAACCCAGGATCTGTCAGTATACATGAGAATTATGATGGAACACACACCATGTGGGGCATTGCAGCAACATGTTATGTACGATACACTACCTCATACCAGTGTAGTACTATACGTTCTCAAAGTTGTGGTTGGTGGGGCTGGAGTACATGTTATTACTACGTTGCAAAAACGTGTTACAGGCATGCATTCACAGATGTCGCATGCAACCAGTTCTACATAAATTCAGACCCTTCAGGAAACTTCCAGATGAGTGGTAATACAAGCTTTTAATAAAATAAGCGTCGATTTGATAGATATTTTGTAGTTTGATATTCCAATAACCGACTACCTACTAGCTGGCAGCTGGTTATTCGTAATTACTTACTATTTTACAGCTGGTAGATAAATGTTCGAACACATAAAACGTTTTCAAACACAGAATAATTGGTTATTGGCGCAAATACCTATAACCACCTACTAAAAAGTTGGTAATTCGGTTATTGCATAATTTCCTCTTAAAATAAAAAGTATGTTTCTGACACAAATGTTACGGTTATATAACAAGATATGTATTTCCTATAATATGGTTACACCCCCTTCACAATAAATCGATCAGGGGAAAAATTGATTATTAGCGTGAATTCCCAACTTCCAAACAGAGGTTAGTTGGCAATATGAACATGACATGTAAGAGAATAATTTTTCAGTATAAAAGTAACAAATATTATAAGGAGATAAATGTACTCTACCAAATGTAATCATCCTGTCTCCCAACGTCGACCAGGGGACTCAGTTTGTTATTCCCGTGAATCCCAAACTACCAAGCAGAAGGAAGTAATTTCGAATTACCAACTACCTGCTGGTAGTTAGTTGGGGATTCACGCGAAAAACCAAATAGGTTACCTTCTTTTTTCTGTTTTAAAAGTATAATGTATTCGCACATTTGCGGACTGAATTGCCAACTGCCTGCTGTAAAATAGTTGGGAATACACATCTATCAGCTAGTAGGTAGTTCGTTATTCCAACTTCCTTTCAAATTTACGCTTTAAATTTCATGAATTATATATGTAATAGTTTTTAACTGAAAACTTGGTTTATAATTGTATGAATACAAAATTTGGACTTGTGAGAGACTAAAATGACCCCAGATCGATTGTAAGGTAATGTGTTACCAACACTGAAAAGTATTTTACTCTATCTCAATTCAATGAGAAGTTGCAGCACTTTGAAATAAATTTTGATGGAAAAAATCAACGCAAAATAGTGATTTTTGGCAATTTTGAGATGCCCCCTTGTTGCCATGGTAACATAAAATTTAAACCTGAGCATGTTGTAACAAAGGCAATGGTCCAGTCGACATTTGTGCCAAGTTTGATTAGTGTTGAAGCAGTTTTTATAGTTTTATAGCAATTTGAACTTGTAACGGGAGACTTTTCAATGAAAACAGCCATTTTTCACAAAAAGGTCATGAAGTTATGGGTTAAGTTTGTATTAATAGAAGATTTTTTTTTGCGTGAAGGCAATTATTACCCGCGAACGATGCGGTTGCTGAACTTGCTCCAGTAAATTCAATGAGGCTCCCTGTCGTAATCAGGAGGATATACTACCAACACCATAATTGTGTGAGACCCATGATTTATGAAACTCTTGTTTTAATTTATATTGGTTAAAACATGTGATGATGAAAATTCACTGTAAACATAGCACAACCCCGATATTCGTTTTTTCTCATTACAAGAAGAATGGTTAGTTATTTTTATCGACGAGTTATTATATAAATTGGCGTTTTATGTAATTTTAAGTTGCTTATAGCCGAGACTGACACATAACGATAACAATTTCAACCCACAGGTTTCGCCGTTCAGAAGAAGACATGTACATCACCTTATTGTGGTCCAACGTGTAACGCTGATGGATGTCTCAACAATGGTGAATCTCATACTGTAGGTGTAACAGCTTATAGAACTGGATATGAAACAGATGGTTCTGTTTCTGGATCGTTCACGGTCAACGTATATGCAGCCAATCCTCCAACATTTTACTACAGTTGTAAGTTGTATTTAGTAATGCCTTGTAACACCGCACTTTGGGATCAAACGCATTTTGGGATTAGAGCAAGAAAGAACCCAAAAATGCGTTAATATGCTTCATGTTAAACGGAGTTCGTTAAAGTGCAGTATTTCCAGGTTCGTACTTTTAATGTTATATGCAAATATAATGTAAATAAGATGTGACGTCTACATCGGGACGTATAAAAAGCGGTAAATATCTCGTGCATTAGAGCACTTACGTACATATTCTGACACTGAGGGTCATGAAATGATATTATATACATTTTCAATATGCTAAAGAAGCTCTAAAATATTGTTGAATTTGAAGGTATTTTAATACCACCTTAGTAACTTTTAAGCAAAGTTTCTTTTAAAGTCAATTTTCAATGATATATAGATGTGGTCACCTCGAAATTGATAAAGATATTGTCACTTTAAAATTGATATAAAAATCACTTTAATCAATACCCGTTATTGTATTACACGGCCTGAATATAGTTTGACGTGACATCATTTGCGTCAAGACTCGCTAAATGTTATACCAAAGGCATGTAAATGAAACATAATTTTGTTCACTAAAACAATTTTTATTTTTGGTATGTGATAAAAACACGGGGGAGGAAGTGTTACACGAAGGATGGAGTTCTTATGATAACTTGTTCAGGAGTTCTTGTGATAACTGTCACGGAGTTCGTAGGAAAACATCTGTATATACTACAAAAACACTCGTTAAAAATGGTTATTTTCATCTTTCCAAAATGAGTTTTAGGTGCTGAATTAAACTTTAATGATTAAGATTGTCTTACATCTTGTATTATGTGTCAAAAACTAATTCACAGGCCATTTTTAATCGCCTCTTGCTTCAAATCTGGTAGTTTTGAGTAAAATTTCCAAATTATTTGCCAATTCACAAGTATTGACCTGTTTATTTCTGGTCTTCATCCTTTCCATACATAATTACCTAATTATAATGCAAAATTGCAAACATAAAGCATCGGCTAACAGATTTATAGCCGATTTTTCAAATGTCCCGGAGTTCTTGTGATAACTCTGAAATGTCACAGAGTTCTTATGATAACTTTTGTTATTGCAAGTGTGTTCCTTGCGCTAAATCACGGCACGTTTTAGCGTTTTTAGTTATTCATTGAGATTGTAAATCATTATGACATGTAGTACGCTCATCCTTTGCGCAAAAAAATAGGATATATAACGTTGGTTTTGAGTGAATTTTAGTTCAAGAGATATTTTTTCTTTCCCCCTGTTTCTTTTTCATAGTATTCTTTTTTGTTTGACTTAGATTTCGTAGACTTGAAAAATGATTTATGTACTGGTTTCCTTGCAGTTTCCGGCCCCTAGCAGGTTTCTGGCCCTTTATCATTTTCATCCAGGCATACAGTCTATTTTTTCTCAGTACAGCATCTATGTTACTGCATCAATCAGAGAAACATTTGTTTTCTATGTAATACAGCAGTTATAATAGTACAGCGATTAATATGTTTCAGAGTTTTGTCTGTTGTTTTAAGTTACATTAGAGGACTTGCGACACTTACAAGCAACACCTGGGGAATTATAGTTTGAATGCCCATGCACAATAAATCCCATTCTAGGTAAATCTGGAACCTGGAGGGACAGTTCAAATTTTTTCGAGAGATTGGTAGTTAGAGTCAACCGCAGTTGAGTTTTTATCATGTATCGTACTTTTTTTTAAAGACATAGGTGTGGAAATTATCCTGGTTATATACTTATTTATTATGGTATAAAATGATACAAATTACTTAGCCTTTAGGGAAGGGAAGCATGCCTATATATTGTCTGCTTAAGAAAGGTGGTTGCTTAAAACATGTGAAACTGAGAACAACGTGTACGTTTTGAGACATTTTTGTTTTGTTGTTTAAGCCATTATACTGCTGAATATCAGTGGCTGCTGGTTCAATTTTACTGTAGATGATAGCCTATCACCTATTATCCTTTGCAGACACTTGAGACCAACGTTTTATCCACATTTTTTGTGCAAAGGGTGATCGTACTGCATTTCATAATGATTTACAATCTTATTGAATGATAATAAACGCCAAAACGTGCCGTGATTTAGCCAAAGAAACACACTAGCAATAACAAAAGTTATCATAAGAACTCTGTGACATCTTCAGAGTTATCACAAGAACTCCGGGACATTTGAAAAATCGGGTATAAATCTGTAAGCCGGTGCTTTATATTTGCAATTTTGCATTATAAATAGGTAATTATGTATGGAAAGGATGAATGCCAGAAATAAACCGGTCAAAACTTGTGAATTGGCAAGTAATTTGAAAATTTTACTCAAAACTACCAGATTTGAAGCAAGAGGCGATGAAAATTAGCCTGTGAATTAGTTTTTGACACATAATACAAGATGTAAGACAAGCTTAATCATTAAAGTTTAATTTAGCACCTAAAACTCATTTTGGAAAGATGAAAATAACCATTTTTAACGAGTGTTTTTGTAGTATATACAGATGTTTTCCTACGAACTCCGTGACAGTTATCACAAGAACTCCTGAACAAGTTATCATAAGAACTCCATCCTTCGTGTAACACTTCCTCCCCCGTGAAAAAGGTAATTACATTCGTGTTAGAGCAATGAAAAAATTTTGAACTCGTTGAATTCCCGCCAGAGGCTCGCATGATATAAATTCAATTTACTCGTTCGATAAATTTAATATTGAACCTTCACTCTAGGCTGTAACGGGAAAATGTTTGTCTGTCTTTGAACGATATTTCGTCTGTGTCTAAGTTCCATACCAATTACTTTTGTGACTGTGTCGATGTCAAGAACTTGTTCGTTTGCGGCAAATGATCGCAATTGCTATTGGAATCAGCTCAACATTCGATCTATAATAATATTCAAAGAATTCTCAAAGTGAGTGTTGAGCTTAACAATCAACGATCATCTAGACATTCAGAAATTTCTTATGTCGAGCTAGACATTCCACCTTCAGCTCAACATTCGACCTGTAATAATTATCAAAGTATTCTTCAAGTGAATGTTGTGCTAGACAATCAACAATCAGCTAAGAATACTTTGATTACCATTACAGGTCGAATGTTGAGCTGAATGTCGATTGTCTAGCTCGACATTCACCTTGAGAATTGTTTGATTATTATTATAGATCGAATTTTGAGCTGCATGTTGATTGTCTACCTAAACATTTAATGTCGATTGTTAATTGTTTAGCCAAGTTATTGCACATATTGGAATCATACGATCTAAGGTTGAAACCTCCGTCTAACATTTTATATTTCGGTATGTAGGAAAAAGCATATCTATTCAACTGTAACGCTTTACACGGATTTTCAGAATTTATACATTTTGTAAAATACCGTGTTATAGTTGTAAAAAGTTGCTTCGTACTCTATCGTACTCATTCTTAAACCCTGATTTGCAACATTTCATAACCGTCGTATATAAGCTTATTTGTGACAGTTGCAAACTTTTAATTGCATATTTTGTACTCCCATATATTTATGTAAAATTATTTCGGAACGAGTGATTCTATGATTTGTATGAATATATAGCTGATACTACAATTTCAGCTTTGCTCGTCATTTAATTTCTCCCGAATTTAAACTCGTATATTAATACCTACTTTCATGACTTTGCAATTAACATATGAACATGTCATGTAGTTGATTTTTCTCATCCGATACTTAGGGAATATATTCTTTGTCAGGATTTGTATTTTATGATGGTTTTTCTCAATTATTTTCTAATTAATTCTGTAAACATTCCAGCTGGGAACTCGATTAGTGTATCTCACGACACGGCTGGTATAGGAACCGTCATCAACACATTGGTCCCATCCTTTATAGATAACGGTCACGATTATGATTACATACGATATCGTCAGAACAGCGGGCCAGGCAATTCATACATACACGGGACATCCGATCTTTTCTATTTGGACACATGTTGGTATTTTCAGATAGTAATAATCATTATAGAGCAACGTAAAAATGTTGCCTCTTCAGTCAAATGGGAAGACAATATAATGTACATATGTACGTTAAAACAATCACCTAAGAAGACTCTTTTGTTTGTTGTTTGTTTGTTTGTTTATCGTATTCTAAGTAGCACTAAATTAATGTCATATAGAGATTTCCTTACTGAAGAAAGGTCTAGAATCACCATTGGCGCATTATTTTAGGAAATATATCCGGTTCATATGCAAGCTAGCTCATGGAAGGTTCTATGATACGGGACGTATTTAAAAATATTTCCATTTTATTTTAATGTTGAATTCTGCTTAAGCTTGTGCTTTAGGGCGTTTACGGTAGCTTGCATTTTCCAGTACTGTCTTTGAACGGTAATCAAACTGAACCTGCAGCATTTTCAATTTCAGTTTTAATGGTTTTAAGCTGGATAAGACATTTATTATATCTTTATTTTAATGAAGAATTGCTTCGTTGAAGCTTCGTTGGCCTGATTATACAGTTGATGCATTAGAAACTTATTTTAGTGAATCTAGTGTCAATTAAGTTAAAACTTTTAGATAAATTAAGCTATTTTTTCAGCTAACGGACAGGTGAAAGTTGGGAAAGATTTGACTATGGAATTTTCTTACTATTTTAATATGAACTTATGCGTTTATGACAGAAGGCACAGGGAGGTTTGTCATGATCTCAACATTACATTATGTAAGTTTCTTTTCTAGACCAGTCATGCCTACATTTAAAATGTAAATATTATGAAAAGAATTATAGACTAGATATGTCACGATTGAAGCTTGAACAAAGAAATGAAGAGATTCAGCATGGTAAATATTTGACATAAGGATGATGATGATGATAATAATGTTTTAAAATCTTTGTTTGAGTTATTTACGATGGAACGCATATCATATATGCACCGTACCATGCACATTGTGTAAGCTGTCTCCAAATGCAATTATATTGTGGCGGCGTTGACCAATTGCTAAACTTGTTAGGCAAGTAATCTGAAGATTAATCTAAGGATCAGTAATCTGCCGCATGCGTTCGAATCCCGTTAGGGGCAATTCGTCGTTTTATCATGAGGTAACTTCATACTCATTGTTCAGTATTGGTTGGTACCAGGAACAGGATAGTGTCTATAAGGCTATTATATCTTTCTTAAATAAATTCTGATTTTACTATAAGATATACACAATGCATGGCACTTTGCATATGGCATATGTCAAACTTTTATTCTGAAGTAATATGAAGAAGTATATCTAGATTACGTAACAAAGTATATCTCATATATAATGAAAATTATGCCATTTTAAGGGCGTATTTTCAAACTAAATTTTCCATTTTAGGGGCGTGTTTTCAAACGCCAACATGCAATGACCAATCAGATAATAGCATTATTGATACATATGGAACATACACATATGGTCACGGTGGAAGCAGTAACACGATTTTCAACATGGACTATCCACAACCAACGGAACATTTCCCAGCATTCAGTTCTGTATGGCATAAACTCACGTGGACTTTTGATTTGAACGAATTCCCGGAAGCAGCCATTAATTCTGATACAGGTAAGCTTTTGCTTGTTTTTTGTTGTTTTGTTTGGGATTCAAGGAATTAAGACCCACGATAAGTAAAATATTTAAATAAAATTTTATCCCGGAACTATAATACATGTATAGTATTTGCAATTTAAACACAACGATACGTTCTCAAATACGGGTCGTTCGTTTTCTAAAAGGTTATTTATCAGACAAGACGAAGAATGAATTTTATATTCTTTTGCAAAATTATTCACTGAAACAGCCAACTTTAAAGTTCACCTTACAGATGAATTTATGCTTTGACTTCAGAAGGTAGTCCCACAATTTGCTTTGATATCTTATATATTATAGAAGCATCAAATAGTTTTATATTTTCATATTGTTTATAGGGGAAATTTATATTACTCGGAATATCAGCATATGGCCATCATGGCCGACACAAGATTACAACCAAGTGGTACGGGTGGCCAACTCCGAGTCCTGTTATACAACAACATGTAACTTTAAAGTTCGAATCCACTATACAAACTGGGTAAGTGTGCTTGAAAAAAAAAGTTAGCCTAAATGAACTTAGATGAAGAGATTCTCCACACTTTGCCACAACAATATCGTCTGCTTTCCTTGGAAACGAAAGCTGTAGGAGAATCGCAACGAGCTTGTTGTTAAAAGTACACTCTCTCTCATATCGTAAATCAAGTTGCTCAGTTTAAGAAGACTGACAACAATAGATCGATTTTGTTTGTTCTTGTTTGCAATGTGGACATACTAAATCTAGCTATTGATTTTTTTATTACCTATTTCTTCGAGGATGAAGTATTGTATGCAGTTCTCTAACCCTTCATGTAATATGGCATCATGAATGGTATATTTTTTCTTTTTTTTACGGATGCCTGCCTACAACATATAATCTTGGCGAGAATACAGATTGGGTAATAAAGATATAACAAATATCATATACCATCAAATAAATGTAATAAAAAAATGTAGTTCTTTGGATACAATGAGGCGTAAAAAATGACGTCATAGTTTTTCATTTTCTCAGCCAATAGACATCCGAAGTTTGCCTACAACCTATTATCTTCACGAGGATTATGATTGGGAGATACACATTCATTCATTAATCACCTATGATTATAATTATTACTGGGAAGACAATGTCACGTGCCAGATAATCAGTTGGTCCCCTAGTGAGGCTGATATGTTTGAGCTTAGACATGACGGGCGACATGCCTATAATTGTAAGTTATTATATATTTTTTAAAAATGCTATGTTTATAAAATATACATTTACACAAAATTGTGAAGTTGGCGGCTTAGCGACCCGGAATCCTAGCCACGTGAAGTTGGCGGCCTTACTGACCAGCAGCATGACGTCATGAAGTTGGCGGCCTTACGGCATAAAGTTTGCGGCCTTGCCACCCAGCGACCTAACAATCTAACCTTTGAATCATGTAGAAGTCTGTCAAAGTACTTAAAACGACCCTAAATTGAGACCAAAGGTGCATCTTGAGATGTAAAAGATTTATAAAAAGCACTTTGAAAGAAATTTTATCTAATCCTTTTTGGGAAATTGGCGGTTCTGTAGTTATAGAAATGCTACGAAACAATAAAAACGAAACTTTATGAAGTTCTTTAGGCAATTCTTATTATTTAAAATATATCTTAACAAAGTAAATCACTTTTGGAGAACTTTTTGATTTTATCATTTGTGTGAAGTTGGCTGCCAAGCGGCCTGACGATATTTTTTGTTATTGTAGGAGTTGTCATAGTAATTAAAACAACTTCTTATTAAGTTTGAGAGACATATCTTTTCATGTAAACAGGTAAAAAAGTTAAAAAAAATCACATACAGAAAAAAAATCACATACAGAAAGTTTTTTTGATTTCATCATTTTTGTCAGGTTGCCGGTTGTGGGCCTAAATTTTTACTGTTTTAGACATGTTATAAAACAAAATAACCGGCATTTAATGAAGTTCTTAAGACAATTTTTGTTATTTAAAAGACATATAAACATTTTCATATAATTTTGTTATGATTAATGCTTCGGATGGATCACACTTCTTCCAGATTTTAATACTTCACAGCAGCAGGGGGCAGCCGTAACATGTTGCCCTTTATACCATGTTAAGGCTACTAACTTCACAAAAATGATTAAAACAAAGAGTTTTCTCAAAATATTTTTTTTGTTTAAACAAATATTTATCTTTAATTTTAATAAATGCTTATAATATAATATTTTATACAATTTCTGTAAAACTTAAGGCCGGCATGCCGCTTGACATCTTAACCGCAAACTTCTCAAAAATGATAAAATCAAAAATTTCTATGAAAGTGAATTTTTCTTATTTAATATTTGTTTTAGTGTTTATTTCTAAGATAAACAATATAAGATGAAAGCAAATTTCATCACACTTCATTTATTCTTCAGGGGTCCATATATTTTGTCTATTTGAAAATTTCTTATTTCTCAGCTGTATTAATTATAAAATTATTTTTATTTTTCGCATCGTTTCCTAACAGACGTATGCATGCAACAATTTCCATTTGATACGAATTCTGAAAAGAAAATTTGGCATGCCGTTAATTACCAATGATCACCTTTAATGTAAAATTCAAAACCTTAACCTAAACTCATTAACATTATACCAATATACTTTTTTTAAAGATTTAGGGAAACTTTGAAAATAAATGAATAAACAAATTAGAATTGATAGAATTCATGATTACAGGCCATGATTAAGATATTTTGTATGACAATATGGTCATTTCGATTAAACGGTAAAAATTATTGTAAACGTTAATGGATGAAAATCGAAACGAATCCGTTTAAACGTGTAACCGTGGGGGCCTTAGTTCAGAACCGCTCCATATTTTTTTCTCCAATATTTTTCCGTGTTGGTTCAGGGCAGTTTCAGGAGCTCGGAGACTGGATCGAAAAGGAATTTGCAAAGCGTGCTCAGTTTATATACCCAGTCTACTAAGCATGCACGAACGAGTTTAAATGACATGTTAGGAGGAGGAGCCAAATATACAGGTCATTGCAAAAATACTGTGACGTATAGTGTAAAAATAAAGAGTTTATACTCAAGCGCTTAAACTGAATAAGATATGCTTTAAATTTTACCCTTTGTAGCCTCAAGTGCTGGAAAATGCCTTATTTAGACCACAAACACTTTTCGTTTGAAAAATGTTATTTAAAAAAGTGATCATATATTTGGTGCCATCCCTTATAAAAACACACCAAGGGTGTGCCAGAGGGCAGCATCCATCTTCATCGCCAAGAATATTTTGGACTTGTGAGAGCCCATGCCGATCCAAAGGTAACGTGTTAGAAATGCTGAAAAGCTTTTGACTCAATGCCAATCCATTGAGAATTTACAGCACTTTAAATCAGTTTTGATAGAAAAAATCCACGCAAAATAGTGATTTTGGCAAGTTTGAGTTGTCACCTCGTTGCCATTGTTAATTGAAATTTAAAATAGATTATGCCGTTACAAAGGCTACAGTCAACATGTGTGCCAATTTTGATGAATATTGATGAAAATTGACGAATATTCAGTTTCATAGCAATTTTAACTTGTAGCAGGAGGAATTTAACAAAATGCTTATGCAGTAATGGGTGAAAGCTTACTAAGAGTCGTTTTAATCCATTTGACCAACTCCTACAACATTAAAGATATCTTAAGAACTAATGTTATTTTTTATTGTTTTTACAACTTTTCTAAAACTGTAAAATTTTAGGCCGCAAACCCACCAATTTTATAAAAATGATAAGGAATAAAATGTTATCTCATATATTTTTTGTTTTAATTAACAAAAAATGCTTTAAGATCTTCATTTAGTGTATTTAAAGTATTAACTTTTACAACTGTAAATTAGGACGCCAACTTCACAAATATGATAAAAATAAAAAAAAAATGTGATTTTTTCTTTTTATGTATATTTTAAATGACAAGATTTTTCTTAATATTTAATTAATTTTCGTTTTAATTATTTTGACAAACTTCTACAAAATTAAAAATACAGGCCGCTGACTTCACGCCGATAGGCCGCTGTGCCACAAACTAGACAGCAATGTCACTTACTTCACACCGCAAGACTGCTAGGCCGCTGGGCAACCTTCTCTTTACAATGCTGTTCCTTGTTTAGTCGAAACAGAATTTGATAAGGAATATTGATAAAGAATTTATGAAGATAAATAATTCGTATTGTTTCCGTTTATGAGAAAACGTCGAATCAAAGATGTATGAACGTTAGGAACTAGATAATATTAAATGAAAACATTATAATTTTTAAAACGTATAGCCCATCAAATTCCTTCTTTGTTAACAGTAAATTTAATAAATATTAATAGAGTCCAGGTAGATACATCTATCTTAGGCACAAATGATGGTATTACTTTATAATTAATATCCTTAAGAGCATATAACTTGCAAGAGCTTGATTGTTTTAACCAATAAAATAACTGTATGGAATGTGCACTCAAATCTCTAAAAATAATGGAACCCATGGTCGCTCTCTTAAGCTCTCTTTCTTCGTTTTTGTAAAAACTACAACAGGAATCGTCTTGCATTTACTTTGGAACGGTCTTTTACTGACCATATATTAAAATCTTTAAAATGCAATGAAAAAGAAAAAACACGTCCCATTTAAAGGGGGAGCACTATAAACTTACAGAAAACACAGCAATACTTAAAACAAGAGAATATTTGAATTTTAGATGAATTGTTTGATGAGGAATAATATAATTTTTATTTGTTTGTACTCTGTGCTGCGTTTGTTCAAATTAATATGCTGTGTTATGTCTTCTGCTACTTTTTACTTTGTTTACCTTTAGACTCAAAGTAAACCTTCCTCATGTCAATGTGGCATAGTTTTATATCACCACGTCTCTATCTTCACATGAAGTAAAACCAAATTTCACTATGCATTACCTCTCTTTGTGAATACAGCCTGCTTTCCAATAACATGAAATTATATGAATGCGGGTTTCATTTCGCTGTACATGAAAATTTCAGCATACAACCTTTATAAGCTAAGATGTCAGACACCAGGATGTGGTTACAAATACCAACAACCCAGGGCTTACTACTGTGATACTGATATCGGTTGTTTAACTCACAACCGGACTCAACAATATACCGTGACAATACAGTGTTGGGACGGGTACAACTCAACCGACGTTGAGGTCTTTACGTTTCGTGTTGTTAAAAATGCAGTGCCTGCCTATAGGCATTTACCGAGTAAGAGTGATAACCTTGTTAAAACTTTCGTTACTTCATTTTTGTTTTACTCACACACAACTTTTTTTAATGAAATTTTTGTGTAAATGCTATGTATCATCTGTATATGCCGTGTTGCGGCTGTTAAAGTCACAAATATGATTACTAATTTGCTTATTTCATATATGTCACTGATTAAAAAGTGAATCCTTGTTTATTTAGACTTTATCAAAGGCAGAATTTCAATATTCTTTAAGCAAACCTATTTGGTCAACTTTATTTTCAATATGATTTTTTCGAGATTTTTTTTCAAGAATACGTTTATTTTTGTCTATATTTTCTACTAGAATACGTTTACTTTTTTACCGTCTAATTTTTCTTACATAAGATGTTTATTTTGCCTTACTTTTTTCAGATAACGTTTATTTATGTATAAATTTTCTTTCAGAACACATTTGTTTCACGTCAAAACTGTCCATCAGAACACGTTTTTTCCTCTGTTTTTTTTCAGCCCACATTGATCTCAATCGACAAACAGTGTCATATCTAGACAACATTTTCGAGATTATGTACTCAGACGCTGAAAACGAAAACTTGATTTATGAATATACATACCAAGACGTTGATACCAATATTGATCCGAACTACTTTCTTGGAACAACTTGGGGAAATTATTACAGTTAAGTATGAATGTTAAAAAAGAAAATAAGAAGAGGAATTATAAAAGTTGAGCTCCAGGCTTGACTGACATCGGTCTATGTGTGTTTTTATGTGACTTTTTGGTGAGAAATACACATGCCTAACCAGTCCGAAGCATATTTTTGCATTAAATGACAAACAAGTTCAAAAAGAACATTTTCTTCTCAGTTATCTTATTATTTATTTCACATGCTTTGGGGGCAATACACAGTTTTCAAGGCATCTCGGCAAACAACTGACTGCGCCACAATCAAAACCTCACACACAAGTCTGTAATCACACACCTGAAATAAATGCATTTCAGATTTAACATATACATATGTATCTCACAGCAAACAATTAAAAATACATGACCACCTTCTAGTTTTCTGCCACATAGCCCTGTGTGTTTCATTGTTTTGGTCGCGAAAATCAACGACAAAAAGAGCGGATTACCCCTATTCGCAAAAATACAACAATATATTAACGTCAAAAGATTAAATCACAAGCTATAGTGAATTCTTCCTTCTAAACAATGCACTATCTGAAAATAACATCCAAACGAGGAGTCATGCACCCTACTTCTTTTCACTATTTTTAGCTCTGATACCCTGTTAAAATTGAAGAGCTGATTCACCGCCTAGCTCCAAAATCTGACAGGTGCTCTCTCAAAAAGCAAGGGTTAATGCCACTAAATTCAATTTTACTAAATAACTGAAACACAATACTAGTCATCGAAACTTGAAATATAGTAACTATTAACATTTAGAACCTCAAATATCCACTTCAATTTCAAAACTGTCTCTTATTTGTAAATTTGACCCTGGCCAATTCGAACCTAAACGACCGAAACTGTGTACTGCCTCCAATCGGATGCGTGAGGTGTGTAGTTGTGTAAATGCAAATCACAATTAAATCACAATTTTTAACTCGACTAATCTGCGAAAACAGAGAAATATTGTACTCACCCACGGTTGTTCTTTTTTGAGCTTAGTTTCATCTCCTGTACTCCGGGATCATTAATTCCAAGATTTTAAGCGATAAGTCGGTGTTTGGTGGCAATGCAAATTGTGCAGTCACCAATATATCTTTTAAACAGTCTCTAAAGATGTCGGGATTTTCACTTTCTTAGGTTTGTTATAATGCTCTCGTGGGATTCGTGATGATTTTTCACCCACAGCAACGAGTGCCAACTGTAAAAAAGGTTCATCATGCTTGATTGAATTCAGAACCTTTTTAGAATACGATAGTTCTATAGAAACGGTGTAGCATTTTGCGCTTGCTCGTTCTGCGCAGGGCGATCTTTTTGTTATATCTAATAAAATTAAGTCTGCGATTTGTAACTTTCTTTTCTAATTGCTAGTAAGGGATCCACCTCTACCATCAATTCATACATGCTAACTCAATTTCCAATTTCATTCCTACAAGCTAATGGTTAAGATTACTGTTTCTAGATCAACTAGGAAACATAACCATGACGACATATCTATGGGATAAGGAAGTCAACAAAACTTACAGGATTCATGTTTGTGGTCACGAGAGGAGGAACGAGATTTGTGAAGATCTTACGATCGACGTAGAAGGTTTAATACAAATTTTATACTGATTTTAATGGAGTTAATGATAAATTAGATTTCCTATCGTAATGTTCCTGTTCAGCCCAAAATATATATTCAATTAAACTGTACAAAGCATTTATAGTTTATAATAATCAAAATGTAGTGCGTAAGTATAAGAAAAAAGAAATAGTCCCTAAACGTTCCAGCTTTTCACAATTTAAAAGTGCATTTTTATCAAATGTAGAAAATATACACATGTATTCTTCCTTTCAGAATATTGCAGTGCCACGCCTCAATGTAATGATGCCACATTTTCCACGAATACCGAGGCTAGTGTAGGGGACGAAATGTTTGACATATCATCTCTGGTCGTCGGCGGTCCCTTTAATGACCTCAGTTATTCTATAAAGTCACAATCATCCTCATTATTTGCACTTGATTATTTAACAGGTATATTTCTCTTTTATTGCCTTTCATAAAACAAAGTTTGGTAACACCATCATTCTATGCGCACTTTTTTTAAAAAAAAGTATGATAACAATATAATTAAGAGAATATCAGTAACGAAAACAAGCATATAAATATTTTCTTGTTTTCGATTCTTGTAACGTCGATGACGGCGTTTAAGTTAAATAACATGTTCAGATTTACTTAGAATTTCTTTTGAAGATTATTCCTCATGCACAAAAGCATTAAAGCGATGATAAAAAATAACGTTCCTTTTGCGTTCAGGATCTGTAACTTTGGCAGAAAAGTTCGATGAAATATTTGACTCGAGCACGTATTCGATAATTGCTTACGTTTACAACGAAGGAGCGTGCAGTTATGCCCAGTGTCAAATTAGTATTATAGTGACTGCCGTCAATTACGTAAGTTGCAAATAAATCATCATCTATATATTTTAGATTGTCAGATTATTTTCAAAATGTGTACATGTTAAGTATTCAAATAATTGAAAAGATAATGACTTATTGATAATGATAATATCTGACATGTATTGTAGTTAGGTTCAGAATAACAGTCTCGATGGTATCCGCCTAATTAAGTTATCCGACCAAAAACATAAGTGCATGTACATTGCAAATATTTTCCTTGCATATTCTACCAAAGTATAAATGTTTTACCTTCTTTAATGAGATTTCATAAAACTTTAATTACATTTCACCCGCATAGCATATGAATATTAAACCTTATTCATAACGGCGAAATTACCCAATCTTAAGAACGCAGTTTTGGAGTATATGATACAGCTGGAATGCACCGGATTTCCAGTATGATTAAAGCTGAAGGAAACAAACATCTGATATAAATGTCACTATTTACAATAGAGTCTATATCATTAAAATCACCAAAGCAATCATTTATTTGAATTACATTTTGTATTTTCACAAAAGTCCAAAAGCAATCGTTGATTCGATTTTTTTATATATACCATTTTTTCTTTTTTTCTTTTCAATATAAACAAATTCGTCCGTTCTTATTAAAGCCGGTTGTGATAACAAATTTGCCAGCGACTGTTCCTATATCTGAGGACACAACAACAACAAAAACATTGTTTACAGTGGTTACATCTGATGATAATATTGCCGATACGTACACGTGCGCAATTGTCAACACAATGTCAGTGGAACCTTTCTACCTTGATAGGGATCCACCTGTATCTGGAGGTGAGAATAAAGCATATACTTCAATGTTTAGAAGTACATGGAATCCAAGAATCAAAAAAAGACATTATATAAAGACATTAAGTCCTAAGACATTTAATACATGTACATGTTCAAACTTGTCTTTTTAAATATCTTTAAACTTTTGAATTAAGGAATTGTTTTTGCTTAATGAAAAATGCTACTCTATTCAAAATTCAGGTATAAGGCCTTCGATTAGAACATTAAGTTATAAGATAAAAAGAAAAAAAGTAAAAAAAACAAACAAAAAAAATCACTCTTATAGGGGCAGGTAACTGAAAAGGTAGGCTGATAACCCACATCTTTTGCATTAATTTGTTTCAATCACATTTCCTAATGATTCAATGCAAAGTTGAAGCAAATTATTTGCCTTTCTTTAAATTTTTCTCAAATTACTTGAACGCATAATAATCACAACAATTTTGAAACTTAGACCTACATCTGGTTTATGATTGGCAGTATCAACTGATGCAAAACTTAACATTACACTTTATGAAAATATAAAAACACATTTATTTTAAATCATTGATATTAGTGGTTTTGAGAATCTGAAAGAAATATTTTTTTCTGCTTAATTTATTTTCTAATTACTACCAGTTTGAAAGTACATTGACATACATTTACAAACAATTTTGGGAAACATTAACATATATCCTTCTGTAAGTTATATCTCTTTTACAGATTATGCAATACTTATCAGAGAGAACGGTGGGTTGTCGTCTGCTACAACAACTTATTCCGTGTCAATCGAGTGTACGGACAGTCATAGTGGAAGTGATACAGACGTACTAACAATTACTATAACACTGAACGAAGCTCCGACTTTCACAGGGTTTACAAGTATGTTCATTGTTTACTTAAGGTGATGTTTAATAATCAAGAATATTTAGATTAATTTGTAATGTTTTCAATGGAAAATAGTATTAAAATGTTTACATTCATCCCTTATCATTTGTCCACCCTATTGGCCATTGTAACAATATAGCTGGCTGATAAAATTATTACTCTCTAATTTTCTAATCTATTTGATAATGGACACATTTACTCACTAATCTTCTTATCCCTAATTGATAATGGACAATCAATACTCTCTACTCTTTTTATCACAATATCAGAACTGTAAGCCGAACAAGTCAATGTGAGAAAGCAATGGCTTTGAGTTTAACTTAGTATGGACATTGCCTCTAATTAACATATCTTACTCAAGATATCGAATTTGGCATTGACATTGCTTTAAACCTATCTTTTAACTCAAGATATCGAACTTGGTTTTTATCTTTGAATAGCCGCGACGCCAAACAGTTTTAATGCAGATCCAATGAATTATAAGGTTGGTGACACACTATATACAGTGGCCGCTACAGACAATGAAGGAGATGATCTTATCTTTACATGTACTATAGCCAACTCGCAAGTACCTTATGAATGTGAAACAGGTAATCATTGCTGAAATAACAGGTATTTCCTATTCAAATAAAAGCGTATGTACAAGTACTTTCAATTTTACCATGATAGCAGTCATATACGCTAACTTTTTCATCTAAAAGCCGTTTCCATGGTTGAATGGAGAATTTCTTTGATAAAAATAATTTCGTTAGCAAATTTCGTGTTTGCCTTGTCATTAAACAAAAGTAAGAGGATAAAGTGGTTTTAAAGCTCTTATTGCAGCCGAGTGATACTTCTCATAAGGGGGCCTTCCTCCACCAGAAATAATGGATGACCACCATAAGAAAGCCGGCGTGACATGAAAAGACACAACCGAAATGAATTAAATATATTTTTATTTTGTAGAAGCAACATCTGTGAAGTTAAAGATAAATCGGGAACTAAGAATAGTTGATGATGATGGTCAGACATACAGTGTCCAGATTTGTCTTAAAGATCCGAAACATGCTGACCAATGTGGAGATCTAGATGTCACATTTACACGTAAGCGAAAACCATTTTTATTACCTTTTGATATTGAGTTAATTATGTGTTTTACAGAAAGAAATTATATTAATTGCACCAAAGGTTTCGAAAGAAATATATGACAGTATATATGATCGTATTTCATTGGTCAGAATTGATGTTATTTATCATCTTCTTATACTTTTTGAAATTTTTTATGTCAATTAAAGAGAGGATATATTGTGTCCCTATTTATAAAAGTTCGTTATAAAGATTTTAACAGGTTATATGGCTTGTAAAAATGATTATTTGCTTAATATGCATATTGCTTTTCTTGTAATTTAAGCTAAATATCGATTACACTGTGCCTTGTATTTCCAAAGTCATATATCAAAGCTTCAGAGAGACATGAAGACGTAATATTATAACAATCTTAGACACAATGTAAACATGACACCCATCCAATGTTTTTAAATAGAATAATAAAAATCTCATTAATGACAAAAAAGATGCTCCTTCCGTACAGTATTGTTCTTTATGATACAACATGTTATCCTTTAAATTCATAATTTTACAGGAGATAAAACTCACCCAGAAATAACCAACTTACCACATTCAGAATCGTTTCCGGAGGATACCTCCGTCGGAACGGCTTTATTCACGGCGGCGATATCAAACCCTGACGTCGGCGAAACAACTACCATTACTGTCAGAATTGACCCGACTTCAGAACTATCTGTATTTACCTTGGATACATCAAGTAAATAAAAGAATGTTTGAATACAATATACAATATAAATTTACCCTTATATACTGCAATATTGTTCCTTATTTTAGATTGCTTGTGCTAGATACGACTGGCAAAATTGTTGTCTTAGTTTAATTGTTCAACAATTTGATTTTTATATGCCTGGTCTTTAACGAAAATTAGTTGTTACCTAATTTAACTGAAATTAAATGGTATATTCGTATGGATTTATTACTAAATCTATTGAATAAAAAAAACTATTATGCCATTTATAAATTCGTAAACTCGTTCTGTTTTAATCTCTAACGTTTGAGTTTATTTTTAAGATGGAATTTTGACTCTTGGTCAATTTCTTGACTTTGAACGTGTCAATAGCTACATGTTCACGTTCTCCGTGAGTGATAACTATCTTGACGGACTAGCGGAGAAAACTCTAAAACTTGCAGTGACAAACGTCAATGAAGGCAACTCAATCAGTGCTACAACAACTACTATATCATTTACAGAAGATACGGTAACAAGAGTCTCATTTTACTTTTCCAATCGATAAGTTTGTATTTAAAAGCTGTTTATATTCTACATCCTGCATAATTAATAAAGTTAATTGTCTGAATACATATTGTGATGAACCTGCCAATTAAAAGCATAAATTTGTAATTGATATCAATATATTTTAAAGAAGTTACTGATTGATTTATACAATGTACTTCTAACCCTGTGAATCACTTTTTGGATGACAACTTAAGAATGCGACACATTCGTTCGTTGTTGACGTTTCTTGCTGTATCATACCTACAAGTTTGCTGGTGCTATGTTAATATATACATTCATCGTAATCGCATACAAACAGCTGAACATATGTCTGTTATTGTTTTAAATTAAAAAAACTGCAACACAAAATACATGTAGCTTGAACTAATACATGTGTATTAGCAATTTAGACTCGTGATCATAAATAAAGAATTGATATGACTCTGGCTATAAAATGGCTATGTAACTTGAGAGGAAATGTTGCATAAGTTGAATCACTATCTGTCAATGTTAGATTTTTCACTTGCAAAATCTCATGCGTCAACTTCTAGTAATCGATACAGCGTCTGTCTCATTGAGTCTAGAGCATTTGAAACAAAATAAGTTTGCTTTATATAATGCTTTGGAAAATAAGCATAATGTACAGACGTGTTGTCTGTTAAAAGCAAAGGCTCTCTCTCTTATGAAAAAAATGTGGAGTAAAATTGTATTCTTGAAACTTCAATATCTAGGCAGTGGGCACCGAACTATCAGATCCTGGATTGTCTTGCACTGATATAGATGGTGACTCAACACAATATGCCATACAGATTAATGATCATTATGACTACTTTAGGTAAGTGCATCTGACTATTTTGTAAATCAAAGGGATTACTTTTCAACAACCAATTTCATTTATTAAAATTGCTGATAACTAAAGACTTTTTTTACAATGCGATTTTCCATAGTAGCGAATGTTGCACTTGTATCATAGACCTTTCTGTTGAAAATGTGTCAGGGTTAAATCGTATACATATACATGCACTGTAGGAGCACATTTGTCTCGGAGCACATTTGTCTTACGTAAGACCGATGCGGTCGCATTTGTCCCACATAAGACAAATGGGACCTCAAATGTCTAACCAAAAAAACTCATTTGCGTGACAAATGTGCTCCGATCAAGTTTTTTAAGGGACAAGAAAGCACATTTGTCTCATGTGTTTTTAAGGGACAAGAAAGCACATTTGTCTCATGTCATTTTTTTATGAATTATTTGTCACATATTTCCTCACGGCAGAAATTCTTTTTTAGAATCGAGGTTCGCCGTTTTACCTCTAGTGTAATCATCAATAGGTTTGCTTATGCTTTATTAAATTTTATGAAAACTTACAGTGAACTATTAATTATAATATCTCTAATTCAAGAAATTGACTGACTTAACCTGAAGGCGTACACTGAAACATACTAAATCCCGTCCATGATATAACAATAGTGACAGCAGGATGGCACGATTGTACGTTGATGAAAACGCGATGGTGCGATGGTGAAAACACAATGGTACGAACGTTAAACAACGAAGGCTCGATGATGACAACGTGATCGTACTATGGTGAAAGACGATGTTACGATGGTGAAAATACGATGGTACGATATGATGAAACTGCTATGACATGATGATGAAAACACACGCGATATTATTTTCTCTATCGTGTCATCGCATCATCGTGATTTCACCATCATGTCATCAGGTTTTAATCATCGTACCATCGACGTAATATCTCAATTTCACCATTGTACCATTGTGCATAGCTGTTCAGGGAGACTAAATGTTACTTATGTCCAAACGGAACACCGTAATCGGTTGATATTGAATGATACAATATCGTGACTCGTTTCGCATCTCACCGAAACCTTGCGTCTCGCGAAATCTTGCGTCTCGCTTCGCATGCCGTTCGTCAATGCAAGACAAGAAATTGATTCCAGCTCATATACCGCTAAGCAGAATTCCCTTTATAGTCTACATAAAATCACTTTAAGGCCCATTATGCGTGAGAAATGCTTTTATTTGTATTCTTCATTGGTATACTTTTTTAGCTCCAAAAAGTTACTGATTAGCTAATTATCTGAAGCATTTTTCATCTGCTGCTTTTTGCAGTTTGTACAGTTGAACTGATTTAGATTTTTGTATTAAAGTCAAAGTACTACATTGTTTACATTTTGCTACTTTTATGACGCATTATTTCACATTTATCGCGATTTTTTTGAAGTTATTATTTGAATATTAATAAATTCATACTTGCCCTATCTAAAGAAGTAAAAATTTATTCATTTCTGAAATCTCTTGGTACGGGATAGTTTAACATTGCGAGATCTTCTGTTACAATATCGTGCTTCGCTTGGTGTATCATTCGGAATGTCGCGTCTCGCCCGATTCTGAGTGGCCCTATATTCCATAATTATGACATTACCTGGATTATTTTAGGAACTCCTGCATGTTGTAAGTGCCTTTTCGATTGCGAGTCTGAAAGCCGAAATTCTTGTAAAATGACGACTTTTTATACATATATTTCTGATGAAAAGGAAAAAACGTGTGTAATGGTCTTCTTATTTTTTCCATGGATTATTTAAGGGCCTCCGTAGCCGAGTGATTAAAAAAAAAACACTTGCCCCTAACCGCTATAGGTTCGACACATACACGGGGCGCCGAACTATTCATGCGAGGATCCCGGGCAGGGTCCAAATGCGCAATACATATGCGCGTGCACACGTAATAGCTATCGCGTGCGCACGTAATAGTATCGCGTGGGCACGGAAAAAGCTATTGTGTGCGCATGTAATAAATAAGAAAATTCTATGTCCCCTTTATGCCATCGTAGATACTACCTTGTTTTTGCTAAGAATATTTCTAGTGCCATTAATCATCTATAAAACTTTAAGCATTGAAAATAGACGTATCACAATTGATAACGATAAGAATAGACTTGATGCATATGTGTTTAGGTTCTGGATGCTGCACTTGTAGAAATTTATATTGTGACATGGAGAACAGGGATATTCTTTAATTTAGTATATGACTCCTTTGCAAAGGCAGGAAGTTTTTGACTGACCGGAAGTGACCTCAAAACGATATTATAAATACAGAAAACACAGAACAATGGCTGGTAGCCGGTATACAGATGGACATAAGTATTATCTTTTATGTAAAAAATGTGAGACAAATGTGCTTCGAGTGTCCTTTCTATTGTGTGTCGAAAACATCTGTCTCATTTCCAATTTGTCGCAAATATGAATGTTTACGAACACATCGGTCACACTTCATGAGACAAATATGTTCCGAGACAAATGTGCTCCTACAATGCACGGTGCGTTATGCCCAAGTCACATATTCACGGATAATGCCACGGAACAGCTACGGTCTAATTGTTCACGGATTACTACGGAAATGTGAAATTCCGTAGTCCGCTACGGTTCCAGTACGGACACACAACGGTATGAGTACGGAGTCCGATGGATTCCACCAAAAGCCCCCGGAGAGACACGGATTGTTACGGAGCGACACGGTTTGATAGGGAGCGACACGAATCAGGACGGACGCACTACGGATACACTACGGTCTGCTACGGTATAAGCACTGGTTAGTACGAATAAGTACGGGCTGATACGGAGAAGAACGTATTGATACGGAGAAGAACGAATTGCCACGGATCTATACGGACCTAATACATCCGTCCACAACCTGTTGCTTGCTCATTTTCAAAATGCCTCAAAGAAAAGAACATATAGAAAACGAATTGCAGCGTTCAATGATTTTGGCGGAGAGAACTCAGCCTAATCGCGTCCGAACCCCGAGACACATCAGGTCCGATTAAAGTGAATTTCTTGAAGGACGCTGGATCCTCAACAAGTTCGGCCATGATCTCATACTAAACATGAAGCGGTCTTCGTAAAAGCCCATCTCTAGTCCACCATCTCGTCTGTCTTCTCTTACCTGATTAGATATGGACTTGTAATCATTAATGAAAAATGTTGATCAATACTGCTTCTCTTTTAATTTTAAGATTTTCTGTTCATCTTACAATTACATTAATTATCGTGATGTTTATGTTTTAAAAATATGTAAAACGCTTGTTAATTAATCATATCATCACTCACGGGCCAGTGTCCGAGGGTTATGAGACACTTCGTTTTATGTACATATTTACTCCAATTTCACAATCCAATGTTTGTAAAATATGTAACATTAAATATAATTCTATTACTTATATAAAATTTACTTCTATACATGTCATCAAGTAGCTCGACCACTGCCTCCGCATTCTGAGCCATTTCAATATAAAGTTGCAGCCAGTAAATGGAAATTATCATTTATTAAATGTTTCCGCAAATATATATGTCTGTTTTTAACAAGAAGGTAGTATTTATACCCTTGAAAAAGTACATGATACTTAATTCATCCGTACTAAACAGTGGTGGGCCGTACCATTCCGTACCGTTTCGTGTTGCAACGCAATAAACCGTATAAGACCGTGCTAATCCTTGCCTCTCCGTAGTACAACGTATTACGATCGTGGCTTTCCGTGACAATGCCGTATTAATCCGTATTAAAACCGTAGTTTATACGTAGGGTAACCGTACAAATACGTAGTTCTCCGTACCAAACCGTGGAAACCCTTGACAAGTTGGTGGACTACGAATCAGTACGGACTATTACGGTTTTCGTACGGACCAGTACGTATCAGTACGGATTATTACGGACTAGTAGGGATACGCTACGGTTGATTTTTCCGTAGCAAATTTTTGTGCATGTTCAAAAATTGTCAAGGATCGCTAAGGATATACAAGGACTACTACGATGGATTACGGTTACAATACGGAGAGCTACTGACCAGTACGGGTAGCTACGGACGATGCCGGAATTAATCCGTAGCTCTTCCGTGGGCGTATTCCGTGAATATGTGACCGGGGTATTAACTGGAGTGCGGGTATTAGTTACCCGCACTCCAGAGCATGCCCATTGATTGGCTCATTTTTGCTGGGGTTTACATATTGTGACGGCAGATAAAGGGAAAGCGACAGAAATGTCAAATTCAGATGTTCGTTCATTGGTTCATTTTTGCCGGGGTTTCATATTGTGACATCAGGGAACGTGCTTTTATGTTTGACTATGATACAAAAGAGAAAGAACACCAAAACACTCGGCAATCTGATTAATACTCGGGGGCTACGCCCCCTCGTACAAATCAGATAGCCTCGTGTTTCGGTGCTTATATACTGCAATTCTGCGTGGGGGAAAACAACAAGTTATCGTATTCAACAGTTTTAATAGACGCGATTTCAAGTTATGCACCAAGAAAACAGTAGTTTTTGGATGAATTATAACAGGAAGTACTTAAAACGTGAATTGAATCTATAACAGATATACGAAACAATAAGTGACTAATTATGGAATGATTAATGAAAAAATGTCATTATCTCCATTGGCACCGAAAATTTCTAAAAGTATGCCAGTGTTCAAGAATAAGTGGCAGACCAACACAATGGACTTTGGATGAACCTTAGAGTTAAAACATGTCATTTTCTGCATAATTACCAAAATACCTAAAAGTCTGTCATTGTCCCAGAATCAGTCGCAGACCAAACAAATAGACACTTGAGGGACAGGCAGAAGTAAAAATGTCATTATCTGCATTGGCACTTAATATTTTTAGAAAGGTCATGGGTGCCCAATAATCAGTTGCAGATCAACGAAATAGACTACTGAGGGTTTCTAGAACCCAAAATAGGTTATAAATCCATTTCCAATATAATAAATCCAGTACCAATATCCTGGAAGTCTTCGAGGATGTCAGTCACAGGCGCAGACGCAGACCAGTGAAATAGATCCCGCAACAAAAATAACATTTTAAGGATTACAAGAGGATGCATAAGAGTAAAAGAGGAAGACTATTTACTCTGTATTTAAGAATGTCCTGCTAGACTGCTCTGCCAGCTCGTCATTTTAGTAGAACAATTTTATATAAGAATTCCCTGCTAGTTTGCCTAGACAGCTCAGCATTTTAGCAGAACATTTTACACTCTATTTCAGAATGATTAGCTGACTAGGCAATCCAGGAAAGCATTCTGAAATATAGTGTAATGCTCTGCTTGATTGCCGAGTCTGCTGAGTATAACAGCAGAGCATTTTTACACTATATTTAGGAATGCCTTGCTAGAATGCCTAGCTAGCTGATTGCTTAGCCAGCTGCGCATACCAGCAGAGCATTTTTCGCACTATATTTTGGAATGGCCCGCTAGATTGCTTGGCCAGCTGAGCTTACCAGCAGAGCATTTTTACACTTTATTTAAGAATGCCCTGCCAAATTCCTTAGCAAGCTGAGCATACCAGCAGAGCATTTTAACACTACATTTTTGGAATGACCCACTCGATTGCTTAGCCAGCTGAGCATACCAGCAGAGGATTTTTACACTATATTTTGGAATGCTCTGCTAGATTGCTTTGCCGGCTGCGTATACCAGCAGAGTTCTTAAACAATCGTCTTTTCCATTCATTTTTATGGCAAACTTGCTGACATCTTTTATGTTTTGTAAAATGCTATAGTTTTATAATTTTTACTTTAAACTAATTCGAAATTGTCTATGATCTTCAATTATATTTTTTATACAGAGCGATGCTCTTGCTGCCCTACGCAGATCGTGCATGCGCGATAAAATAATACTTCCGACCGATTTTTCAAAGCAACGGACCGTGTCGTTAAAAGGGTTGTAGCCTGATGCATTTTTTAGCCATTATTTGGTATTTCATTCGTCAAATACTTTTTACCGCATAATAGGCACGAAAAATATGTGTCTCAATTATAAACACTAATTGTAAATTACCGGTATGTTGAATAGATGGAAAAAATAATGATTCAATGAATCCAACATAAATATGTACGTTGCTACAAAATAAATTTGTGACCACACTCATTCAATAAATTATTTTGTTTGTGTGTAAATAATATTTCTATTAACTACAGACATTTTTTTCTGTTCTTCTTGTTTTCATGTTTCTTGAAGACAAAAAAATAACGAACATAAATAAGAGATAGACGTTGAACATTCAAAACGTTATACGCGATAAAAAATGTCACTTTGTTTACAGAATTTTGTAGGTCTTGAAGAAGAAAAAGTAGAATTACCGCGAAAGGTTTCAGAGATATACACAGTTTTGACTTTTATATCTAAATCATTGGTCATTATATGTTTTGACCTTTCCTTTTTCAGGATCTTCAAGCAATATTTGCATAAACATAAATTTTACCACATTTACCTGTCTGTTTTTGCTTGTTCCGACGTCTATCTCCTATTTACTTTTTTCGGTCTTTTCTACAATTTACTTAATGTTCAATGTTAATTGCCCTTGTTTTTTTAGTATTGACAGTAACAATGGTCATATCTCGTTGGCAAAAGTATGGGACTTGGAGGATTCAAGCACAGAATTACCTTCATCGACATCTCTGATAATAAGTTGTACGGATCCTGGCGGTCTTAGTTCAACAACAGCGATAACAGTGAACGTAGAAGATGTCAACGATCACGCACCTGTTCTTTTAATTGATGCAGGTTTCAGTCAACCTATTGCGGTAATTAATTTTTGATCGTAAAAGTATATCTGTGATAAACCGGTTTTAGAAAGATTTGTATGGTGGCATATTTCTGACACCAGATAACCATATAACAAACTAGTTAATTAAGAGGTTTACTAGTTACGTAACTGGTTTACTTCTTAATTAACTTGTTTGTTATGTGGTAAACAAGTTATATTACTAATTAATTTTTTCAATAAATAAAAAGATCATAACGGGAAATAAATGCATCTGAGTGCCTACAACTGCCACCCTTTTATCATTTTACCAGCTTAATATTAAGTGGTTAACTAGTTACTCAACTAGTTAACCTCATAATTAATTAGTTAGTTAACTTGTTAACCAGTTAGCGATATTTAGGATAATGGTTAATTTATTAACAAGTTGCGTAACTAGTTAGCTAAATAACTAACTAGTTATTTAAGTGATTAACTTATTACGTAACAAGTTAACTACATAACTACATGTAACTAGTTAAAGTGATTAACTAGTTACGTATCTAGTTAACCAGTTATCACTAATCTATAACCCTGTTTTGCATATGCGGAAGAATGATTATGGTACAGTACAGTTTTCCAAATATTAAGCAATATCTATTTATAGATAAGTGATAACTGGTTAACTAGTTATGTAACTAGTTAATCACTTAAGTAATTAGTTGATTAAGCGGTTAACTAGTTAAAAAACTAGTTAACCACTGAACATTTAGTTGGTAAAATGATAAAAGGATGGCAGTTGTAGGCACTAACATGCATTTATTTCCCCTTATGATAACCATATGACTAACTAGTTTATTAAGAGGTTAACTAGTTACGTAACTAGTCAACCTCTTAATTAACTAGTTAGTTTTATGGTTATCTGGTGACAGAAGTATGCAACCATAGATTTGTGATGTGCTTAATTTATTACTTATTGGAATGTCTTTCATTAAACAAATTAGTTATAAAATCTATTTGGTCAGCTGCTATTTAAAATAAAGCATTATTTACCACTAAGAATCTTGCTGACGTAGTTATACATTTTTACATGGTATTGTGTTATGTTCCTACTGTTAAAAGATTTTAAATACAAAAGCTTCAGATGTCACTTTTTCCAGATCGTGTCAATATGTTAATCTTCGACAATAACTTTGGGATTTTGCATGTTTTACCATTCTTTTTGTATGAATTTAAACAACATGTTGTAAATATGCACACATGATTGAATTTTAAAACTGTAGAAAGAAAACAACATAAAATCATGACTCTCATTGAGCAGAGCCATTAAAGTTTTAGTTTTTATCATTTCACACATAACGTGTCCCTCTCCTCCTTTCGCCGCCCGTATTTCCACTTCTTGTTTTGGTTTTGTTCCTTCAGGGTGACCTGTTGTTGTGGCTTGGGTGTGTCTGGGGCTGGGTCCTGTGAACGTTGCCTTTGCATTGTTCATCTTATTCTCGTTTTCTCGTTTTTTAGTTATTATAAGTTATTTTACATCCCTTCTTGATAATTAATTTGACATTGTGTCATGACAAGTATAAATGATAAGAGTACAAGAAAAAGTCAAAATGAGATAACATTTTGCCATATTTGTTTTCAATGTCACATTGTATTTCATATTCGATTTTCGATGAATAATTATTAATCCACGTGCACATTGGATTTTGTGTAAATATCCTTCAGAATGTATCGGTAACGCTCAATTCGTAAAATACATTGTGATAGTCTTTTTATATTTTAAGCTGTTTTATTGTATTTTGTTCTTATATTTGTAATTATCAATAATTGGTCATCACTTAAAATAGTCAGTCTTCAAAATGTATTGCTTATTCACTTAACTTAGCATCGAAAAAATAAGTATTATGTTACTTAAAAAAATACAGTGTCTTTATCTTTTAGATAAACCCTTCAACACATTTGTATACCGACCTTTTGACGTTTAGCGCAAGCGATTTAGACCGAAATGATGACAACGATTTTGAATTTGAGATCATGGGTGAAGGTGTTGGGGCTGAATATTTTAGAATGGTCAAATCTGGTACTTCAACAGCAAAACTAAGACTGAAGAAAGCGCCTGACTTTACAAATGATAAAATGTTTTCAATAACAATTAAAGTAAGTGTAGATAGATTTTTTCTTTCTGTAATTTAAATTTGCCTTTAATGTATTGCATTTTCACACACACACACACACACACACACACACACACACACACACCAACACACACACGCACGCACGCACGCACGCGCACGCACAAACACACATATAAATAAATCAAAAGATTACATTGTATTGATATTTTTACATTTTATTGGTTTTGCATATTAATGTTGTGCTATTACAATGTAAGCCAAATGGCAGTTTGATAATATATATATTTAACTTTTGAATTTTATTACTTATTAGACTGACATAAATACCCTATTCATATTTGGCAGAAAATCACAACCCGAAACAGTTTTTCAAACCTTACGCTTACATATTTTCATTTTTCTTTGTTTATACATTAATTTGGGATATTTTTAATTTATGAACATGCTACTAATTTGTAATAATATTTCTAAATCTAAAAGGTATCCGACGGGGAAACATTGCCATTATTTGATGGTGAAACTATCTCTGTGAATTTCACTGCTGGAGATCCTGACGCTAATAAATCGAAACCAAAAGCAAAATGTGTGACCTGTACAAGTAATGGCAGGGCATTATTAGCTGTACTCATCATTGAGGGCGTTGTCATCGGACTGTTTGTTTTGCATATTATTTACAATTTTTGCAGTTCAAAAGGCGATATTGTGTAAGTATATCTTACACCTATTTTTCTGATTCTGTGATACATGTACACTGTACAATAATTTTAGTTAATGTGGAGTGGTCTTCTATGGGAAAATTTTCACATTTAAAATATCTTGCACGATTAACGGCATGTAAAATATTGCTTGCAACAATAAAGTATATCATGCAACATGTTTCAAACTTTAAAGACGGAACCACAATTATAAATGTTATTCTAATTATAACGACTCTTAATTAATACGAATTGCCTTCAAGTTTCTTTATTGAAAAACATCAAGATGGCCATGCTAAAATTACTTCGTCTTTCGTCTTTATAGCCGACTGAGAGGCCCTAATATGAATACCCCGAGTAATAAACGATTCCCTCGATCGTCAGTAACAGCGAGAGGCAATGGACTGTCTGGGAAACATGTAAGTTCAGCCATTACAGTGAGAGACATAGAAATGAAGCAAGTAAGCCAGAGGAATAATGAAAGGAGAAAGCGAAATGACTCCAGCAACAGTGAATCAAGCAGTTCGTCATCTGACAGTGACGATAACCGGGTTAGACCGTTAGATATCAGGTAAGATAAATAGTTCCAATAGGTAAGAAAACAGATTATTATTAACTTACTAGTATGAAGTACATTAACACACATTATGTTCTTTTTGTTCATGTTTTCACTAGTTTCTATCTTTGAAACATTTAAAAATGAAATCAATTTTTTTTCTGATTATTAGGACAAACGTGTAGATTTTAGACTATGTACGTAGGAAAATATAGCATTGTCAGTATAACAGACTTTACATGCATTTATATTAAATGATTTTATTTGATAATTTAAATAAATTGTCGTAATTTCATTAATTTTCATTAATTTTCATTACTATATCCTTACTGACGGTCCATTACATTTCGCCTCGGACCGTAGAGTAACGGAGTAAAAGCAATAGTATGATTTCAATGAGATTGAAATTGCTGATATTTGAAGTACCTTTAGGTCGAAACAGTATCGTAAATAATACCAATAAAGCACTTTAAGAGCATTACATTGTTATATAGCACTGTATATTTTTAGGCAAGGAAATGGTTATAGCAGAATTAAGCTACCCCACTCTGGTTCTGCAATGAAACCAGTGACTTCCGGGCTTCCACTACCTATGTATACATTTAGTGTTGGTGCTGTCAACAATACTTCTGATGGAGCACTCGCACCTGGGTTTGTTGTATAGAAGTGTTGGTTTACAAGTGTTAGCGCTGTTCAATACCTGAAAACTGAGTTTTTTGAAGGGATATAATAACCCAGAAAACGATGGAGTGAATAATTGTCGGAGCGATGATTCTTTACAATCATTACACTTTCATTTTATTTGTATGTGATGTAAATTGTAAAGCTTATCTATCTATCTATCTATCTATCTATCTACCTATCTATCTACCTACCTACCTACCTGTATCCTTTTCTTAAATTCACAATTATATTGTTCATGCCATATTTTCTATTCGTTTGTTCATGTGTTCGTTCGTTTATATTCATTTTTTAAGGAATACTGCTTTCATTTCTTTCATTCAAACCAACACCAAAAGTTATAGATATTGAGTATAAACATTTCAGACATAAAATTAAGTAAAGAAAAGCATCGTTGCCATTGAATGCAACACTTTATCTGATAAATCTAAAAAAAAATATGAAGAAAAATGCTCATATTTTGTATTTGACATTTTTTTCTTGAAGAAGCATTAACAGTTTTATGTTAGACTTGGTGTAGACCGATAGATTGTGTGCAACATTTCAAGTCATTGTTCACTCCATTTTTCAAAATATTTAATTAAATGTAATTGTGAAAATGACTCAAATTGAATAGCGTTGTTATGCTTTTCACCCAAATCGGTCTAGAATAATACAAAAACACGGATTTCAACTTCTTTTCGAGAATATTTCTCAATTATCTATTGCACATCTTTCTGTTTTAAATGTTCGAGCTATTCTATTTAAGATATTAAGATATTAATGTTTCTCGGCTTTTGGGCTTAGTGCAGTTTCGTTCATTTGCGTATAAATTGGTAAATACTTTTAAGTAATCCAGAAAACTCGGTTTGGTAGTTTGACTGCTAAGGTATGACAAAAACATGTGTAAAAGATTCCGACCTTGTTTTCAATCAAAGTAAGTAGGGAGTATGCTAGTAGGGAACATGCGTACTATTGTTAAGGTCTGGCATGTCTTTTTTCCTTTTTTTATTTATATTTGATTAATTGTTCTTGACGCAATCGTCATTAAAAATAAAACAGATAAATGAAACTGGGTATGTGTCCATAGGACACGGGTGTCCCCACATTCCACTATTTTGTCAATCTTCTGACTCGAAGTCAAATGATTTTTGGGCTATACGTGACACAAGTTGAAAACTGAAAATCTTTTATCCATGACAAAAAAACTCTACAATAATCGTACTTGATAAATTAAAAAAACAACGTGCATAACTAAACATGATGACCAAGATGCTTCTATACTTTTAGAACTACACGTCAAATACTTTTTGAGTTGTACATTAAAAAGCCTATAATTTTTACAAAGTCAAGGGCAAAGACTCAAGACTAGAAATAAATTCACATGCAAAGCTTTACAGTTATGTTGACCATCATTCCTGTAAAGTTGTTTGATTCTATCTCTTGCAATCAAGGTACACATAAAATAACAACATTTTGGAATGGTTTTACCAAGTCTTAAAGGCAAACATATGACAGATACATGTTATAAACAACATATCCACATACAGCTAGTTTCAATCACAACCACTTTCAATCATCCCTAGAATTTTTTTTTTATTTTTGACCTTATTTATCATGTTACCAAACTGTTAGCACATCTTGTATTCACCTTGACTACATGTATCAGCAGCAATGTCAATTATAGCGATAAAATAGAAAATGCTAGTATTTTAGTTCAGTTCTTTACTCAGTTTTTTGTCAGTCTGCAGAAATAGATATTTAGTTGGACAACTGTTTCAATATCATGAAGTCATAATGTATACTGCACTTCAAAAGCTATAGTTTTAATATGTACATATTTTACCATACAATTCTTAATTGGAAGGTAAAACATCAGTAAAGTAACAGTCACTTAACCAAGGAAAACATTCTCTCTGATAACTTTTAAGTAAGCAGTCACTAGAATGGGGTCATATAGACCCTAGGTTCCTAAAAAATTCACAAAACATGCTTTTTCTGTTATGCAAATTGAAATGTACATCCATACCCCAATTGTGACAGCTTTACCACTACCACTGCAAATTGATATTAAGATTGAAAAATGGCAAAATAAATAGGTTAAAATTGTTTATTACCATTTATCTGAAGTTGAGTTTGTCAACATTTCTCCACAATACATAACTGATTATATTTTAACATTGTATGACACTTTTTATGTGGTGCAGTTTATATTTTGTTGTGAAATCTTGAAGAACAGGAAAATGGATCAGTCATGATTTTTCCTTGATTCATAATAATAATTCAAGTAAAATTTTAGAAAATTGGTGCATTTATTAGCTAAAATGATAACATTCGCAGAATTGAAAGATAACTTTTTTGTATATAATTTCACTGTCAGTTATTGTAGAAAAATCTGTTAGCTGATCGGAAAGAGGCAGTACGGGGAGATTTGTAATTTTCCTGATTTTAATGGAAAGCATAACACGTTGTTTCATGTCACAGTTACACATCTGTCAGTAAATTGTGCTGCTAAAAGTGGGTCCTTTATTACGTTGTGCTTAGATATTAAATCCGTAAAGGTCAATAACGAGAACAGAAGCACGTGCAAGACATAATTATGCTCTTCTCAACGACAATGCAGATAAGACTTTAAGGATGACCGTTTGTTACAAACATTAAATCAACCTGGAAAAAAATTTATTATCGCTACTGAAAGTTCGGTCGGAAGGTCAATATCTGGACATGAAGGGTGTTTGGACAGTAAAACACTTCCAATAACAACTAAATCTACCGCTAGAAGACATCAGGTTCGAAAATATCCCGCCTGTGGGACATTGAAATTCCTAACGGTGATGTAAGTGACGACATTATTTTGACGGATATTCAGGACGCGCATGTACCTCTAGAAATGCGAGCGTGGGTAAGTGGCCAACCGTACGTGTCCGCATTTGTTTTGATGGGCAATTTGTGGAAGAGTTAGTGGCGTCATTGGCAAAGGCAGCACAGTTAACATCAACCATGTCCAATCTGATGACGTCACAAAGCAACATGACAACAGACTTTGAGATGCAATTCATTGAAAAGAAAATGCTATATCAGTTAAAGATAGATAGTCTATGGCAATTATAAAACAACATTAATTCACGTGCCTGATGGACATCATGCGTGGCGAGATGAACATACATACACAAATACGATTTCATCACTTAAAATGAAGATTGTCACGTGACAAAGATCTTCACGAAATGTACACTGCGACAGTGACAGATTACATTGAGAAAGGCCAAATTATTCAACAATGAGAACAACAAAGATCGTGTTTGGTCTCTCCAACATCACCTATAGTTAATGCAAACACACCAGGCAAAGTAAGAGAAATTTACAATTGCGCGGCAAAATATAAATAGACACAACAGCAGCAACTTCAGGGATCTAATTTAACAAATAGTTTAGCTGGTAAACTTACTCGCTTTAGACAAGATAATATTGCAGTTTTGACTGATATCGAGGCGATGATTCACCAAAAGCGCGCAACTGAACGTGATTGCGATAGTCTGCAATGTCTACTGTTGTCCAATAGGGACATGATGAGAATTCCAGATATGCAAGTTTACCTTCTTGGTGCAACTTCATATCCAAGTTGCTCAGCCTATGCGTTGAAAAGGACTGCTCAGCATCACGCGCAATTGTTTGAACAGAAATTTGTGACAACAGTTAAACGAAACTTCTACGTTGACGATTGTTTAAAATCAGTAGACAATGAACAGAACGTTATTGATTTAGTTCGTGATCTGCAGTCGATCATGAATAAAGGCGGTTTTCGACTTACTAAATGGATCACTAACAGCAGAACAGTTCTTTCCATTATTTCTGATTTGAATATAAGAACATCTGGTAACAGAAGGGTCATCTACTATTATAGACCCTTCGAAGTGCAGCGAACTGGAATTGAATACTAGTGATATGCTATCATTAGCAAATATTGTCAAAGATTATTTTACAAGAAAATTAACCAATACTAAATCAAACAATCTTGTCCAACTCAAAAAACGTGCACCTAAGGACGAAGTATAGGGCCCCATTATTGTTGTAATCCTTAGGAGTGCTAGGTGTGTAGATTTCGATCGATATAGCACAAATTGGAGACTGGCTACTGGTTGCAATATCTAGAGATTCTGTGATAAAGCTAACGCCACAAATCTATCCCGAAGGAACTAATGAACTCATGCACACTCATGATCTCGGCGAAGATATGTCTCGAACTTCCTTACTTTGTAGGGCATGTACATTGCTATGTCAAGTTAAAGCCATATGGATTCTGCATCCGCGGAGCGATCGACGGGTACAGTCGACGTTTTTTATGGCTCGAAGTAACAAACAGCAACAACTCGGCCGCAGTGATAGCGTCATACTACTTTGACACATTAAACGAATTAGGCATCTTATAGAATTGTATATCCAAGTTCTTAGTTCACCGTTTATTTAATTTTCAAGTTCAGTTGTATATATGTATTATGTCCACTCTTTATTTTCAATTTTTCATTTCATCTGAACCATGGTAACAAGAACGTCCATCGTTATCTTGGCAGCCTTGATTTAGAGTTTGGGAAAATGGTTACAAAACAAAAGCACTACATGTTTAAAATGTTCATTTTGTTAATATTGTCATGTTTAAAGTTACTTTAATTTACAGGCAACAAAATGTTTAAAATGTGTTTTTGAGCTTTTCTAAAAACATGATAATTATTTTGATATTCTTTTTTAATGTAGAAATGGTTTGGTTATTTAAGTTTTTGTTCATATTGTTTTCTTAAGTCTTGAATTTGTTTTTCAACATGACGACGAGTTCAGTTTCGTAAGAAGTAAATATAACAAAAGTTCTAGGTGCCTCAGTATTTCCAATTTAATTTTTTCAGAATGATTATTCATACCATCTGTGAATATTAAAGTATTTGAGCATGAGGTATTGCGAGTTGAATTTTCCATTCAACAATATGCACCATTTTATAATAATTATTAAAACATAAGCTTATGTTACATTACGTTTTGGCTCATATTCTCACATAACCATCCTTGTGGTAAGGGCTTTTTTTATCTTTTAATTTTAAGGCTTCTACCATAAATTTTACTCAACATTGTCATATACTTCCTTTGTAAAATTATATGGTGCCTATTCAGTGATGCGATTCCTTGTGAATAAACTCAGTCTGATGGTTACACTTTGAAGCCAAGAGCAGCTAGGTCACACCAACAATCATTTGTCCAGACATATGCCCCTTTGTCACCTGAGGAAATTGTAGCAAATGGCAATTTATTTCAAAACTATATAAGAAAATTTTTTGTATTGTATGACATATCCTTGTCTTGTGATACACTTATATATTAGTGTAACCCCAATCAGTATCAGACCTCTGATTTTTTAATGAAATACGGAAGTGCAAGGCAAGTCGTACAATTATGGCAATGGTTATCTTTTATTTGAAGTGTATAAAGCTATATTTCTGGTGCAAAAATATTTGTTTAGATTTTTAAAAATGTTTACTTCTAAAATAATTGTTTGAAATGAATATGGTAACTTAAAAGCGAATGGCGCATGCACAAAATCATTGCTAAATGGATGAAACCCTTCTTCAATTAGAGAAATAATATTTTGTTACGGATTATTGTTTTTTTTGCTGTTTACGTAGATTATTCATGTGTTTATTAACAGAGAGATTCTATGTTACAACTTTTGTAAATTAGAAAATTTTGAAAATTTACATCTCATTAATTAAAACTTAAATATGAAAATTCACTAAATAACTACAAATTGTAAATGATACATACATCCATTTTTACGACAATTCATTTGGCGATTCGAGAACTTGTATTCTCACTTTCAATCGGAGGTGTACGTCACTGAGAAGGCACAGGACATTGGCAGAAGATCTGTAGACTTGAGATGGCGCAGAAATCATCAGAACTTGTATTGCAGACCAGCTGCTGATTCCTCACTTAAGCCGAGAGGTGGGGGCTTAATCGATGAGGATAGTGTGCTAGGGTGAGTTCCAAGCACAGATAGACAGCTTGTACGGCAGGCCTTTTGCTTGGCACAAACAGCCTTTTCAAGGGCTTTCCGCTTATTATTGTTATAAGTCACTGTACCTTTGGGTTATCATTGACTGCTGTACAGTGACCTACTTTTGATGCAAAATTCATATCATTGACTAATTCTCCGTGGAAAATGCATGAAAGTAAATAATAACCACTTTTTTCGTCAAAATTAACACTTTAAGGGCATGATTAGTTGCATGTCCGAGGTAACTCGATAGCGAAAGCTGCTTTTTGTACCTTATTGGGCAGATCGACCATTGTTTAACATAGACTGCATCCGTACATACATTCATTTACTTGTAATCTTGACATCGTGGACTCGATTCCTGTCCATCTAAAATAACTTATCAGTCTTTCGGATGAGTCTTTAAATCGAGGTCCGATGTATGAGTGCTTCAACACCTTGCACGTTATAGACATAGGAGGAGCTTCTGGAATTTACGGAGTTTTTTGTATCTGTCATTACCCTCCAAAAATTCTGAAATGACAAAAACTGTTCTGGAGGACTTGCGCTTGAAGGCAACCAGTGGCGCATATAAGTAAACACACGAACGCACGCGCGCGCGCGCGCACACACACACACACACACGCACGCACGCACCCCCACAAACACACACACACACACACACACACACACACTCATTAATGAGAATAATATTCTCATTATTATGCAAAATTGAAAAAAGAAGTCCAACCTTTTTATTCTTTAGCTTAATTTTCATGCAAAACTCGTCTGTGAAAATCTAAATATATTATTTTAGTTTCTAATCCCAGTTGCATAAAATAAATCAGTTAGTCAAGCTTGTCCGAAATATATAGTCATTTATTTTGGCAGAACATCTTATTTTATGGTGTCAACAGCCTCTCGTGCATCATAATAGTAAACAACACCAAAATCACTTGCATACATATTTAGTATCATGCAGTGAATTACTGAATTCAATTTAAAGACATGAATGATGACATGTCAGGGGTCCGCAATCTCAGTGCCTAAAAGGGCGGATGGACCCTCATTAAGCATAGAGCACTCCAACATAAGGCAATTTATTCGTTCTCTGGTGTTCCTTCGTTCACTGGTGTTCAATATTAATAAATTATTAAAATAATATTAATAAAGGAAATGGTATTTTTATGTTTTATGTCATTTTACATTTTCTTATAAATCCTTTTTTTATCTTACATGACTTGATAAACTGTTAGAAAAATATTTTAACAGCAAGTTGCACAAAAACACACTTAATGTATTTTTAAATTTTAAAGGGACAAAAAGAACCACAGGCTGGCAATCAGGCTGAGACGAATGTCATTTTGATGTAAAGGCTAACATGGAATCATGAGTTTGTACATATACATTCAGTAACTTGTTAATAAAAGGGAATCCACTGAGGTTTAAAAGCAAGCCTAAAATCATAACATTTGAGTTTCTTACATATATGAGCTGGGGCACTTTAAACAGAAATATATGCAAAGATATTCAGGAAAATTTCTTTGAAATAGACTGAAATCCGTATTGTTATGCTTTTCAATCCGATTTGAATGGAACGTGTTTTTAAAAACGCGTTTCATTTTGGGTGATTTTTTTACAATTTGAATGATTATTATGGAAAAAAGAAGTGCGCGAATGATCTGAAACTCTAAACCTACATCAAATGGTACATTTATCAGAAAAAAAATATTTTCAGTCCCATCATGTCTAAAAACATCAGTGGAGTCCCTTTAACATGTTATAACATGATACTATGTCAGACTTATACCTTGTTTTACAATGGAATAAGTACATATAATTTACTCTTTAGATGATAACATCTCCAAACAAAAATGACATGTTTTAAATATTTTAAAGTTTACTTTACTTTTGTAAGACTAAGCTAATTTGAAGTTGGACACTTTAAGAATTGTTAGTATGCCTATAGACCAAGTTAAATACAGCCCTGTCCTGTATGAGCCAACTTCACAAGCCAATGCCATCATCGCTACATCATATGAGACATAGACGATACTTAGCCTTACACACCTCCTCAATTTTGTTTGTGACGGGTCGTCTATAGTTTTCGGATAGACCTGTGTTAACAAAAGAAAGTCTGTTATGAGGTCTATCTTTTCGGTTGCACAGGTCTGTTCTAGTCAGACAGACCCGGTCATGAAAAACATGTGAAAATAGACTTGCCTATGAGCAGACATAGAAAACATGAAATGCAATAAAATGAAAATAAAATGTAAATGAATGTCATAATATTCCTGTCTTACAAAATTAGCAATCATTCCAAAATCTCTATTTTAAATCTTTGAATAAAAATAATGGATGGCATATCAAAGTGAGGACACATGTAACATTTATTTTTCAAAGTAATAGTAATATAAGCGGTTCTTCTATCATTAAGTTCACAAGATAACAAAAAATGGACGCTTCAAGGTCATTTCTATGAAACTATATAGCAGTTATCGCAGCAAACTTATCACGATTTTAAATCACCTAATCCATAACGTATTAAACGTTCTTAAAATTTTACAGAACATAAAATTGTACAAAAAGTCATATCGAAAAAATATAACAATAATATATCCATTTCAAACGCATTTGTGATACAAATAACGCCCGTTTGAATACGCTTTGCATTGGAAACCGTAACTACCCACAGTTAATAGCGAAGTCCCTTGTATCATTCCCACCTGCAGGACCACATCCACATTTACCCCCCCCCCCCCCCCCTGTTAGGCTTTATCCTGCCTCTCTATTCAACTGGCGAAAAATCAAAACTGAAAGCCCCTGAAAACCGTCGAAGTCAGGGCTTGGTTTCAAAGAATGCTTCACAAGAACGTTAAAAGAATTTTGTATTGATATACTCCAAAAACTTGCTTATAGCGACATGCATATACAAGTACTTAAAGTGGATTGGTCTACAATGGGCACATCTCCTATTTAAGAAATAATATATCCCAAACAGTGATTTTATCGCTCAATAACATCACTGTTTGGAGTTTGGATGCGAGGAATTATATCACGAGGGCGCAGCCCGAGTGATATAATGATGCGCATCCGAACGACAAACAGTGATGTTATCAAGCGATAAAATCACCGATTTGGATATATTATTTCGATTCTAACACGACATAAACAAATAAATGCTGCCGTACCTGATATTAAGCAAAATTGCGCCTGATTTGTTTCCGTACTTTTTTCAGCGCGTTGGATTTTTGGTGGTTACGTCACGTGTATAATGATGACGTCACATGTCTAAATATAGAACGTAAAACTGTGACTCTGTTGCATAATAACACACACTTTCGGTTCTTCTATGTTCAATAGGGAAAAATGCGGGTCGTGTTAGAATAGTATTTCAAATGTCGATACTGTAGAGACCATAGAAATGTATTATTGAAAAAAAATCTTGAAAAAGAAATGTTGATAAGTGATTTAGTATGAAAATCTATATGATGAACGATAATATTTTATTCTAGAACATTCTATAATCTGCTATATAAAATATAATTTCGGATCATGTATCTTAACCTTGCCAACAATATTCATATGTAAGTCTTAAGTGGTCTGCTAGATATCCGGACATTTGCCCGTCGGACGTTTGCGCCCTATGATGTTTGTAGTGGCGAACATTTGACCCCACCCCCGCACTTTAGAAATATTAAGTTATTAGATTGTTTATTAAAAACATCCATCGCCTTTTGTCGAAATTCTATTTTGCTTAAATACACAAAACTCTTGCGCAAATGTATGAAAACAAAATAGCATCCATAAATTAATGAAATATAATATTTTCAAGGTTAAATAACATACCTAAAATTTACACACAAGATGACCTCTGACAAGTGACAAGTCGCCATACCAAAAAAGTAAGCTGAAGTAAGCTGAAGGATTTTTCTAAATAGCATTACGGAAAAAAATGAAACATATAAAAATAATTAAACCATTTTAAGGGCGTATTTTCAGACTTTTATTGGCGTGTCTTCAGACGCCAACATGCAATGACCAATCAGATAATAACATTATTGATACATATGGAACACGCACTGGTCAAGGTGGAAGCAGTAACATGATTTTCAACATGGACTATCCACAGCCAACGGAACATTTCCGAGCATTCAGCTCAGTATGGCATGACCTCACGTAGACGTTTGATACCAATGAATTCCCAGAGGCAGCCAATTATTTTGATACAGGTCAGCTATTGCTTGTTTTCTGATGTTTTGTTTGGCATTACAGGAAATAAAAAACACGATAATAAAATAATGAAGTGATAGTTTTTATCCCGGAATTATATGCATTTGCAATTAAGTCACAACGACACGTTCTCAAATACTGGTCGTTCGTTTTCTGAAAGGTTATTTATTAGACAAGACGGAGAATGAATTTCATATTCTGTTGCAACATTATTTTGTAAAATAGCAAACTTTTAAGTTCAACTTGCAGGTATATTTAAGGCTGTAGTTAATTTGACTTCTAAATAGATAGTCTCCTCAATCTTTAAGTTTCAAATTCCTGTCGTCAATGTCATACAAGCAATCAAAACTGCAGAAATACCCGCAGATATACAGGCTTTAGCTTTAGAAACACAGTCCCTGCTTAAGCAAGTCCCTTTACATGTAAAATAACAAAAAAAACAGGTGCTTGACCTTGTATATATTTTGTTTCTGCCTAATGTTTGTACCCCCCCCCCCCCCCCCAGTAAAATACTTGTTTGTACCGATTTAAAAGCAATGTTTACATAAGTGGTGGCCTTGACATCTATAATCAATAGCATGTGATCCTGAGCATGTTTTTAATTTGCCATTGATCATATAAAATATTTGCCAGTGATAAATATATATGTCACTATTACAATTTCAGACTGAAAATTCACTTTAAAGACAACCAGTCATTTAAATTCAGAAAAGTCAGTATATCCAAGAAATCTTTCCTGGCCATTCGAAGCTGTGGCTTCCATAAGTGTAGTTTGCTACCTTTTGTTACAAAAGTATGATATTGCGATATAACAGCGAAAACTCGGGGGTATAACACTGGCTTGGCCGACAGATTGGGATGTTTCTGCAAATTAAATCGTGTGTGATTAGAGGATATGTCAAGTGATATATATGACCGCCCACTTAAATGTTCCTGTCTTCATAATTGTAGTACTTAAAGTATATATTTAAAAGTGGTATGCATATTTTTTCAGACAATTAAAATTCGAAGTCTACCCGCGAGCTTAAACCTTCACGAGGATTATGATTTGGGATTCAAAATATATTCGTTGATCACTTATGATTATTATAATCACTTGTGGCAATGCCACGTGCCAGCTAATAGACTGGTCCCCTAAATAGGATGTTATGGTTGAACTCAGGCATCAGTTTTAAAAGTACCTTTTTAACATCGAAATAGCCAAGAACCAGGTTGATAAAAGTTTTTGAGTAAGGATCTGTTCATCCTTATCTTGTGCTGGATTATACTTCTGGTTTTTAATTCGATTACATAAACAGATGACCATCTTACGAACTGTCGTAACGCGTACAGTTGGATTATTCTATTCAAACATTTAGCTAAGATACACTTGCAGTATCACTAAGTGATATCTTGCAACATGATATCGGTAATAGTGGACCTGGCACGCGCGTCACTTTTTTATTATCCTATTGTGCTTTTTGCATCATACGTGTTTGTTTCTCTACAGTCCGAGCGTAATATTTTCGTTCAATAATCCGGGTTTCGTGTCTTTGTTTAGCAATCTAGGCTTCATGTCTCCAGAATTTTATCCTGGCTTCATGCCTTGGTCAACATTCTGGGCTTCATGTCTCAAATCTACAATCCGGGCTTCATGCCTTCGTTCAACATTCTGGGCTTCATGTCTCAAATCTACAATCCGGGCTTCATATCTTCGTTCATCATTCTGGGCTTCATGTCTCAAATCTACATTCGGGCTTCATACCTTCGTTCATCATTCTGGGCTTCATGTCTCAAATCTACAATCCGGGCTTCATGCCTTCGTTCAACTTTCTGGGCTTCATGTCTCAAATCTACAATCCGGGCTTCATGCCTTCGTTCATCATTCTGGGCTTTATGTCTCAAATCTACAATCCGGGCTTCATGCCTTCGTTCAACATTCTGGGCTTCATGTCTCAAATCTACAATCCGGGCTTCATGCCTTCGTTCAACATTCTGGGCTTCATGTCTCAAATCTACAATCCGGGCTTCAATCCTTCGTTCATCATTCTGGGCTTCATGTCTCAAATCTACAATCCGGGCTTCATGCCTTCGTTCAACATTCTGGGCTTCATGTCTCAAATCTACAATCCGGGCTTCATACCTTCGTTCAACATTCTTGGCTTCATTTCTCAAATCTACAATCCGGGCTTCAATCCTTCGTTCATCATTCTGGGCTTCTTGTCTCAAATCTACAATCCGGGCTTCATGCCTTCGTTCAACATTCTGGGCTTCATGTATCAAATCTACAATCCGGGCTTCATGCCTTCGTTCATCATTCTGGGCTTCATGTCTCAAATCTACAATCCGGGCTTCATGCCTTCGTTCAACATTCTGGGCTTCATGTCTCAAATCTACAATCCGGGCTTCATGCCTTCGTTCAACATTCTGGGCTTCATGTCTCAAATCTACAATCCGGGCTTCATGCCTTCGTTCATCATTCTGGGCTTCATGTCTCAAATCTACAATCCGGGCTTCATGCCTTCGTTCATCATTCTGGGCTTCATGTCTCAAATCTACAATCCGGGCTTCATACCTTCGTTCAACATTCTTGGCTTCATTTCTCAAATCTACAATCCGGGCTTTAATCCTTCGTTCATCATTCTGGGCTTCTTGTCTCAAATCTACAATCCGGGCTTCATGCCGTCGTTCAACATTCTGGGCTTCATGTATCAAATCTACAATCCGGGCTTCATGCCTTCGTTCATCATTCTGGGCTTCATGTCTCAAATCTACAATCCGGGCTTCATGCCTTCGTTCATCATTCTGGGCTTCATGTAAAATCTACAATCCGGGCTTCATGCCTTCGTTCAACTTTCTGGGCTTCATGTCTTCATGTGTTAATTTTATTTGTGAACCAATTTTTATGAAATATACAAGTCAAATGATAAGAATCTTAGAATCTTTTTTTTTAAGATTTTATTAAACATATAAAAGCCGAACAATTGTAAGCGTACTAAGAGTATGAAATATTAATGATTTAAAATAAGTATTTGAAACCAAACATGTGTCCAAAATGTTTGAAAAAAAACAAACATCTGTAACAATGTTTCGAACATGTAAATTGCATGAATACAATATAGACGCTCTGCCTACTGCGCTATGAAGGCACACAGGATTACATGGATTTTCGATCCCCCCTCCCAAGATTATAAAAATAACGTTTTAAAGGCCCATTATGCTGTTACTTGTATTTCTTAAAAGCTTTTAATTTTGGTGTAATCCTATAGTATCCAAAAAAGCCTCAACAGACGGTAGGATTTTGAAGTACAACATCAATTAAAACTAAGATGTACAAGCAAATCTTTATGTGTGAAGGCTACTATTTCTTGAATTCATACAACTTTATACTAGATTTAAAGGATAGGACATGTTCTATCTCTTAATACTTGTTGTATAGACTTCCCACGATGGCAGATGTCATGTTTCCCAATTATCCGCTGATAATGTGTTTAATGAATGAAATTCCAGAACAATTAGGGCTGTAAACATAGTTGTAAGATGGGGTAAAAATAATGTTGAAAAACACTTAAGGATCCCAAATTATTCAGAAAATGATAGTGTCACAGTATTGAACTGTTCACTAATCAGTGGAGGTAGTTTGTTAGCGACTGGATAGCCCAGTCAGTAGAACCGAAGTACGGTATTCCGAGGGTCCCAGGTTCGAGTCTCGGTCAGGCTTCACATTAATCTCGCCCTGTGACAATAATAGACTTTTTTTTAAAAAATGGAAGTGTTTCAATTATCTACGGTTAGTGAGTAAAATATGTAAGGGATCAATTGGGAGGGAATTTTTTTGAGGGAAAGCTGATGATTCCTACAATGCAGAATTACTGTCTGAATGCAAGTGTTGTATTGCTTTGAAAATTGTACATCATATCTCTAATTAGTGTTGAACAACTAAATCCTACCGTCTGTTGAGGCCTTTACTCATTGGCCAATTACATGAACCTGATATTTTCATCTGTTCCTTTTTGGAAATTAGTACAGTTATAGTGAATTGTAGTTTATATGGATGTCAAATACTTCAATGTTTACATTTTGCTACTTTTATGACAAATTATTACACATTTATCGCTACTTTATTCAGGTAGCAAGCATCTTACATTTCTCTGATGCCATTATTTAAGCATTATAAAAAATTCCTGTTTGCCCTTTCTAAAGAAAGTATGTAAGATTTCCATTAAAAAAGCCTTCGGCGGACGGTTGTTACGAAGCTTACAAAAAAAACAAAGTTTGTTGATAAGCTTAATACTGTATTTGTAAAAATATCTATCTAAAAAATCTAAAAGTCCGATCGAAAAACTTGATATTTCAGGGGAACATTGTAATGGAGTATATTAATAGTTCTTGGGAAAAAAAATAACTGCATTTTATTTCATCCCCATCATATTTAAAATGGGGCTTAATTAATATGACACCAACAGTTGTCAAGTAAATGACAAGATATTTTTCCCAGAATCTTTTAATTTTAGGAATACATTCACAATTTATGTACTAGAGTACTTTGTTATATGGAAACATTTTTTTGATATTTCAAATGGTAAAATTATTGAAAGTTTTATCACTTAAGCATCAAACAAAGTATCGACCGCCATCTTGAACTCCATCTGAAATATTTCAATGTTGCAGATCGGATATAAATCAGTTCTCAGTATTTAAGCAGAACTCAGTTGACACCTTCAGATGTAGAATATTTAGGGGTCAATTTCTCGATTTTGACACCAAAGAGTGTTGGACCCCAAAGTGCGGTGTAACACTGTCTCACCTATTTTACGCATTGTTATTGATCTTTGTTAAGTAAACAAAAAATCAAAGTTATCATCATAAATGTCCTGTGGGGAATGAGGGCGTTACATATCGAAATTGTTTTAACTTAATCACCGCATATATTCACGGCGGAGGAACTTTAACACGAAGGATAGAGTTCTTATGATTACTTGTCAAGAGTTCTTATGATAACTGTCACGGAGTTTTATGATAACTGTCACGGAGTTCCTGGAAAACGCTACGAATTTCATAGGAAATTTTATGTACCGGGGAAGCATTCGAGAAAAGTGGTAGTGGTACTTTGATGATTAAGCTAGGCTTACATCTTGTATTATGTGCAAGGAGAAGCTATTTAGTCCATTTCTCATCGCCACTTGCTTATAATCTGATAGTTTTGAGTAAAAGATCCAAATTATTTGCTCATTTGTACACATTGACGATTCCCTAATTATGATTGAAAGCTGCAAACATAAAGCCCCTACTTACATTTTATGTCGTATTTCCAAATATCATGAGTTCTTGTGTTAACCCTGAAGATGTCCTAGAGTTCATATGCTAACCTTTGTTACTGCCGATGTGCTTCTTGCGCAAAGTTACGGCACGTTTTAGCGTATGTCATTATTCAATAAATGTGTAAATCTGTAAATCATTATGAAAAGTATAATGTTGATTTGGAGCGTATTTTAGTTCAAGATATATTTTTCTAATTAAAGTTATACGACTTCATATTGACATTATAAAACCGAACGAATGAACTAAATGTTGTTTCTGTTTATACCGTTCGTCAATAGTTTATAACAGACTCAGATCTATTTTGTATTGTCATATCGTTGTAAAAGAATTTTCTACTTCTCTATGACAAAATTTGATATCAATATATTTGATTAGAAATCAAAATATCCAGTGAAAAACCTGAAGATGACCCCACCTCATTAAAGCTAGATACTACTTCAATATCATTGCAAACCATTTTACATGTAAAATGGAATTAGATATACATGAAGACATCATGCTTGAGTATTGAATTCATAGCGTATTTTATCTTGTATGTCCATGCTTTACATCAAGCCTTTTTCAGTCTACGAAGTCTGTGTAAGCAAAGAAATTATATAAAATGAAAAATAAGTAAATAAATAATTAATTAAAAAAACCCACAGGAACGAGACAAGAAATAGTATTTCTTGAACTGAAATACACCCCAAACCAACATTACTAGTATATGTCCAAATTTGTGTGCACTACGCTTCATATTGGATTTGCAAACTTATTGACAAATAAAAGACTTTAATACGTACCGTGACTAAGCACAAGAAACACACTGGCAGTAACAAAAGTTATCATAACAACTCTAGGACATATTCAGAGTTATAACAAGAACTCCATTTGACTGACATTTGAAAAATCGGGTATAAATCTATTAGATTGGGCTCTACCTTTGCAACTTTTCATTAAAATAAGGTTATTAAGTATAGAAACGAAGTGGATTACAAATGAAAATGTCAATATGTACGAATGAGCAAGTAATTTGGAAATTTTACTCAAAACTACCAGATTTTAAACAAGAGGCGATGAAAAATGAACAATACTGTTTTTTTCTGACACATAATACAATGTGTAAGGCAAGCTTTATCATCAAAGTGTAATTAAGCACCTCAAACTCCTCAGTTAAAGTAAATTTATCATTTTTACGTGTGTTTCTCCTGTACACAATAAAGTTTTCCGATCCTGAAAGACAATTATCAATGTCAGCGAGAACTGGGTCATTGTTGAAATTAAATAGAAATATAAGTCACTTTATTTAATACAATTCAGATCAAGTACGTTTAAATCAAGGCACTAAAATAGCGCTTTTCAAAAATCTGTCATACGCTTGGTCAACCATATTGGCAATGTCAACAATAGAGTGTTGACCTCAATTTTTCACGTAGATAATTAGATAAAGCCTAATTTTGGTCGATTTTATTTTTAACTGCGTTTTAACACAATGTCAACTGTGCATATATATATTGAGTGAAGTAGTCTGTATCATGCATACGGTTGAATATTGTCGCCGTCCCCTCCCCCGTGGGTCCCAGCTATTTTCCTAGATATTACTGATTTTTTCAATATAATAATTTGATTTTAAAACATATGCAGTAAATTAATGATACATGTTATTAAGTAGAGCGTGCTTCCCGTGGATATAATTATGCTTTTTATGAATATTACTTTTTTCCATATCAAATTGAACTACAATGTTTACATACTGCAAATTGTCTATAAAACAATATTTATTATTGAGAAATTTGAGAAAAAAAAAGCACATATAGAAAAAGAATAGAAAAGAAGCATATTATTTGTCTAGAATTGGCGTTTAATTATTCTTATTAATATATTTGTTATATAGAAACAAGAGAGCATTCAATTAACATTATCTCATTATAAAAGTGTGCTTTTTATGAAAGGAATATTAAGAAAAAGAGCATTCACATTCACGTTTTCGTTTTAAATTTCTGATTACTTTTATTGTTCTCTTTTTTCACTCGTTGCGCATGCAATAGAGAGGGTGTGGAATGAACACAATTATACCTCGAGTCAATAGGAAAAACACACTGAAGCATGTCATTGGGAAATATTTCTCTCACAATTTCACCGGCCTAACATATTGTTTAACAGTGTACTCGCATGGCATAGAATGGAAGCCGTTTACGATATAATATATAAAACTTCAAAAAAAAAATGTGTAGGGAATCTGATAAGACTTAATCGTAAACACCATCAGAGATATCAAAGTATTAACAATTTGTAAGAATCTTATAAAACATAAATCTAGGTTAAAAATCTTGATCACAATAACAATTTATGTTCAATATCATTTGCCGGCCAACAAAAGTGTCCATTATAATTGTAGACAAAATGTGTCACTTAACTTTTAAGTCCATCTAGTGATATTGTCTTGGCGATGCCACAGGAACTTTCATTGAAGAAAGTTTTTTTTCTTAAAACGAAAATCTGAGAAAGGGGGAGGTGGCCTAGAAGTTAAGGTGTCTGTCTCTCAACCCAGGGATCATTGGTTCGAGCCCTACGCTGGTCACGACCATAGATAGTACGCAATGCAAAACATAGTCAAACCGGCTGTCAGTATGTTTATATACATTAACACCATGTATACAGAATGATAATATATGTCATATGTGCGGTTAAGATCGGGATGTCCGTCCCTCGGGGACCCCTTCCCCATAGGGACGGATATTCTAATCCAAACCGCAAACATATGTCAGATATTTTTTCTTGCATATTCTACGATATTCCATCATATTTTAAACTCTTTATCTTAATAAAACAATTTTCCATGGAACTTTACATGTATGTCATTACACCCTTTACTTTTTTCTTACAACGTCGTAAGAAATTACAGCTTTATTCCTAACGGCGAAATTACGTCATCCTAAGCATAAGCATGCGGTTGTATAGCACGCGACTCATCTGGCACCCACCCGCAGCCACATGCCAGATGAAATTTCCGGCAAGTGCAAAACTTACGGAAACACCAGTCTGATATGCAAAAACCTGACCACCAGTGTATATATTCAATTTTATATAATTATTTTCGGTGCGCAATTGTATACATGTTTTGGGAAATCTCGTACTAATGGCAAAGATTAATAATTTAAACAGGGTTTACGGTGCATGTCTCAAACAACAAATTACATGATTTTATCTGTACGGTTCCAGTTTTTCGCCTTTTTTGTTTTACTTGAAATACGATACGTTTGTGTGACCAATATTTTTTCTTTTGCCAATTTGAAATTTATCTTTAAAACGGAATTTTAAAACCGATAATAAAAATCATGTTATTATAAACATTAAAAAATGGGATTTTTCGTCTGCTTGATTTTTGTATTAAAATGTGTTACAGTGTCCGGTAAGTTTAATTTAATTAAAATGTATGATAATGGTGATGAAGATGATTTTTTCGCGACAAAATTAACTGGTATTTCGGCAAATGTATGATGATATTTTATGGTACATGTATAATAATCTTCAACTTATCTTTTCATTCCAATTTAATATTTTATTAGTGACGGGATGTACATGAGATAATGAATGACACAAATATTACTAGAGGCTCTGTATTCTGTCAACAGATTTATAATAAGGCATTTATTTATTTTTATTTTTATTTTCTTTTTTCTTTTTCGGAGAAAGATATTTTAGCCGAGAAATTTGCCATAATGGGCAAAACCCAAAAGTATTTATATACTTTTATAGTTAACGGCCTACGATGTAGAAATACATTATTTGTGCGCGCTTTGGTTCTTCATGGTATATATTACTTTCATTTAAAAAAAAATCAGTTTATTAGCTCTTTTATGATTAATTTTATAGGTTTTTATATAAATTCAAGCATACATTGAAGAGGACATCCAATCACAATATATCATGTATGCAGTTTTAAAGTTTTAAAACATTTTTCTTATGAATCAGTTTTATTTTGTAGTAATGTATATTCGCCGGGATAGTGTAACTTATTGACATATAACGTATATGTAAAAAACATGTGTATGCCAGAAATCTAAAGAAGAATATTTCAACAAATAACTGTCTGTCAATATACAATATAGGTATCATTTGTAAATAAGAAAAATGATGAAAGATGAAAAACAACCTCAATTTTTTTCAACTTTCCCCTCCCCACACTGTTTCAATGTAGATTTTGCTCCCATTCAACTGTTGTTTGTTTTTTACAAATTAATAATATTCAAATCTTCCGCTATAGATGCCAGCTCCATCGACAACAACCCAGGATCTGTCAGTATACATGAGAACTATGATGGAACACACAACATGTGGGGCATCTCGGCCACGTGCTATGTACGATACACTACCACATACACGTGTAACACCAGACGATATTATAGCTGTGGTTACGATAACCAGAATACATGTTCTTATTACGTGACAAAAACGTGTTATAGGCATTCGTACACCAATGTCCCGTGTAACCAGTTCCAAATAAGTTCAGACCCATCAGGAAACTTTCAGATGAGTGGTAATACGAGTTATTTATAATCTTTTTTATAATAGCCTTTATTAGTGTGTGACTACAAAACTTAAGTTGGCAATGAAATTATACTTAAATAATTTTAAAGTGATATTATCAAACATAAAATTACTGTTTCCGTTCTTTGTTTTGAATAAACAAAAAAAGTCTTTTAAACATTATTTAGATCTATATAACATGTCATATAATATGTTGTTGTTTTTTTTTTTTTTTTTTGGTAAATGTTAACTTATGAAATAATGGACTTTGTCAATATGAGTTCTTTGAAAATTCGACACAAAGAGCTTATCAAAATGTTTTGATTTAGTTTAATTTATTTGAGAGGCCGGAGTTATACACTGTACATGTATTTCAACTCACCCGACCACATATTGCTTATGACCAAATCTTGCACTTCTATTGTCAATAAATCTTGATTCATGTTCTGCCTTGTCAACACCAGAACATTTTTGTATCAAAATAGTGTCAAAATAGTTCTACTAATCGTGCATTGCAGAATTTTCGGCATTTAAACAGACGAACACAATTCTGCTCGATAACAATATCATATTTTAGTTGATTATACTATGCATTATTTTCTTCATCGCATATAATACTCAACGTTTGCTTAGCACAAATTTTTTGATGTGAATATCTCTTCGGTTAAGCTTTGTTAACCGTCGTCCATTTTTTTATAATGTCTATTTCATATTTAATCAATTAAAGAGAAATTCAACATTTTTACTGGTTTTGCATTAGTTATGTGTAAGAAAGGGGAAGACGTTCAATATTCAAGGCTTTTGGACACGCAGCTTGCTTTCTAAATGTTTACAACCTTGTTTATGTTAACAAATTTAGACGCGGTAGCGCGTGTGTGACACATTGCTTATTTTAAGACAATTTCTTGGTAACGCCTTCTCTTGCTCCCTATAAGGTTTCTGACAGTTCTAGTGAGGATGGCGTCCCATTCTTGCAAGCTCCTGGATCCGTCTATATTTACCCGGTGTACCTGGTGATTACGCCACATGCCATTAATCTGATTTACGTCGGGTTATCGGGCTGGTTAGTCAAGCCCTCAATATTCTCCCTCTGCAGGTAGTCCTTCAATAGCCGGGTGCTGTAGGGACGCGCATTATCTTCCAATGAACCCAATGTCCTGGTAAACAGCCTAACCTGGGTATCGAACATTTCATCTATATACCGCTAACCAGACAATTTACCTATGTTATGCACAGGTCAGCCCGTCCGTCCCAGCTGATGCCTCCCCACATCATAACTGGACAGTTTACCAAGGAACGATATCGATGCGGTAGCTGAACAGTGCTCTGGTAAATTCAATGAAGCTCACTGTTTTGATCCGGAGGGTAAACAACCAACAACACCATACAAATTTAAGTGTCGTCTTAACAAACGGTTACCGCGTTTGAGGAAATAAAATATTCACAATCGTTTGAGGAAATAAAATATTTTTAATCATGAAGAGTCGAATGTGTAAAAAAAGGAAAAAAATGTGGTCTGCTAATGTTCGATTTCCGATTGATCATGAAATCCTTTCTAAGGTCATTGGCACTGTACCTCTGCGCTGACATGTACAGAATTTATCAGCTCCTTGTGAAAGTGAAGGCAATTAATTAAGTGCTTGACAGCTTACCCATGGACGATACGGTTGTTGAACTGTGCTCTAGTAAAGTCAATGTGGCTCCCTGCCGTAATCCGGAGACCTACAAATTATAAAACTCTTGTTGAATTTATATTGCTTTAAAACATGTAATCGTTATGATGAATTATAAAATGATGACCATTCACTGTAAACATGGCACACACCTGAGATCCGTTTTTTCTCATAATAAGAAGCCAATTGTTAATTATTCGTATAGATGAATTATAATATAAAAACGCTTTTTGTAATTTTAAGTTCCTCATAACCGAGTTTGACATATAATGATTGTAGTTTCAACCCACAGGTAACATCGTTCAGAAGAAGACATGTACATCATTTTACTGTGGTCCAACATGCAACGCTGCCGGATGTCTTAACAGTGGTGAATCTCATACTGTAGGTGTAACTGCTTATAACACTGACTACGAAACATACGTTTCGATTTCTGGATCGTTCACTGTCAACGTATATGCCGCCAATCCGCCAACATTTTACTACAATTGTAAGTTGTGTTAAGTAATTCCTTATAACACTGCACATTTGGAATCAAAGGCATTTTGAGGTCAAAGCGAAATCCGTTCATCCCTTTTGTTGCTGACATTTTTGCTATAATTTACTTTCAAATAATAATTTATTTGTTCAGTGTGTGAAATATTTCAAACCCTAGTCGGAATTATTATTTTAATTTTCAAGCGATACAGCAAAAAAAAAAATGTACATCTTTTGTTATTCAATTTTTGTTAATCAAATTAAACAGGCCCCCCCCCCCCCCCGAACTTTAAGATTAAATTTGACGTCATCCAGTTTATATAAGATTTATGGACCGCCCCGGTCTGTATGTGGTTTATGGACCGGATGACGTCATATTAAATATAGAAGGGCGTATGCAAATGAGGTATATCATAAAGCGGTAAATGTCACGTGCATTAGAGCGCTTACGTACATATTTTGAAACTAAGGGCCGCGAAATGATATTAAATGCATGTACACTATGCTAAAAACGCTCTAAAATATAGTTACGTTTAAAGTTATTTAAATGCAGTCTTTAATAAATTTTAACACTGTCTCTTTCAAGTAAAATTTTACTGATATATAGAAATTTATATAGATATTGACACTTGGAAATTGATATTGTTACTTGGAAATTCCTTTAACCATATGCCCGTGCCGCTATAGCGACTCCGTAGTTGTATAACACGAGCGTGAATAGTGTTAAGCTATCTTATTCGGTTACAAGTTCCTCAACCTCTGCTAGTTTCCACTGTGTTATGTATGCAACATATTACATGTATATAATTTATATCTGACCAGCTGGTATTTCCAATATTGTCATTGTTCTATTTTTAGAACATAAACTACATTGTATGTACTAGAACTTTCTTAACTGTTGTAGAAAACTCATGCATTATATTTGAATAGAAATTTCCGGAATGATCTTTATTGTTGAAGTTGCTAGATTATGATTACTTTAGAAAATGGAAGACTATTCTAGAAACTTCTTAGTTAATATATATAGGAGACATTTTTCTTTCGTATTACCTTTTAAGTCATCAGTGATCTTTTAAGTCATCAGTTACCTTTTAAGACATCAATATATTTTGAGTATTATTCAACTTGGAAATTAAAGGAATAGGAATGGATAGAGTGATGTCTGTCTTATATAAATATTTATCATTTAAAAAAAGGTACCATAACAGTTTTTCTGTTGAAATCAAGCGTATAACTGAGAAATTCGTGTTTAAAGACACTATTTTTTACTTGAGAAATAAGTTCATGGGCGCCGCCATTTTGGCGTTCTTTCACTCTCGCGAGACAGACGAGACCGAGATTATGACGTGTTACACCCACTTACAGTATAGGTGTACACGCTGGTACAACAGAAATATATCTTGATGAAGAACTTATTAATCTCATTACGTACATTATAATCACATTCATGCATGTATTAAAATGATTTTACAAAAAATGCATTGACAATAGTATAAATAAGTAGTATAATTATGTAGATATCAATATTGAAATTATTGCATGTTTCGGACTTTGTCAAACTGAATGTTTTCTCCGATAATGGATGGTTGTTACATGTACGTTAACTTAATAATTATCATCATCTTCAATTCAAGTTTTTATTTATATGTTATAATCAATTAAGTTTATAAAACATCGTATTGAACTGAATTGCTTTAATACGCTGCGACATTAATTAACATTTGTTCGATGATCAAGCTTGCTGGTGATCCCTGACCAATGACTGCTTAATTTTCAAAGATAAACCATTTAATTTATTTGGTAAATTTAATTTGAATGAGAAGCTCCTTCAAATTGCCGATAAATCCTTTTATTTTGTACTTAGTTTTCGCTAGACAAGCTGTCCTTTGTATGTGTGAATCGGGTACATCGCCGGTCATGTATCTTTTTTTCAGTAAAATCTAATATGCAGAGATCTGATGAGGACGCGATTTTGCGCCATTGGCGCTAAAAAAATGAGACTGGCGCAGGAAAATCGGCAGCCAGACTAATATCGTATGAAAACAAAACTGTCCGTTGGGTTAGTCATCCAGTCAAAACTGGAAATAGTTATTAGCTCTTTTTCATGATCAAAAGGTCTGTCGGTGTATGCTTTCTCCACAGAGGAATACACTGAGCAATAAAAATCGTCAGTATACAGTGTGACATTGACATTTGGTGCAAACTAGGAACAAATGGATAATACCAGCAATTGTGTGAATAAATTATGCAAATTAGATTATTGAGCAGCCAATAAAAATGTTTTGCCTGCAGTTAATATTAGGTGTAAATAAATACCACGCAGGAACATACGTTGACATTTGATTTCAAAAGAGTTACTTATATTTTTGAAATGTGTAAATCAAGTATAATCTATGTTCACACCTTTTAATTTGAAAGTCAGAATCAAACTGCAAAAATACAATTACTATTCAGAACACGTTTTAGTAGGTTTCTAGTTTCCAAACACCAAATGGTTAACAACTACTGTAAAACAGAAACTTTCTGATCTTTTCTTGAATGATTGGTACTCAAATATTGAAAATTCGAGCAAATGTGCAAATTATAAACTTTTTAAAACAAAATTTGAATTTGAGAAATACTTAATAAATACACCACCTAAATACTTAAGATATATGATTAACTTCCGAACAAGAAGCCATAGACTCCCTGTAGAAACTGGATCTTGGCATAGAATCCCATTAAATCTTAGAATTTGTACGAAATGCAACAATGGTATTGGCGATGAATTCCACTATCTTTTCGAATGTTCTTTTTTGTTAGGCACTCGTAAGCGCTTGTTAAAAGCAACATATTACAACAGACCGAATATCATTATTTATAAAGAATTAATGGAAAACAAGTGTTTTAAAAAAGTGGAATATAGAAAATTTTGTGAATTGGTCAAAGAAATAATTTGTTTATATAGTAACTGAAAAAAAAAAATATTGGGTTAAACAATTTTGGTTATTCTCCCGTTGTTACTATTGGTGAGAAATATCCTGAGAAATATCATGTATTTTTTTTTTTTTTTTTTTTTTCCTTATTTATATTGAAATTACACACAGATTTAGCAGGTTTAAAATATATCATGCTATATGTACAATTATGTATGATTGTATTTGTTTTTTTTTTGTTTGTTTTCTTTTTCATTCACTGTTTTCGAGAATGGACGCTATAAATTAGTATAGACACAATTATTTATTTCATAGAATTTCGATCTTTCCAAGTGGATTTATGATTGATCGGTGCCTCGATTTATATCTATTGTATTATTTACCTCATGTTGTCATGTATATATTGTGCATGTCTTGAGTGAAATAAAGATATTGTATTGTATTGTATTGTATAAAAGTGATAATTATCGCCGTTCAATAATTAACAGCTAATATTACGCGTTGGTGTGTTTGCATAAATACGCACCACGAGTTTCCAAACACCAAATGGTTAACAACTACTGTAAAACAGAAACTTTCTGATCTTTTCTTGAATGATTGGTACTCAAATATTGAAAATTCGAGCAAATGTGCAAATTATAAACTTTTTAAAACAAAATTTGAATTTGAGAAATACTTAATAAATACACCACCTAAATACTTAAGATATATGATTAACTTCCGAACAAGAAGCCATAGACTCCCTGTAGAAACTGGATCTTGGCATAGAATCCCATTAAATCTTAGAATTTGTACGAAATGCAACAATGGTATTGGCGATGAATTCCACTATCTTTTCGAATGTTCTTTTTTGTTAGGCACTCGTAAGCGCTTGTTAAAAGCAACATATTACAACAGACCGAATATCATTATTTATAAAGAAATTAATGGGAAAACAAGTGTTTTTTAAAAAAGTGGAATATAGACAATTTTGTGAATGGTCAAAGAAATAATTTTGTTTATATAGTAACTGGAAAAAAAATATTGGGTTAAACAATTTTGGTTATTCTCCCGTTGTTACTATTGGTGATGAAATATCCTGAGAAATATCATGTATTTTTTTTTTTTTTTTTTTTCCTTTATATTGAAATTACACACAGATTTAGCAGGTTTAAAATATATCATGCTATATGTACAATTATGTATGATTGTATTTGTTTTTTTTTTTGTTTTCTTTTTCATTCACTGTTTTCGAGAATGACGCTATAAATTAGTATAGACACAATTATTTATTTCATAGAATTTCGATCTTTCCAAGTGGATTTATGATTGATCGGTGCCTCGATTTATATCTATTGTATTATTTACCTCATGTTGTCATGTATATATTGTGCATGTCTTGAGTGAAATAAAGATATTGTATTGTATTGTATTGCATAATTGTGAAACTTTGTTAAATAACAACATGTGTATTTATTAGATTTATTGGAGCTTGGATTATTTTAAAATAGTTAAAATTATTCTTGTGGATTTTATTGTGGGAATTTATTCTAAAGTGTTCTTGGATTTTACTTGGATTTAACTGTGCTATTCAAAAAGGGATCATTCCAGGATCAGACTAGACATTTGAAATTTACATTTTTATTTGGACTTCAGGTATTTGTAAACATGACTTTTCTTTCTCGTTAAGCCTGGCTCGTTACAACTGAAAAACGTGACTTTGCGCTTCATTCCCAGCTGCTATCGTCTGAATATTGTTTCATGTCGTCTGGTGGTTTACAGGTAAGGCAGAAAGAAATTCGTGTCTCTATTTCTCCAGGAAGTGGTCAAACAGATTTTTCTTAAATCTGGCTCTTCTTGTTATACCCGTTATATATCTAAAGCTGGAGTAAGCAGTGTGTATTGAGAACAACTTGATATTGCTTTGTTCATAATCTTCGGCCGTAAAGTAAGTGGATTGGCAATAAAAAAATCGAAGTGACGTATGTGAATGGTCATTAATTCATTCATCACGTCGCCTGCTTCCGTTATAACTGTTTGTAAAGTTTCATTGGTTACGTATGTCCGTCCGAATACATTTTACAATGTTGCTTTTGTCAAGTCTTTGACACCAACCGCC